ATTAATCCAGTGATGATGAGATTTCCCCATGATCCATTCACCTCCCAAAAGCCCTACCTCTGAACCCATGAGCAATTTGGGGGGTATTCTAGATTTAAACCATAGCATCCTATACCTGAAATTCTTTCTTCACTTGATTTTCCTAATTTTCTTTGTGTATTCCATCTATATATTTCTGGTCTTTCCTGGATTTTCACAACATATTTATCAAGCACTTCCTATGTGCAAAGTAGTGTTCTAGATATTTGTGATACATTCATAAGCAAAACAGAAACAATCCTTGTCCTTAAATAACTTGTCTTGCAGATAAACATAATAAATACCTTTAGGTTAGATGGCACAAAGCACAGAGGATATAAGGCACTGTTCCAATTTTAAATAATTAGCCACCAAACCTCTCTAGAAAGATGACATCAAACAGAAAAGTGTTTTATCCCCAGGCCTTTTCCTTGTCATCCCTCTGGGATATTGGTCTCAACAATACTCCAGTTTCCTTCTTCCTCACCTTCTTTGATCCATCAATGAAAGATTCCCTCCTAGTCAACCTCTTCCTAGTCACCCCTTTTAAAATTACAACTTTCCCAAACCTAAATTCCCTCCTCTGTTATGTTTATTTGTAGCATTTATCATCATCTCAACTGTCATTTTATGAACTCTGTATCATATAAATTTCCCGCACTATTTCGTCTACTCTGTATTGAAAAATTATCACTGTTATTCAGGCTCTCAAAATTTTCAGTAGGCCCATATTTATAGCACAACTCATAATAACTAAGTCGTAAAGCAACCTATAGACCCATCAGCATGTATCTGATGATATCAACATCAGCCATAAATAAGGATAACTAACATTTGTTAGAAAATAGATGCACCTTAAGAACATAATACTAAATGGTATGCATGGTTTCTATGAAACATCCAAAGTATAAATAATTTAAAGAGCAAAATAAAACATGGATGACAGGAAAGAGATTTTATGGAGATGAGAAGGGGCTCTCAGAGCAGGGGGAGACAGAGAAAGGGAGAGGAAGGGCAAGTAAAAGGGATCAGGAAGCGATATGCGTAGGTACCAATTCCCCATGGTGAAATGTACTCATTATGTGTCACAAGCAGATGCTAACATATAAACATATTTTTAAAATTTGAAAAAACTTAATTGTCAGTATTGCTAATCGGTACTTTCCTGGAATTTATCCCTCTGGTTATCTTCAAAATTGTTAACATAAAGTTCTTCAACAGATACTTTTTTTACTTTCAAAGTCTTGTCTGTGCCTGTAGTTTGTTGCCTGTATTTTCCTTATATGGTCTTTTGGTCTTCCTTATTTTCCCTATTTTCATTCTGTCATTCCTAATCTGCTCTGTTACTGGTTGATTTCTTCATAGCAGCCATTGTTTCTGGAGTGAGGTAGAATCACAGTGTTGTTTTCATTTGCGTCTCTCAAATGGCCGGAGATATTGAACATTTTTTTCATATGTTTCTTTGCCGTTTCTCTTCTTCATCTGTGAAATGTCTATGTTATATCTTAACCATCTTCTCCCTTCCATCTTCTTACCAGAAGAAGGAAATGTTTTCCCAAGCTGCTACATGAGGACAGACATGGAGAGTAGAAGCCAGGATGCTATGGTGTCTTGAACCAGGGTGACGGCTATTAAGATGTTAAGTGCTGAGATTCTTAATATATTTTGAAGGTAGTGCTAACAGAATTTTCAGCATTAAATACTGATTGCGAAGAAAAAGGAGCAATAAATAACCCTGTTATGTTGGGGCTGAGCAACTGAGAAAATGCAATCTCCATCACCTGAAATGGGGAAACAATGAAAGAAATGTCAAGATCAGGTGTTCAGTTTGGGGCACGCAGAGTGTTTTCCTCATCCAAGGTGACAATGGAGTAGGCAGTAGGAGGCAAAGCACAGGTGCTCAGGAAGGAAGTATAGGCTAGAGATAAAATACACAGTCACCAGCCCAGAGGAGCATACTTAAAGATAAAGTACTGGAGAATTAAATAAAGTAGTGTAGACAAGTGAAAAGGAAAGGATAAATAATAGTGCTTCTACTGAGAGATCAGAGTGTAGAAGATAAACAAGCAAAAATCTGAGAAGGCCCAACCAATAAGGTAGGAGAAAATTTGCCAAGGCATTGTCTAAGAAACCAAGGAAATTGAGGACAGGATGTTTTCAGTAGAATATGCACCATAATTTTCATAAAATTCCTGGCAAGGGAGCACCTGCCTGTAATCCAAGCACTTGGGAGACTGAAGCAGAAGGATCACACGTTCAAGTCAATGAGTTCAAGGCTGGTGTGGACAACGCAGAGAGGCACTGATTCATAATCTAAAACAAACCACCACTTAGATCTTTTCATTGCTCTGCTCGAAACTCCCCACAAGCTTCTACCTACTCAAAATACATGGTGAGAGGTCCGGGAAGGCGCCTTTGAGCAGCCACCCTGCCCCTGACCAGGCAGCCTGCTATCCTGCTTGCTCCCTTTGTTCTGTCTCTAGCCAGAACGAGATAGGGCAAGAATTCTTGCTGTGATGTGAATTTGACCCTTTCTCCCTATTGTACCGTCACTTTTTGTTTCACGCATGTCGAAGTTTGCTAGGAATACTTAAATTTAGGGTTAATATAACTTTTAGTAAGTTGAAAGTTTCGTCATTAAACTATTAATTATTTTAATGGTTTCTATTTTGAAATGTTTCATCTGAGTACATTTATATTAACATTCTTTCAGTTAAAATTACCTAATGTGTTTTTTTCCATTCTATTAATTCCTATTTATCCACCTTCCTAGTCATTAGGTTTGTCTTTTATAATAAGCCGATGATTCTATTTTTGTTAGTTTCTGACAAAAATCTGAAAAATCTCCATCTTTTGACTAATAAATATATGCCTGTTTACTTTTATCTATTCATATTGATAAGGTACACCTGAATTTACTTTTATCATTTTCTGCTATTTTCCTTTTCTTCTTCCTGCTTATACATTGAGAGAAGAAGTATTATTTGGTTTTGTTTGCTAGCTTGTTTTTCTTATTCCATAGTTTTCTCCCTTATTCCACAGTTATTTTATAGTTTTCCTAAAAACCTCCTCCTCTTAAAACAGAGTTAAAAATTAAGAAAACTTTAACTAGACCTCTTTTCTTCTAACTCACATTTTATTGTTGTCCAGCATTAAATAGCTGACACTTTCCTACCATCGTGAATTGAACACCATAAACTTGCTGTGTCTGCTGGTTGACACTCATGGTGGCCTGTTCCCTGTGATTGCTGATCTTTTGTTTCCCTCTTATGGTATCAGTTCCAACTGGGCCACACAAAGTCCCACTGAGGGTCTGTGCTGCCCAGAGGAGTTCCAGTTTTCAGTGTCTTGCCTTGGTTATACTCTCTAGGACCCAACCTTCTGCTGGAATAGGATAGACTCTTGACCAGGACAACCAGGGCTGTTTTTAGTGTGTTTTTGCTCACAGGCCTATGATCCAGTTTGGGGTCGTATTTTACTAAGAAGAGAAGACCAAAAGTTTTTACTGACCTCCTCTAATCCAACAAAGTGAATTAGACACATACGTTTTGCTCAGCATCTTCCTGTTTTACAGAATGAAGGCTTCTCTGAGGAGTCAGCAATTTCGTGGCAAGCTGTAGAAGTTCTTTAATCTGTGTGCGAACCTGTTGTTGTTGTTGTTGTTGTTGTTGTTGCTGTTTTTCTGATACCTTATAGAGACTTTGCTTAATGCATATTTACTAAATACTATCAGGTATAACAAATGAGACCTGGCAGTAATGATGGCGCCACGTTTGTCCTGCACTTGGGGAAGTTACAGCCTAAATCACAAGCTACGGAAGTGTTCCTGTGTGTAACAAAGGAAGTAGTGACTGAAATACTCACCCCAGATAGGGACTCTGAAGACAGACTGGCTCTCTGTCCTCTTACAGTCAGCTCTTGGCTAGTCATAGGATGCCCCCCATCCAGCTCAAACGACTTGTGAATAACATGTGCAGTAAGTACCTACAGATTTGAAGAGATCTAAGTGTGACCACAGCAAAATATATCAGGATAAATATAATTTGGCTCTGAGCTTAAGATGTCACTGATGTGGACATGCCCTTACATCTTAACTTGCAATATTTGTTTAAATTTTTCTTCAAATGTGTCTCTTTTCATTTTAGGATGTTTTTGCTTCTGTTTTTATCCTATTTATCTACTAAATTCTGGTTTGAGAAAACAATATTGATTTTATCTAATTTTACCTCACTTTTCTTCTACTGTTTTCTGGGTAACTGGCTAGGGATTATAAAAGATGTGTGTTATTGTTATACATAAGTATGTGGGTTGTGAAAAACACATTAGAAGATTCAAATTAGCTTAAGTGAATGAATAGGAGAGCTCTATACAGTTGATAAAGAGTATTTTTAGACATTACATTTGGTCTTCCTATTGTGCTATGTAAGGGAAATTCTCTGAACTTGTTGGAAATTTTCTAAGCAAAAGAATATTTTTCAAAATATATTGTAATCTAATCAACTTATTTTTCATGGCAGCAAACAACCTGCCCACATTTAAGATAAAGTAACACTAGGGAGACTGATACCTCTTCCCATAAAGGGTTAAATTTCTCGGGCTTAGTTTCAAGCCTTTTAAAAACCAATATAGCCAAAACCTAGGAAGGAGAAAAATAACTGAAATAATTGTTTATAGCAATAACTAGGTTTTTCTTTGGATCATGTACCTTTAAAATGACTGAATGCATTGCTATGCAAGTGTCATGTGTGTTTAAAAGATGCCATAATTATTAGACATGGGTCTAGCATCATGTCTTCTGTACAAGCATTGTGTCCTGCAGAAGGTGAAAGCTTGAGATAGGCACCAGGCTGCATGTGAATGTGACAGCAGGATCAAATTGTTGAATACATTGACTCATCGGTGCAGGCTGAAAATTATGCTTCCCAGCCTGCTAGGAACATGTTTCCTCATTTTTTAAAAAAATTTTTCAAACTGTATCTTAGGATCTGCTTCAAAACACAGATGCCCACAAAAGAGCATTCCATGAAATCTACCGGACCAGGTCTGTTAACGGGATCCCAGTGCCACCTGACCAATTAGAGGACATGGCTGAGAGGTAAGAGAATGTCAGCATTTGCATGAAGTCTCTTTTTAAACTGCTATGTGGATGCTTTTTGCCTTTCTGTTCTTTTAAATGTCTTGTTTGTTATCTTTTTCAGAAATGTTTATGTTTGGTAAAGGAAAAGTGGGTCCCCATGACATAAGCTAAGAATGCCAACATGCTAATGTATTATTAACTGCAAAGAGTCAGCCTGAATGTGCCCACAGCCAGGAAATCACAGGAATGGTTTCTTCATAGGCTGTATTTTTATTCAGTACTGTAGGGAACATTATGTAATATTACAAAAACAGCTTATAAAAGAAACAGATGAGAGATGTGTTGGCAGGGGAGAGAACTAAATCAAAGACTTCAATCAATAATGCTTTGCCTTTAAACCCAGAGCTAGAAAAGGACTCCGATCCCCATATAACGATCAGCCAGAGTTTAGAGGACCTTGTAGCTGCATGATATTTAAGGCTGACATGTAACAGGTTGAGCAAGCTTTGTTCTGTTACTATTAGTTACGTACTGTAAATTCTCTGTTTTATTTCTAGGTTTCAGTTTGTTTCCTCTACATCAGCGCTGCACTTAAGGAAAATGGAATTTCTAGAATTAAAGTACCGCCTGCTCTCACTGCTGGTTCTCGCAGAGTCAAAGCTGAAGTCTTGGATCATCAAGTATGGGAGACGAGAGTCAGTGGAGCTGCTTCTGCAAAACTACGTCGTAAGTCTCTGGTGGTTTGGTGAAGAAACCAGATGACCTGTAGATTTAGCATTGAACATGCACCAGTTCTGTTGATGCTGTTATTTTAACCTTGAATTTAACTCTAAAGATACCAGTGTGTTAGACGGGTTAGATCTAGGATATAAGCTTTTCACAAACATCCCAACTACAAACCTATAGTTTATGGAATTTGGTTTTGAAAAACCCTTGGTTTAGAAGGATTTTGCTGCATGATTGGCCTTTACTGATTAAAAAAAAGTTTTTGCATTGCATGCTCTTGTGATTGGAACTCAATTACGCTTTTGAAACTGGATTGCAATAAAGATTATCTATGTCTTCTAAAATCCCTTTATGAATAGTTTAGAACAGTTCTCTGTTGTTCATATGGGTGCTGTGTACTTTTAGATTAGTTCTAGGATGTCTGTTTCCTGCTCATTCCCTGGGCTTCATTGCCTCTGATGTGTGCTTCTACACAGGCAGAGTAAAATGTTGTCTATGAACCTCTGTATCCACTTACTTTTTAAAGATTATCCAATGTTTGGGGATAACTTTGTAGGTGATTCTATACTATATAGAATAGTATCCCTGCAATAATGATTAGGTTGTTCTATAACCAGAAGTTCTATTTACATGTAGTTATTGTGTCATACTTAATAAAACCAATTGATTTCACCATAGACAATTAAACAGGTCCCACATATTTATAGGCAGCACAAATTTTCTCACAGAAGAACTGGTAATAGAGCATCTCAGTTCTGTACCCTTCCGTTTGCTTAAATGTAATTTCCAAATGATAAATTGATAAACTTTAAAAATACAAGCCCATTAAAACTTGATCAGTGTCAGTGAATCAGTAATTTCTGTGTTTCAATATTTATTGAGACCATACCTTTACCAGCCCTTCTTAGAACCATAGTCTTTGCACTTGATTTTCTGAGTGATATATTAATAAGATGTATTAAAAAAAAGGTTTAATTGGTTTACAATAAAATTTTTTTTTCTGGACTTGCTAAATGTGACCAGGAACCATTTGTCAAGAAAAGGTGAAATATATTGGGATAGATTCTTTTATTAGTTTGTAGTTATTTTGGAAAGTAATAAAAATCCATTTTTAAAAACATCAAGAAACTACATTAATCCCTTGAATATTAATAGAGATATGCATTTATATTTTCAGATTTAGTCATACCAAGTGATATACCCTGAGCTCAGTAGTTAATCATACAAAATCCATTCTTTGTTCTGGCTAGTTAAGAACAGCCAATCAGATTTAAATGCCCAACAGGATTGTTTCATCAGATTAGCTTTCTAATACAATAATGTTAATAATTCTCTTTGAACTTCTCAAACAGATATATAGAGAATTGTTACTAATGATAGGAATGTCAGTATATCTTGCCCACTGCATAAAGTTAAAAACTTCAGTAAGCTGCTAATTTCAAACTGTATTGCAAATTTTGCTCTTTGTAAATTACTAATCACCCTTGTATAACAGTATGTTTTAATGAATATTTCCTACTGTCCTCATCCCCTAGTGAAATAACTACTTATCATATATATATTCCTTTGCCACAAAGGGTTTTAAGGTGCTTTTTTGTTTAATAGTTTTAACCACTGTGGGACATTAGGTTTGTCATTTTTCATTCAAGAGGATCCTGTGGTCTGGGCATTGTTTTATCCACTGAAGAAACTGCAAATGCCATGCTTTGAAAGTCTAAGTCACACGCTCCAGGTAGTGGAATTGGTGTGTTGTGGAGTCAGAATTTGAATCCAAATCTTTCTACATTAGAAGTTCTTAAGCACAAGTACTGAGTTTTATGTCTAAATAGTCTATGAATTTTTTTTTGGCTTAAAAAGACCATATGATTGATAAAATACATACCATCCTAATGAACTAAAAAGTGTTGCTCATCAAAATATTCGTTTCATTTCATATTGGTCCATTTGATAGCATTTGATTGTTCCACACTGTAGCCTGGCCATTGCATTATATATTCCCTAGGGCTGCCTGGCATAGGATAGGGGTGAAGTGTTAATGCCCAGCTGCTAGTACCAGAGAAGTGTATTCAAATTATGACTCAGGCACTTTATCCCTTGTGACTTTATGGATAACTTACTTTTTAGAAGACTTAGTCTTCCCTGAGTTTTTTTTTTCCAATTTTTATTTTTTATTAGTACATGTTTGCGGTACACAATGGTTATATTCCTTATGGTGAGTTGATACATGTACATCAAACATCTTAATTCCTTTTTTATTCCCTTCCTCTTCTTCCTCTTTCCCTCTATCTCTTGGTCGCCTTCTGTTTGCAAAAGATTTAGCTCCCTATTTCCTATTATCTGTCTTTTGTTTTGCTCTTTATTTGTATTTTGGGTTTCTCACATAAGAGAACTATGGGCTATTTAAGCTTGTATGTCCGATTTATTTCACTTAATAGTATGCTCTCAGGGTATATCCAGCTTCCTGCATATGACTCAAGTTCATTCGTCACTATGGCAGAGTACTACTCTGTATAAATACTGTACTTTCTTTTCCCAAATTTTAATAGTAACATTGACGATCATAGTAATAATAGAATAGTAGGATTTTTTTCTGAGGAGCAAAGACAGAAGAAATTGTTTTGCTTCCATTTCATGCCTTATAGATTTTTTTGGTTCTATTGGAGTTGGAAAAATCATTCATTCTAGAAGAGACTATTTCAGAGTCTCATGACTTCTCTCTCTCTAGTTTTTTTTTTTTGTTGTTGTTGTTATTGTTTTTGTTTTTGTTTTGTTTTTTTGGTGCCAGAAATCAAACTTTGGCCCTTGCACTTGCGAGGCCAGTGGTGGAACCACTGAGCCAAATCCTCAGCTCCTCGTGACTTCTCAATAAAACCAAAAGGTCAATTCCTTACATGCAATGCTTAGTTCCTTTAAAAAAGAACGTATTTTTATGCTGTTACTTTATCTAATAAACAAAATGATATTCATGTGTTAAAGTATTTATAATTATCTTTTCTTTAGTTTAAATTCTCAACTCAGCCTTAATCATCTTTAAAAAAAAGATAATACATTTTTACGAGTTAGAGAATTAGAGAATGTGTTTTCTATGTTTCTATCCACTGAATGCTTAGAAACTCCTGAAAAATACTTCCAAATGCTTGCTGTGGATTCAGGTAGGTCACACGCTCTTGACAAGTGATTACATACTGTAATATAAATCAGAGTGTAATCAACTATCCTTGCTGTCAGAATTGTTGACAGTGACCATGTTAATTAGCAGAAGCTTGGATTTTACTACAGAAAAAAATTAGATAACATTCAGCCTTTCATATAAAAGAAAAGAAAAGCTCTTGGAATTGTGCACCAACCATGTGAGTGCCACAAAAGTAATGTGAATATTATTTGTAACTATTTTATTCATAGTTACAATTAGACAATCAAATAGACAATCCTGAATGAAAGCACTCATCAAAATTGATTTTAAAAATCTTAAATTATCTGCTTATCTGTTTTAGCTCCCTTCAAATGAAACTGATGAGCTTTTTATTTATATGAGAGCAGAAATTTAGTTCCTTCCACTAGTATTTTCCACTTAATGGAAAAAGAGGTATCTTTTCTTTTTTTAAGTAGCATCAACTTTAAAAGTTCCTTGACTGACAGAGCTTAGTTGTTGAATTTGGTATCCAAGTTCAGATTAATTTAAATAAAAGTAAACAATCCTGTCATTATGATTTAAAATATACATTTGTATTTAACTTTTAACCTCCCTGAGATGTATGGCTAGACAGATTGCAGTTAAAAGGAGATTTAGCAGAGCTGAGGCTTTAGCTCAGTGGTTCCACTGCCTACCTCGGAAGTGCAAGGACCCAGGTTCAATCCCCAGTACCCCCCCAAAAAAGTGTAAAGCAAATAAAAGGAGACTTAGCAATTCTGCTGAAGTGGGTCTAATAGATAATTCATAGACTTTAAAAAAAAGGATTTACTCTATACTCAGCAAAAAGTGGGAAGGCAAATTACGTAGACTAATAAAAAGTTAAAATAATAAGTAAAGGACTGGAATGTAGGTCAGTGGTAGAGTGCTTGCCTTGGGTTCAATCTCCGATAGTAATAATGATAATAGTAGCAACAATAATGTTACCTGGAAAATTAATTGCCCAGTCTTCACAGTAGGAGACTCAGAAATACTCTAATGAATCCTGGAACACTTTTAATATCTTAAAAATATTCCCATCTCTCCAGCCTTGGACCAAAAACAAATCTGGAAATAAGCTTTCTCTCTTACTCATTTTCGATTAATTTGTAAACCACTGTATAAAAGTCTGTTTAAGACTTCCTCTCCAGTAGAGGTACACTTTTCCATTTCTTTGGGACTTAGAGCAATTGTTTTCCTTTTGGCTTCTTGAAATATGCATCAAGCGTACACATAGACTACTTTTCAAACTTAGTGAAATATAATTATTTTTTCAGTTTCTTAACAGTGTATCAAACATTAGGTGCCATTTTTCACTTTGATCAAATCATGACTTTCTTGTTTGGTTAAATTATTTGCCATTTAAATTCTAGTAAATTGCTCTTTCCCCAATTGGGGAGTAGGAATGAAACATACAACTAAATGCTTTCTAATTCTGTTTATTATTTCCTTACTCCAATCTCAAATAAAAATGATAAAATCTATTAGAGTTATGGAATAAATTATTGATCATGGAACTTTTCATTCCATGGAACTTGTAGCTTTCTCTCTTCACTTTACCCCTGAAACATAAAAGTTCATGATTTATGAATATAAAATGATCTGCAATGTATTATGTAAAATGTCTTGCAGTTTTATTTTGAAACACGGAGAACATCAGAACAAACTTATGACTGTTTATGAAATCACTAGAAGAACAGTTTCACATCTGTGCACAACCTTTCGCATCTCCGTATGAAGCATCACCAGCATAGTGTACAGGACTTCAGCCAGTTTGAAAATGCTACTTTTTAATTTCATGACAGTGAAACCTATCAAGTGTTCCAATGGATTCAAAGCATAGGAACACATCATATTGTATAAAAAATTAAAGCACCTTCAGTGATATGCTAACTCTGATTGCATTTTCTATTTTATGCATAAGAATAACCTTTGAAAGTTATTTTATATTTTTTACATTAACAATAATGAAACGTATGCAAGAATGCTTAGTATAGTCTGAATTTTATTTACCCACTTGCTGACAGTGACACTATAATGTAGGCAAGTTACACACAGACATAGATGTATGCATATATATCTTATCTTGTAATTTTTTAAGCTGGGTACTTAAATGTGATACCACTGATAATGTGAGTATCATACATGATTAATGCAATTTACTTTTTATTGTAGGGAAAGCATTTGAACTCTGTCATTTATTTATAATCTGAAATTCTTCAAGGTAATCAGTCACCAGGATGAATGTTCACAGAACAATAGACTCCCACAGCTTACACACAATGGAATGCTAAAATGTTCCTGCAAATTTAGTGCTTTCTAAATGTTAGGCCCAGGTTCTCTGGAGGATCTTCCATCTTTTTAGAAAGTAAATTCTTGGGTGGTGAAGAAATAGAATATTTTCTCAATCTATTGCTGTATTAGATTTGTCAGTATAGAAACAATTTATATCATCAGAATAATTTTAGGTTATTTGTGGCAGTGGGATTAATTTCATAAGAACAGTGAGGTTGACAAATTTGGGTTAAATTTCCAGGTGCCTATACAAAATAAAATTGACTTTGTCATTCCGTACAAGCCTAATGTTTACCACCATTTCTCCTTTTCTAGTCTTTTATAGAAAATAGCAAGTTTTTTGATCAATATGAAGTAACATACCAGATCTTGAAACAGACAGCGGAGATGTATGTCAAAGCAGATGGTTCAGGTAAGATACAGTACAGAATTTGTGCAGTGTTGACTGCAGTAGAATTTAGAATACACAGGTGTCATATGTGATCAGGTCAATTTTATCCTCTGTACAAACATTTGTGTGACCACATCGTCGACCTTGGAGGGAACATACTAGATTCAATTCTCTTGAGTTTGTGTAACTTGTGTAACATATTCCTCGTGTGTGTGTGTGTGTGTGTGTGTGTGGAGAGAGAGAGAGAGAGAGAGAGAGAGAGAGAGCTTGACAAGAACAAAATAAGCATTCATTTTTCTAAATTATAATTTTCAACTTATTTTCAATTCTAATGATTAAAGGCAAAAGGGCAATAACTTGAATATATAATCAAGTAAATGAGAGCTTAAATTACTGTGAAGATACAACTTGTAAAATACATTTATTTTCAGTTCTGTAAATATGTCTGTTTTATGTGTTCGGACTGAACTCTTGTATTTGTGATAGATGCTATTACACAGCAATGATAAGAACATAGAAAGAAGGTATAGAGGATTTTAGGCACAAAGTAAAGACTGTAATTTGTCTTCTCTGTTGCAGTGGAGGAGGCTGAGAATGTGATGAAATTCATGAATGAAACCACTGCTCAGTGGAGGAATCTCTCAGTGGAAGTCAGGAGTGTGAGGAGCATGCTGGAGGAAGTGATCTCTAACTGGGATCGCTATGGCAACACTGTGGCTAGTCTTCAAGCCTGGCTAGAGGATGCTGAAAAAATGCTGAATCAATCAGAAAATGCCAAAAAGGTAAGATTCTTTCATGTAGAAGCAACAACATGATGTTGTTGTGAGAACCTTTCTTACAGTGTTGTTCACAGAGAATATTACATATTTGTGACTCAACTTCTCTTTTTGTCTAAAACCTTACACTTTCAGGCTAATAAATTATTTTAGACTAATATATACTTGTTTTGTTAAGATTCTGTTAAAGCAGTTTCCTATCTGACGAGTTCAGGGTTCAACATCTGCATTCTAACTACAGGTCCCTTTGGCAGGTCAGCCAAATCTAACAGGCAGCAGAGGGCGCTATACTCATACTGAGGTCTGTTGGTGAAGAGGGATGTTTAAGGCCTCATCCTAGGCAGATTTCCTGGTCTAAGAGGGTGAAAACTATGTTGGATTACACAGTATGAATTAATGTGATAGCACACCATTTGAACAATTGGACCTATCAAATATTCTTTTTTGGATTTTATCACCCCTCATTCAAGGGTCTCATTTTGCACTTTTTCACTTGTTACAAGAGTATATGTATATGTACCTGTGTGAGTTAGTGTTTAATGTCATGTGTAAATACCAAATGAAATGGACTGAGTTGAATATTTATTTCTTAAGGGAAGCCCAGCATTTTCACATGGAAAAATAAATTTATATGTAAAAAGTTGAAAGATCAGGCATCCATAAAGAAATACAATAAATATATTAGAATTACTTACTGCTTACCATCCATGACAGACTAATCCTTTATTGCTCATACATGTATTAGTTTTCAAAGTTTTACCATTCTTTACTTATATGTACAATATGAAGTAGTTTTGTGTAGCGAGGGAAGACATTACCCATGTACTCACATAGATTTAGGCTTTTCTGATCAAACCAGCAGTGCCCAAGTAGATATCATGGGTGTTGATTTGACCCCAAGGAATGAAACCACCAGAAACAGAAGTGTTCTTATCTATTTACGTAAATCTTGCCACACAGGTTTTGTGAAATGGAGTTTGAACTATTCTTGGTTTTTACTGTGATGCATATTTGAACACATGTGTTTAATCTGAAATGAGCTGAAAACTTTTGTTGGCCAGTGTATATGCTTAAGTGAGTAAGAAAGAATGTTTTTGTATTAAATGTTCTTAATACAAACATTTAATTTATATTTTCTGTTATGATTGTCTCCCTGATTTTGTTAATTATTGTAGTGTACCATTTATACATATTCCAATTTTTATATCAAAAGTAACTGGCCCAAAATTTATTTTTAACATCATTAAGAAATTTCCCTAATGTATTATACTTCTTCTATGACCCTGGAACTGGTATTTGCTAGCCTGAATACCGTGCACAAATCTCTGAAACTGGCAGAAATTCATTGGCTTTTTTCATTTGTGAAATGGAAATAAGAAATGGTCACCACATTTTGTTTTATCTTCAGCAAAAAGTATGGCATGAGTGTTCCTATAGAGAGACGTTCAGAGCTGGGCACAGTGGCAAACATCTGTAGTCCCAGCTACTTGAGAAGTTGAGGCAGGAAGATTGCTTGAGCTCAAGAATTTAGGGCCAGCCTGGGCAATATAGGGATATTTCATCTCACCAGAAAGAGAAAGGCATTCAGCACTTCTAGTTCATATTTTTAACATTACAGTTTAAGTTTTCAAAGAGATTTAAAATCTATCTTTAAAATTTTATGAGCTTTAGAAGACATGTAATTATCCTATGCTGTTGCTTATATCAGTTACTAATATTCCGTGTATGGTTTATACTAATGTACATTCTTTGTTGCTTAGGATTTTTTCCGAAATTTACCCCACTGGATTCAGCAGCACACTGCCATGAATGACGCTGGCAATTTTCTAATTGAAACTTGTGATGAGATGGTCTCTCGTGACCTCAAGCAGCAATTACTCCTGCTCAATGGGCGATGGAGGGAGTTGTTTATGGAAGTCAAGCAAGTATGTCTTTCAAATCTATGTCCTCGTCAAACATGGATTTGTTATAAATGTGGTGATAAACAGTCTGTTTAGAGGCAATTTTACTTTGATAGCATGGGCTTATTAAGGCAGAATATAGCAATGTTTAAAGCTAGTCTATTTTATAGTTGATTATTCATTCTTTTCCATTTGTAATGAAGGAAAATAGCAGAAGTGTAAAGTCTGATTAAAGATCATGTTGACATATGGAGCCTACTTATACGGAATGACTCTCTTTTCAAATCATAGTCCTTCATTTCTATGCTGGTTCCTTTATTTTTTTTTCAAAGTAATTGGACTTACTTCAAACTTATCTAAAATAAGCATCAAGAAATAGAGTCTGTCTTACCATAGAACAATCCCAAGACTATGAGCCTGTGTCTAAATGAAGACTATGGTTTCTACAGTCACAGTTTAATGATTTTCTAGTGTTGTTCCTCTCCACCTTTCCTCAACAGTATGCACGAGCAGATGAGATGGACAGAATGAAGGAAGAATACACAGAGTGTGTCACTACCCTCTCTGATTTTGCAACAGAAGCCCATAAGAAATTTGCTGAGCCTTTAGACGTCTCTTTTCTTAATGTCAAGTTATTAATTCAAGACTTGGAGGTGAGAGGTTTTTGGTCATAAAATGAAAAACCTACTCTACTCTGAAAATAAATATCAGCAACATTTTCTAGATCACTAAAAAAAAAAAAAAAAAAAAAAAAAATAGCTGTCTGTATCCTTGGAGGGATCATTTTGACAGGGCCACATGGCCCAACTCATGCCTCTCAAAAATACAAGTATACTCAAATTTTTAAAAATACATTTTAATCATATGAAGTAACTTCAAAGATACTTGTTCAATTTAATTTTTTCTACATTATGAAACATTAGGAAAATTATGAAGCATTAGGGAAAAAAACAAGAGCATCTACAGATACCACTTCTTAGGTGATGCTTCCAATGAGAAAGGATTTCTTGAATGAACTGTGGTATTTATGTGTTTTGAGGAGCATTCAGTTTTGAAATTTGAAATCGTGGGAATATATCTAGTGACACAAAAAGATTTTTACAATACATAGTTAAATAAGAAAAGGAAACCACAGTATCATCCTTTTGTTTTTAGCAAAAGTTAAAAATGGGTAGAGACATACACAGGAAAAAAATAATGACACAAAGATGAGATGTTGGTTTTGATAATCACTGTTTTAAGACACTATAAGTAATTTAAGTTGTCTTAATACTACTATCCCTAATTTTAAGTCTTATACAATGAAAATACTTTTTAAAGAAAGGTTTTATTTTTAAAGTCTGAATTGGCCCATGATGTTAACATGTGTTTGTATAATATAGTATTTCTCTTCTGTATACATATGCTTTGAAATTATAAAGACTACTTCAACTAATCTTTATGTTATGTTAAAGATATTTGGTCATTTTCTTTGTGGGTAGGGCTGGGGACTGAATCCAGGGCATTGACTCTAAGCTACATCTCCAGCCCTTTATTTGTTTGTTTGTTTGTTTATTTATTTATTTAGAAGATCTTGGTAAGTTGACCAGGCTGAGCTTGCACTCTCAATGCACCTGCCTTAGCTTTCCATAGTGCCACCATGCCCAAATATTTGTCCCTTTTAAAGGGAAGCTGAGAAACTTTTTATTTATTTGTATGATATTCCTTTCTAATAGTAAAGAAGGACAGCAGTGACCAGAATCTCTAGAAGCTTATTACAAGTATAGAATTTTTTGCAGTGCATATTGACTTTTGTTCTGCTTTCTGAAGAATTTTGGAATTGAAAAGAATGCATCATGTGTTAATCGAGCTGTTCCAATGATTCATGCAGGATACTGAGCAGAGGCTTCCTGTGATAGATGCTCAATACAAGATGATCACAAAGACAGCACATCTCATTGCCAAAGAAAGCACTCAAGAAGAAGCTAATGAGATGTTTTCTATCATGTCCAGACTCAGAGATCAGCTTACCAAGGTATGAAAATGCCTCAATGCACAATGCACTAAATGGCACCAACTCCAGCTTTGCTGGTGCCTTCTCTGTCCCATGGAGAAAGTATTTACTCATCAATAGGTCATGCTTTGGGTTCCAATCAGTGTTCCTGAGTTAGCGGCTTTGTCATGTAGTATCTTTATCATGAACTTTAAAAACAAAGCTATGGTGCTCATACCAAGTATTACCTCTGTTAGTTTAGAAATGTAGTCACTATATTTTAACAGAAAATAGGTATGGCTTGGGGACACTTAAATGAAATAAAATAGAGAGAGAAGAGGAAACAGAGAGACAAAAAGAAGGAGGAGAGAGAGACCATAGACTGTAAGGACAATGAATTGAGATACGAGAGCACTTTAAGCTTATCTATATTTCCTTCTAGGACAGTGACAAAGCACTGGAAATTCTACCCTCCTCTTCTCATGGAGCTCAGTGCAGGCATAGGGTATATCCTAGCATGCTGTGTCTGTGCAGGGAACTAAATGGATAGATGCACTAAACATAAGGCATTCCCATTTTAATGATTTTCTTTAAGAGCTTTGAAAGTTCCATTGGGAGCTTTTATCTATCAAAACTTATTGCTTGCAAAATCCACTTTGAGTAATTAATTTATAGTGCAAGTAAGGAATAGTTGTATAAGTACATAGAAACATTTTATAATTGGAAAACAAAACAAATGAAGGAGAAATCTATTATATAGGGGATAAAATAGAAATAATAACAAGTCCTATCAGTAGAAGAGAATCAATGAAAAAGAAAAATACAAAAAAATGCAAATAAGAACTTAGTAAAGAAAAAATCTTTGGTATATATTAGAAAGTTCATTTTCAAATAATTTTGTTTTACTGAAGTAAGAATTATTTGTAATTTAATACTAATGCACAATAATAATAATAATATTGGCTAGCAGCAATACTCATTAATAATGCAAAGGCAACATTTTCAATTTGATGATATTCCAGGAGCTTTTGAGCTCATATCTGCACCTGCAATTCTCAGCCAGATATAGCAGCTCAAGGCAACTTGAGAAGGCAAACTGAACCTTCAAGCACGTCTATGCCAGTATGTTTTCTTATTGCTTGTCTATTGCACCCAGGGAATAATAAACAAAACATACTTATTTTATACACATAAGTAGAAACTCTTGGTTTTGCTCAACCCAGTTGTAGCACAGTGCTATTGCACTAGGACAGTAGCTTTCATTTATTGAGTCAGTTCATCATTCCAGCAATGTATTCTGGAACACAAAATAGGTCTGCATCTATAATTTTGTACCTCACAGGAACAAAATGTTGTCCTCCACACACTTTCTTCAAAAAATATTTTTGCATTATTGCTGATTACATATCACATCGTTGTCTTTATATTTTATGAATAACACAGAATGATCTAATAATGATTAACTTTCTTTGTCTTAATTGCATAGTATTAATTGCATAGAATAAAAACAGTAGTTTGAAGCAACTGTAGGTAAAGTGAGAAGGGTTGAAAGGTTCTTAGAGAATTATAAATTCTTGGAGTTCAACACAGAAGTGGTCAAGCACACGTTTGAAGGAGTTCATTAACTCCAAGAGCTTATATCTTCATTATGAAGAAAGTGCAGGTGTATTAAATGACAAGGGAAAAGTTGGGCCATTTCGGACTGGGAAGATGTCCCTAGCATCAAACTTCCAGGATTAAATGAGCGTGTGACACCTGTACTTGGATGAGTAGAAAGTCGATGAGGACACCGTAGTGAAGCCGAGAGAGGTGTGAGAGAGCATAGAAGGGTCTGTGAAGAGCAAGCCAACAGGTTTGTAAGTTTTTCTGGGCGCAGGGCTCAAGTCAGAGAAGATCTTGGGAAAATAAAGCCAGAAGAAGCAGATCCACGAAGGTGATAATAATACTGCATGGCTATCTTAGGTCAGGTTTCAAGGCCAATGTGAAAATGAGTTACATGTTTTATGAAGGGAATTGATGCCATCTGCCTTACTAACAACACTTATTTAAATGAGAAAGTGCCATCCAGATGGGCTACTTGCATGCATTCATTAGAAAGCTCCATAAGAATTCACTTCTGTCCCTGACAGCAAAGTTTAACGATCCAGAGGAAATATCAGCAAAGAAATGACCCTAGAGATTTGGAAGCACCAAATAACCCTGTCACTAAAGAGAATATGCCTGAGAGTTATACCCAGTGTCCCTAGCTTGTAGCACTTCATGTAGCCTCTCATGGAACTTTTGTTTTCCTGTTTTTTGAAGGTCAAAGATGGTTGCTCCCCACTCCTGCATGAGTCTCAGCAGCTGTTGATTCCACTGGAGGAATTGGAAAAGCAGACAGCATCTTTCTATGACTCACTTGGCAAAATCAATGAGGTTATGACAATTCTTGAGCGTGAGGCACAATCTAGTGCTCTTTTTAAACAAAAGCATCAGGTAAGAAAAATCCCTTTCAAAGACATAGTTATTTTAAAACACATTTAATAAGATGAGATGTTGTTTATAGTAATAAACATTCAGTTAGGACAAATGTATTTTTAGACTATTATAGTACTAGTAACTCAAAACACAAATGCACAACTTGTCCCACAATGAGAGCTCGTCCTGTGTTGAGCTGTTTCCAGGGGACGCTCAAGCTGGACACTCAGAGCAGGTGACTCATTGGAGCTCATCTCTTAGCTTCTGAATTAAGAAGTTCCCCAATTTGAGCAAAATTAAAAGGACCAGTTTATATGGAGTATTTGCCTCTCCCTTCTATGGCCTGGGCAGTGTTGTGGCTGAAGACACTCAGCAAGTCTTTATGGCCATCTGCCCTGTGCATGCCCTGCATGAGTTCTGATCACCAAGTGTGGAAGACGGAAGTTCACCATGACTCTCTGGAAATAAGGAATGTGTCATAGAAGGAGAGCCAATCCCACTATTCTGTCTTGAAACAAAAAGACACCCACAATAGAAAGACCTTTCATTAACCTCTCTGCATTGTAGTCATTTAATTTTCTAGTATTGTCTTTCTACCAATGAACAGAGTACACACATACATGGAATCATTATAATTAAAATCTCATTTGTAATTTTAAAAGAACAGAAAAAAACATATTTTTTAAAATTTCATCTTTATATTGACTCTCTTTGGGAAATCATTTAGTGCTCCTTTCCATACACATCTTTGGGCATCACCTGCTGCCCAACTGATGAAGTGGTTGATTTCATTTTAAAAATGTTTGTTCCTCCATTCCTGGATTGGTTGGAAACATAGGGATGGATATGGATAGATAGATTGATAGATAGGTACAGTTTATATGTATGTTTATATAATAAATAATTGATTTTTTCCTATTTCTAAGGAGTATCTATGATTTATGTTTTATGAGTGCTTTTCTTTCCCTCTGGGAATAGATCTTTTCAACCAACCATGTAATTCAGGAAAGATATTTGGTGTGGTAGTCGCTTTTTGTATCATTTCTAGTGAATGCTTCTGCATCCGTAGGTCTCTTATTCTATGTGCAGCTAACTGACTTATTTAGTTGGCTCATTATAAATGAACCTATCCATCAATGAGGGTGAAACTGGTGGAGGGAAGGTTTGCCACAGGGTTACTTGATATAAATTCAGGGAAGGAGGCAGTTTCAGTAGAAAGAGCAGAGATCTGAAATGAGCCATAGACATTCAAACCTCAGGTTTGATATGCAGCAAATTATAAAACCTTGCTTAACTTTAATATCCTTACATAAAATGAAGATGAGTATATACATCAATATATTTTCAGTATTGAGAAGCATTATTAATACTTGGCACTGTACCACAATGAATATATCACCAAATACCATTCTGTGACTTATCACATTGGATAGTCTTTTAGTTTGTGATATGATGTTATTTCCTACTTCCCAAAGTTTCTATACATTAGCATCAATAATCGTTCCATAATTAAAGTGATCCTTTTAGTAAGCATTGGTACTCCATAAGAGATTTTTAAATGTTTCCATTTTGCCTCCTAAGTCTTCAAAGGGAATAAGTATATCTTCATTCAAACACAAAGCCTTGCTGTTAATGTTAACATTTAGATTACCAAAAATGACATCCAAATGAGCAGTTTGAAATTTTTTTTTCAAAGCTGCTGAGGATGTTGAAATGCAAGTGGTGTGGATTCAAGACAAAATTGACTCTGCCTTGGCTGGGCTGGTTCATTTCCCCCTCTGCCAAAGTTGCTAGGATACCATACTGCCAGTCAGAGGGGCAGGCCTGCCAGTCCCCATTGTATCTCGTGCTGCCCATAGGAAGGTGCAAGTCTTCCCCAGACTGATTGGCTTGACATATTTTTGATGATAATGTGAAGTTCATTGCTTAATTAAAAAGACTGACATCTTGGGAGTCGTAAGAATTCAAATATTCTAAATTTAGAGTACACAAATAACATTAATCTTCTACACCTGACTCTTTCAGTGAAGTGACCACACAATGATTTCAAATTTATTTAGTCTGATCAAAACCTAATATGTAAATTGATTTTGTGATTTTCTCTCAAAAAGCCATTGGTGTGCCAACCAGTTGGAGGAGTTGAGTAGACAAATAATTTTTGGTTCTGTCATTTTTTAATGTTAAGATGTGCATGAAATATATAAAAACTCATTGTGACATTTAAGTGCCTTATATAAAGAGCATTGGCTTCAGGGATTACCTCAAACTGAGTGCTTTTGAAAGGTTTATCTGTACATGTGGTTGTACATATGCTGATCAAAAGCCTGAGAGCTGTGTAACGCTATTGTTTGTAATTACTCTTCCCTTCCTTCTTTGTATTCCTCCTCTCTTCCTTCTTTCTCTCCCTTCTTTCCTCTTTCCTCCCTTCTTCCCTGTCTTGTAAATAATATTATCATGGGTTTCCTTTCCTTGTAGGAACTGTTAGCTTGTCAAGAAAGCTGCAAGAAAACTGTGACACTCATTGAGAAAGGCAGCCAAAACATTCAAAAGTTTGTGGCCTTAAGCAATGTGTTAAAGCATTTTGATCAGACCAAGCTACAGAGACAGATTGCAGATGTCCATGTTGCTTTTCAGGTAACTTGCTCTGTGTGCCTTCAGAGTTCTTAGTCCACAAAAATCCAAAGATTAAAAAAAAAAAGTAATTACCATTTGTTTCAACAGTTCTTTCGGAAATACCTGACCCTCTGGTATTTGAAAACCAACAATTTTACTACTTTTTCTCATATTAATATTGAAAGGAACTAATGAAATTTTATCATAATGAAATATCCTCCTCTCAAGTGACTTTTTAAGTTTGAAAAAGATAATGCTGGGTCAGGGATTTAGTTCATTGGTTCTGCCGCCTGCCTTGCAAGCACAAGGTCCTGATTCAATCCACAGTAAAAAAAAAAAAAAAAAAAAAAAAAAAAAAAAAAAAGATTGTGCTGCCTGGCCAAATGGTGCTTTCAGTAATGAAAAAGCAGCATCATGTTATGATTTGCATCTGCAAATTTAACCACCTGTGGATAGCAAATATTTGGAAAAAAATTATATCTATACTGAACATTTACAGCCATTCTTTCTTGTCATTATTCCTGAAACAATATAGCATGACAACTATCCGTGTAGTGTTTACATTGTGTTAATTATTATAAGAAGTCTAAAGGTGATTTATAGTATGCAAAAGGATACACCTAGGTTATGTGCAAATAGTGTCCCATTTTATATAAGACCCTTGAGCGGCTGTGGATTTTGGTATCCTTGGGGAATCTTGAAACAAACCCCCTGAGGATACCAAGGGACAATTGTATTTTTTACATCAAGAATATGGTAAAGAAAACCGGAGATTGGAAAAAGCATGTGGAAACCAACAGTCGCTTGATGAAGAAATTCGAGGAGTCTCGGGCAGAGTTGGAGAAGGTGCTGCGAGTCGCTCAGGAGAGCCTGGAAGAGAAGGGAGACCCCGAAGAACTTCTGCGAAGACACACAGTGAGTCTGCCCATCGTTGCTCATGCAATCCGGGGGCACAGACAGGAGATCTGGAACAAGAGAGTAAAAGAGCGTTCTGACCCAGCACTGGCGTAGACGGTGGGGTGGGGTGGAGTGGGAGTGAGCACAGTGTCTTAGGAAGGCAATCAGTGTGTATGGGAAACTCAAAGAAATGGTGGACAGAAATGCTTCAAAGGCATCTCATTAGCTGCCTTACAGGAAGTCATCCTTAAGCCCCCAGAATAATGAGTCCAGATATCCAGGATGTCCTAATTACTAACTCATTTCATTTAGAAATTCTTATGTAACCACAAGTGCCCTTAAATAGACAACTTGAGGTGAGTGGTTAACTCCTTTGTGCCATGTACTTGTTCTTTATCAGCTTTAATTGAGTTTATTGGTACATTTTAGGGATACAGTACAGTTACATTCACTGTTGGGATCTTGTATCTCTACATGACAAGTCTTGGTTGTCATTTTTTCCCCTTGTCCTTGCCTTCCCTTCACCCCCTCCTCCCCTCCCCATCTACAAATACTTTATTTCCGTCTTTTCATTATCTCACATTTTTTTCTTTTCCCTTATTACCCTTACCCTACCCTTCCCACCTTTCCTACACCTTTAGCTCCTTTCTTCCCATTTCTCAATGTCAGTAATCTTATTAGGATCTTCTGTATTATTACAGATTATTCACACCAGAGAAACTATTCGGTATTTACACATGTGTGCCTTATTTATTTCACTTAGGAGTATATCTTCAATATGTATCCATTTTCCTATGAATGAATCTATTTTCTCATTCTTTATGGCTGAGTAATATTCCATTTTATAGAAAAACCACATCTTCTTTATCCAGTTTCCAACGGATGGGCAAATGGGCTGTTTCCAAGTTTTAGCTATTACAAACTGTGCCGCTATAAACATGGGTGTGCATACTTCTCTGTGATATGATTCTTTTAGTTCTTTTGGAAAGATACCCAGCAGAGGGATGGCTGGGTCAAATGGAACCTCCAGTCCAAGCTCTTTGAGGTATCTCCATGAAGAGGATATTAAAAAATGGAAAGATATCCCCTGCTCCTGGGTAGGAAGAATCAACATAGTGAAAATGGCTATACTACCAAAACTTCTATATACATTCAGTGCAATGCCAATTGAAATTCCAACACTATATTTCACAGAACTAGAAAAAAGAATCCAAAAAATTCATATGGAACCATAAGAGACCTAGAATAGCAAAAGCCATTTTAGGCAACAGACACATGGCACCAGGTATAACAATTCCCAATTTGAAACTATACTACAAAGCCACTGTGATAAAAACAGCATGGTTCTGGCAAAGAAACAGGCCTGAGGATCAGTGGAACAGACTGGAAGACATAAAAACAAACCCAGATGTACTCAGCTACCTCATCTTTGACAAAGGAGCTGACCATCCTCAGTGGAGTAAAGAGCCTCTTTAATAAATGGTGTTGGAAAAATTGGATGTCAACCTGCCACAGATTAAAACTAGACCCTTATCTTTCACCATGCACTAAATTAAAATCTAAATGGATTAAAGATCTAAATATTAAAACAGAAACATTACACCCCAGATGTACTCAGCTACCTCATCTTTGACAAAGGAGCTGACCATCCTCAGTGGAGTAAAGAGCCTCTTTAATAAATGGTGTTGGAAAAATTGGATGTCAACCTGCCACAGATTAAAACTAGACCCTTATCTTTCACCATGCACTAAATTAAAATCTAAATGGATTAAAGATCTAAATATTAAAACAGAAACATTACACTTGCTGGAAGGTAAGTTAGGCAGAACTCTAGAAGACATTGGCATAGGAAAAGACTTTATGAACAAATCCTCAGTAGCACAGGAACTAGCAGATAGAATCAACAACTGGGATCTCATCTTATTAAAAAGATTCTGTACTTCAAAAGAAACCATCAGCAGAACTAAGAGACAGTCTACAATGTGGGAAAAAATTTTTACCAGCTGTTCCTCATGTACTTATTTATATAGTAGTACTGCGCTACATAACTATCCTTGTTTAACTTTTGTTGTTGTTGATCATTTTGAGACTGGGTTTTGCTAAATTGCTAAATTGCTTGGATCAAACTTGTGATCCTCCTGTCTCAGCCTCTTAGAGTGGTAGGATTACACACTTGCACTACTATGCCTGGTTATTTGTGCTCTTTGATAAACCACCATGTCATAGTATAGATATAATGTCACTTGAAGTCTTGCATTCAATACACAACATGAAGTCATTTCATGCTTTCTCTACTTGTTACAATGACATTAGCCTTAATAACACTGGTGGTATAGGAAGTGGTGTATAGAGATGATCAGCATTCTGAAAATATTGTATTTGAACTATTTTTCCTGAGATTTCACTGGATACTTGTATAAGCCACACTCTCAAACAAGGAATTCAGTGAATTTGGGATACAGCTTTCTAAACTCAAGGTCATTGTCTATAATCAAAAAAGCTCAAAGCATCTCTTCAATTTAAATGTTTCTCCAGTGGGCACTTCTGTTTTGAGTCACCATTGTTTCCAAATCTCTCTGCATGTGCAGTCCTGAGTATGTGAGAATTAGTCACGGATGTATACATGTAAGCATATATTGACTTAGCCTGCTCAGGCCTCCATAACATGATGCCACACATGGGATTCTCAAAATTTACTTTCTCAGAGTTCCTGAGGCTGGAAGTCTGAGATCAGGGTACCAGAATGGCAGGGTTCTGGTGAGGACCCTCCCCTTTGGCTAATAGCGGGCTGCCTTTTTCACGGTCTTTTGTATCAGAAAGAGAGCTCTTTGATGTCTCTTCCTATATGGGATGAATCCTAACATCAAACTTCCATCTTCTTGACTTCAATAAATCTAATTACTCCCCACAAACAAAGGCCTCATCTCCCACTACTGTCACATTTGGGGCTAGGACTTTAATATATGAATCTGAGGGGGATATGATTCTATTGATAGCATTGTGTTTCTAGCATGTGCCACAAAGCCCCGGGTTCAATCTGCAGTACCAAGGCAGCGGGTGACAGCAGAAAAGAAAAGAGTTATAAAGCTCGATCCTGGCTTCTACCCTGCTCTTCTGTCTTTATAGAAGAGGAACCAGAACTCTGTCACTGGAATCAAGACCTTAGCATCTTCCATTAGCCTTTCACAAAATTTTGAAATCTGCAGATTTTTTCCTAAAATGTAAAAAGTACTAGCTAATTGCAGATATGAGGAGTTGCAACTCATAACTATAGATATTTACAGTTTATTCCTGAAAAAAATCAGAAATTGCATGGAAATTTTGATAAGGGCAACAGATAAGTGGCTAAGAGGATGAGTCAAGTGTGATTGTGTTGATGCTGTCTTCTGTTTTGCTGGGAACCTTAACTGTTCTCCCCAATACCACAGGAGTTTTTCAGCCAGCTGGATCAGAGGGTCCTCAATGCTTTCCTGAAAGCTTGTGATGAACTCACAGACATCCTCCCTGAGCAGGAGCAACAGGGGCTGCAGGAAGCAGTCAGGAAGCTGCACAAACAGTGGAAGGTGATCCCGGGGCACCTGGGGCTGTGGAAAATATCATGTCCTGAGTGAAGGGGGAATGCACAAGAGAGATGAGGGCCAGGCACAGCGGAAGTGTGGAAATGCACTCAATGTTCCCATAGCTACTTTCCCATTACAAATAAAACCCAAATGTGAGTAAAACGTGAACAGACATAGAATTTTGTTCTTCCAATTTATGGTAGCATCAATTCTATCGTACTATTCAAATACTCAGTTTTTTTTGTTTGCTTTGGGGTAGGTGTGAAAAAGTCATTAACTTATTTAAGCAGTTTTTAGTGAACTAAATTTAGTGATGAACAAAATATACTTCTTCTTCCAAAAGAGCCTAGAGCTCAGTTAGGGAGATAATTTGTTGCAAATAACAAAAGTATGATATATAAGAATGATATATGATATATATGATATATAAGAAGTCCATATGTAAGTATTATATAGAAGCTTTGAGAAGGAGGTGGACCCAGGAGGAGATTGGAGAAGAACAAATAAAGTAACCAATTTTGAGCTAGGACTTCAAAGAAAAAGCAAAACTGTGGGGGTAGGAAGCAGGGAAAGCCATGGCAACCGGAAGAGAGAAAGGCAGAGCGTGGCAAGTAAGAAAGGCAGGGGTCCTTCTGGGCTCTGTGTGATCGAAGAGTCATGGGCTGGGAGGAATTATGGGGAACAAAGGTGGTCCTAGCACAGAAAGCCCACTTGACATGGCCACGACAGCTTCCGGAGGCGGCACACTTGTCACTGATGCTCCATGAGAGCTGCTTCTCGAGCCAGAGCCAAGAGAATGAGTGTACTTGGGAGGTGATATTTTGTGGACAATGTATAAAGGCAGCCTGGGGTTTGGAAGATTGGCAGCTAAAACACTCTCCATCGGATTGCTTTATTTTCTGGATTTTTAAAATCTCATTAACATGGACTAAACATCATCCTTATGCATATAGGAGAGATGCTTGCTAAATTTGAAAATTTGTTTCTCATTTAAAAAGATTGTTAAAGAAACCGAAGCTTTCTACGGTGCCTTGAAGCTTAGAATATCAAAAAGGTACAAGGAAATTGAAGGTTTTGTGTTATTTCATGCACACTCATAAAACTTCTTGGGTGTCACCCATTATAATCTTTCCATAGCCCTACCACAGTTTTGTCACAGTTATCTTAATGTTCCATTTAAAGAAAATCCTTTAGGTGCTATAGGACACAAGTTGGCTAAAATTTATAAATTAGAGAATTAAAAGTAATGATGAAGCTTATACTTATATCAAAAGGGAAGGACATAAAATGTTACTTACTGTTTGAGTGTTTGCTTACTTACGTCCTCAGTGTACATCTGTAAAGAGAAGAGGACATAGCAGGTGGTCCGGTGCCCAGGGTATTTAACCTTGAATTGTTTTGTGTTTTGGGGTACCTAATAAGGTTTTCTCAAATTTTCCTTTTGTGATCTTGCCTTTCCTACCTCACAGGGGTGTTAGCAAATCAGAAGGGACTCATACTTGTAAGAGTGTATGTAGTATCCGTGCATGATTTAAAGCCCAGTTCACATCTGAGCTTTCCCAATTCTTCTAGAGCATTAATAGTATAATCTGTAAAAGAAGAACATTAAATTTGTGCAGGGCTATTATTAAAATTAAACAGAAGAATTGCTGTGAAAATGCCTGACCTTGTCAGGGTGAACAGACTAGGAGCAGTCAGTCTTTGGAAAAGCCCAAAGAACAAAGAGAATGTTTTAGTCCTTTTGTTATTTCAGTTAGAAATGTACCTCATCAGAAGCACAAGTCATCTTTTCTGGATCTTTCTATGAAATGCAGGATCTTCAAGGAGAAGCCCCTTACCACTTGCTCCATCTGAAGATCGCTGCAGAGAAGAACAGATTCTTGGCTTCTGTAGAAGAATGCAAAATGGAGCTGAATCGAGAGACCCAGCTGATGCCTCAAGAAGGCAGTGAAAAACTCATTAAAGAGCACAGGGTGGGTTTCACCTACCAAGAGCACCGTCATGCAGAGGCGCACTGCTACTTCAAGGATATAACAGATGCTTTATTTTGGGTGTTGAAAAATAGCTATTTACTCTCTAGTGGTAGTCTATGGGAATCTCCCATGAGTTTTTCTATAAAAAATGTAAAAATAGTATGAGGTGACTTCTTACGGGGATTATAAAAACACTTATTGCTCATTAGATTTTCTTCAGTGACAAAGGCCCTCATCATCTCTGTGAGAAAAGACTACAGCTCATTGAAGAACTGTGTGTGAAGCTGTCCGTCCGGGATCCGGTAAAGGACACGCCTGCAACCTGTTACACGGCTCTCAAGGAGCTGAGAGCTGCCATTGACAGCACGTACGCAAAGCTGGTGCAAGACCCAGACAAGTGGAAGGACTACACTGGCAGGTAGCTTGGGGCTTGTTTCCAGGGAGGGACTTGGTCTCTCTGAGTTCTGCTAGTTCAGAGATGATTATGAAGCAGGAAATGACAACTATTTCATTTTATGGAATAAAAAGACAGATTGTCTGACCATGCCTGTGTTCCTGTACACAAATGCTTCATCTAAAGTGATGGGTTTCAGTCAGCAACGGGGTGAGACATTTTAGTTCCAGTTGACTCATGTTCTTTTGCGGGCAGAATTGGCTGATCCCCTTTACCCTGATTTTTCCACCACCCACTGCACATCTGTTTCTTTGGTTTAGCACCTCATCACGGCGGACACAATTGAGGGACCCCAGGCTGTCCCTTCCTCCCAGTTGCTCAAGCCCTGGGACACATCTTTGTCCTCAGCTCCTGCCAAGTTCCTGAGTTTCAAGGCAGCCACCCTTGCCCTAAGTTTTATGTTATAAGGTTTCCAGGAAATATGTTGATCAGTTTGGTTATCATTTGATTTTCACATTTTTATGAGCACTTTCATGGAAAATGGATTCTCACCACTCCAATATTTTCTCCCTTGAATAAGGAGATGCTTGTGTTCTTTCAGATTTTCTGAGTGCTCATCTTGGATATCAGCCAAGGAGAAACAGTTGAAGGGAATCAAGGATGCAGCCATTGATGCGGCCAATCACAGCAGGGTTAAACGTGTGGTGGAAGTAAGTTCTGGGCCATTGTTTGCTGGAGGCAATTTTACAATAATAAAAAAAAAAGATAAGCAATATAAATGTTGTTTTCTCTTTCTTTCTGGAAAAAAATAGGCTTCTGAACAATGTCTTGAAGATAAGTGTCCTCATATGACTATGGAGAATTTGAGGTGTTTTTTCTACTGAACTGTCGATAGCTGTGAGATTGTCATGTTCAGTGTTCTCTCTTGTATTGTTAGCTAATGATGAGTGAAAATTACATGCATGGGAGTGTAACACATTAGATCTGGGAGCAATCACAGAAAACAAGAACACTGAGTGCTCTTATACAATACATTTTCAGTGATGAAAAAGCTAGGTCATAGAAGAAAGCAGTGAATTGGGCAAGACCTTTAAGCATCCTTTCCCTGTCGTATTCAGATTAGCTGACCCATTTCTGGCCTTTGTGAGCAGTGGTGCAGTGGGATGAACCCGGCCAGGGTGTCAGAACCTCAGGCCCGAGCACAGCTTGTGTTCTGTGAGTGGGACCTGGTGACCTTGCCCCTCTCATCTTGGCTTTTGTTTGTAGACACACGCCATTGTGGAAACCCTTTCTCTTTTATTTTTAACCTTTGCTGGCCAAAGCTCCTGGGAAGGAAAATAAACTTCCTTTCTGTTTCAATCCTCTGAGTTCCATTTTATTTCCTATTAAATTATGCTGGAGGTGGTTAATAACATCCTAGTGTACATCAAATAGGTTGTTGTTTACTACTGGTTGCTATTGTATTGCAAAAAAAATTCACATCTTATAATGCAGAGATCACCTGCTTCTGGAATCACACGTTTCTCCCAGCTCACAGAAAGTGAGGTAACAATATATATATATGTTATAATTCCTGATGTTGGTATCTCATAATCTTAGTACTGTTAGAAGCACCTTTGATGTAAATAAGGATATTTCTATAAATCTCTAAACAATCGAATTATGAAGGTGATTTTTTTAATGTGAAGACAGTATTGATTTTATTAGCTATTGGCAGTTGGCATCAGGGAACATTTCATTTGAGCCCTTGTGGACTTATTAAAGATGCATGCAAGAGCAAAAGAAGCAGGCATTCTGCTGTTGGCTTCAATGCCTCTCACCTCCATGCACAAACTTTCTCAGGTTGAGTCTTTCCCAGCTATGATGTTCTTATTCAAAACTGTACTGTGTTCAACAATGATGTTTTCTCATTCCAGGAAATCAGAAACGGTGTTAGCACAAAAGGCGAGACTCTTAGCTGGCTGAAATCCAGGCTCAAAATTTTGATTGAGGTTTCTTCTGAGAATGAAGCCCAACAGCAAGGAGATGAGCTGGCAAAGTTATCCAGCTCTTTCAAGGCACTCATGACTTTGCTGTCGGAGGTATGTCATTTCCTCACACTCTGAGCACATGGTTCTATTTCCTTTGGCCGTAGTTTTACAAGTAATTTTATGAAGACACCATAGTTGAAACAGTACAGTTTGCGTACTTATTTATATGAATATTATTGGGCAAGATAAGTAGAGTGTCTGAATTAAGTTCATTGTCATTTATTCAATATGTCATTTCAGATTAATTATCTATATCTGAAATCCAAAGTCTATCCATCGACATCTTTTTTTTTTGTTTTTGGTACTTACTAGAAATATATCAATCTAAAAATTTTTTTGTTCTTACTAAAAATATTGTTATTTTTCTTCCACTTTAAGGTTTATATAAGGTTTAAGAGCAAGGCTTGGGCTTAATATAAACCTAGGGCTACAGCTTAAATCCAATGCCCTTTATCCTGTATAAACTTGAGTTTGTTATTAGATGTCTCTAGGTTCTGATTTCCTTAGTTATAAAACAGGTTAGAATACATACCTTAAAATGGCCATGACAAAGATTGACTGTAATGATGTGTATAAAGCATTTAGTATAGTGCTTCTTAGAGTGAATGATTGATACCTGCTAACTATAAATAGTAAAATAGTCAATAAAATATTCAGTGACTTCTTAGCAGGCCAGAAAAACTACTTTAGCCAAGATCTACTCACTCTAAAATTCAATGTTTTTGTAATTCAATGTTTATGTAATTCCTTTATAGATTAAAATATGCCAGTCAACCTACTTAATTTATAGTAGGACCTCTTTCACCCTCAGCTATTGTGTAAGTCTCATGAATTTGTGAGTAGGAGGATACTGTAAGAAAGCAAAGCAGAATAGATATTTACCAGTGTTTCTTGACCTTCCATGGAAAATGGCCCACCAGATAATGAAAAAATGACCACTGAGCCGTCTGATTCTGAAGAACTGGACTATAGATGTTCCTAATTTGTCTGTTAAGCTTTTATCATTTTAATCTAAATAGATAGATCTGCTCGAGACTGATGCAGTGAATTTATATAAGCCAAAAATACTCTGAACTGCTTGTGATTTAGTTTTATGTGAGAATTTTCATATAAATTATGGTTTTCTTAAGAATGTTGGACAAATTAAACATAGTGATCTGATTAATTCAGTTATGGAATAAAGTTATTTCAATCCTTTAAGTGTTCATATTTTTATAACAACAGTCAGGTGCAGCTAGTTGCCACTGCCATACTTTAGGAGAAAATATGACATTCATCGTTCCTCTCTTTCCTAAGTGAAAGTGCTAAAACTAAGGGTAATGGTCAAAAAGTTAGTGTACATATAAAGGTGACCTTTGAGTCAAGATTTAACAATCAGTTTTAGTAACACAAGTACACAGATTTGTAATGTGTTTGTCCTCGACTCTCCTGCAAAACATTTGAAATTAATAGTAGTCTCTATAACATTTTACCAAGGCCATTTGCTTTATCTTCCAAGCACTCTCATGGTGATACTGTCTTTTGGACTTGTAGCTACAACCTGTCTCTAACAACTATTTAATAAATAGACTAATTCATTGCACACTCATCTATCTTATACTTTCGTTAATTTATATTACTGCCCCTTTTTTCCAATCATTTAGTGAAAGCAAAAAAGAGAAGAATGGAGAAAAACACACATTCCGTTAAAGGTTAGATGTATATAAAATGAATTTGGCAGTCAATCTCTTCCTCTGATAACAACCCATTTAATATTTAAATTAATGCTGAACACAATGTGTTTACAATAGTCTAGTGGAAAAAAGAAGGCTTCAGTTAAAATCACAGGGTGTAATGAAAATTCACTTTTTTTTCTCTCTATTGGGAATTGATGTAAGGCTCTTACACTGAGTTATATCTCCACTCTTTTTTTTTTTTTTTTTCTAAGACCAGGTCTCACTAAGTTACTGAATTGCTCAGAGTAGGCTCAAATTTGTGATCTCCTGCCTCTCAAAGTGCTGGGATTACAGGTGCCACAATTATACCTGGCTGACAAGGTTACTTTTTTTCAACAGAGCTGTGATTTACACTGAGATCTGGAGCTTGTGGTTTTTGCAGTTTCTTATTGCTGCTTATTTACAATGCAGCATGCTCTAAGTTATCTTAAAAAAACTCAGATCAGAAGAGAATCAAAGGACAAAAAACAAGATAAGAGTAAGATAAACTGTAAGCCTTCAATGGAAGATAAATGTTAAATATATGAATGGTTATATTAGTGAATATGAAGAAAGCAAAATTTATTGATGAAACTAAAAGAGGAAAAGCAGAAATCAAAAGAAAAGCTGAAAATTCAGGAAAATGAAAAGAAAGGGAATCTAATAAAAAACCACAAAATTATTGATGTTTTATTCAGAAATATCAGAAGTGCATTTTCAACACATACTTCTTTTCTTCTCTACAGATGCTTTCCTTATTTAAATAGGATGGACTCAACTTTCTTGTAAGGCAAAGTTATAATTAGGCATTTGTCATGATATTATAATTAAAGAAACTCAGGAGCCAATATATAGGTACAGTTTTATTATCTTGCCTTGGCTGCCAAGTAGAGTCAGTTTTGTTTGTTCTTTTTCTCTTTCAGAATAGATTTTTAATATGACACAGGGTATCAAATCAAAATAAACTTGGAATTCTCATAAGTGGCTATACAGTTCGGTAATCATTAAAGAAGCCTCAAAAATATGTGAAAGAATAAAAGTTAGAGATCTGTGAATATATTTCTAGTTGTTGATAAAGATTTTATGTACATTCTTAGAATATGTAAGATCACAAAAACTCAAGAAGATGATGTTGATGAAAGGGTAAAAGCAAGTTTTCAGATGAATAAGTTTTGGAAATCAAATGTGCAACATGCTGACTACAGTTAATAACAATTCTCTGTGGGTTGAAATTTGCCAAGAAGGTAGAATTTAACTCTTCTCTCTCTCTCTCTCTCTCTCTCTCTCTCTCTCACACACACACACACACACACACACACACACACACACACACACATACAGAAAAAAAAGCACTGGACGTGGTGGATAGGCAATGGGCTCAATTGAGGAAGTCATCTGACTGTGTGTGTGTGTGTGTGTGTGTATGTGTGTATCAAAACATCACATCACACATTGTAAATATTTGCAATGGTAATTTGTCAGTCCTGTTTCAATTTTTGAAAAGCTTACAATAAAATCCACTAAATAATACCATATGATTTACCTTTTTTCATGCAAATCTAGGTTGAAAAAATGATAAGCAACTTTGGGGAATGTGTTCAATACAAAGAAATAGTAAGAAGTTCCCTTGAAGAATTAATTTCTGGCTCTCAGGAAGCTGAAGATCAAGCTGAGAAGATCTTGAACACTGAAAATCTGTTTGAAGCACAGCAGTTGCTGCTTCATCACCAGGTAGAGATGCCCCTTTAATGCATTCATGTAAATTTAATTTGTTACTGGTAGAACCAAAGAGACAAAGAGTATGACTTAGAGCTTGGGCTGGGGGAGAGGGAAGGAAAGGAGCTCAAACAAAGTTGAATGATTAAAAGAATATGGAGCTGCTGGTTTTTGTTCTCTCTGTTAAATATCCTGCAAGACAAATCCACAACTACGTAATTTGATGAAATCACGAGCTCAAGGAATACCAAGGAGAAAAAATTGATTTAGCTATGAAACATGTATAAAGCCCACTAAATTATCCTTTTCATAACTGAGAAGAAAATCATAGGGAGACAGGCTGCTCCATATTTGACATCACTAATCTCTTGTCTTTATGTTAGGAATCTTTCTTAATTTACAACTTTGAACCCCTCTTATTTTGGGAAATGGAACTTATTTGACATGCTAGACTTTCCAGGACAGTATGCTTTTGCAAAGAATTAAAAGTAGAATTATATATACACACACACACACACACACACACACACACACACACACACATAATACGTATATAACTTTTGGAGCTGGGGAATGAACTTAGTGCTTCATGTATGCTAAATACATGCTGTAGTGCTATATACCCAGCCCCTAATAATAATCAATTTTAATGAACTCATTTTTTTATAAAAGGGAATTGGGCATTATAATATATACATAAATGGAATATATTACTTGACAAACAATATAAAAGGAAAAATAAAACAAAACATTTTAATGGTAAAATAACTAAATTTATATATGGTAAAAGAATAGCTAATTTTACACATGTATTAAATTAGGAGTTACATTATGACTAAAATATTGTAAAATAGCTGCCTCTAAGCTTCATAGATTTACTAATAATTGCAAAAACCTGTGAGTATAAGAAATTAATTTTTAGTGTTACTTTTATTCTCAATCACTGCAAAATTTTTATTTAGGTATCTGTTTACCTTAAGTCAGACAAATATAAGATTCCAGATACTGGTAATGATATTTTAAAGCTCCTTTCATATTTCTTGGACTAGGTGCTTATTTCTGAGTTTGCATACTTTGTGAGGTTTCATGAGCTATAAGTTTGAGATTTGTGTATCATTCTGTTTGAAGATTATCCTTCAGTAAAATAATTTCTTTAAAATGAAACTTTCTACAAAATGTCTGAGGATATTTGTATTGATCAGCTTTCCCGTCATTGGACAAAATACTTGACATTCACAATTCAAAGGAAGAGGGATTTATTCGGCTCACATTCTTAGAGAGTTCAGTCCATGGTTGGTTGGCTCCAAGGATGAAACATGGTAGAAGGGAATGACAGAGGAAAGCTGCCCACTTCATGATGTCTTGAAGCAGAACTGAGGAATAATATCAGAGAAGAAAGTGCAAGGGAACAGATACAGTATAGTTTCTCAGGTGACACCTCCATGACCTGCCTAGTGTGCCCTACTAATCCCTTAGGCAGCTCTCGAGCCAATCAACTGATAGTCCAGCTTTACTTTCACAATATTAATCTACCAAGAAAGTATAAGCCTCATGATATTTTTATTTTTCCAGCATTCATGTGGAAATTGGAGTTGAGACTTTGGGTTTAGGCAGAAAATGATTAAGAAGACTCATATCAAAGAATTGTTTTACCAAATTATTTCTGGAATATTGTGCAAAATTCTAAATATTCTACAGACATGTACACAAAACATAAACCTAAACTGTTTATATTGTTTGCCATTAAAAACACAGAATGTTTATAAATAATGCCTTCTTTTGATTAATGCAGAGCCTCTATTATTATTGTTTTAACCGGTAGCCTTAACTTAAAAGCACACTTTGGGCCCACAGTGTATGATCTCATACTTTTTTCTACTTTTGTTGGGTGTGGGTGCTTACTGAACTAAAGAGTAAAACTTATATCCATCTGTTGAATATCTGCTATCAGCAAAAGACAAAGATGATCTCAGCAAAGAAGAAAGACCTGCAGCAGCAGATGGGGCAGGTGCAGCAAGGAGCAGGTGGGCTGACTGACCCGGGCAGGGAGGAGCTGCAAAAGCTGGAGAGAACTCTGGCCAGTGTGGAGCACAGCAGAGAGAGACAGGAACGTCGCATCCAGGTAGGCTTGGGTGGGCAGGGGCTGACTCAGTGAAGGCCAAAGCTGGGCTGCCACCTGGTTACATCTCCCACAAGCAGGAGCAAATGTTGGTTTCAGCCTCTACCACTCTGGTGTTGTGCTAAATATATTACACCAGGTCCATCTTTTAATCATCACACCAGCTTCATGAGGTGGGTCCTGTAATCAACATACTTCACAAGTTTGGTGCTTTTGAGGAAAGACTGTATGCTGGGGTGTAGCTCAGTAGTAGGACCCTTGTCTACCATTTGGAAGGACTTGGGTTCTGTGATTCCTAGCCAAAAGAGAGAGAGAGAGAGAGAGAAAATAAAATGTTTGAGCATTTGGTCTGATGTCGCACAGCACTGATAAATGGTAAAGCTAGTATTTAATCCACGCTTGTCTAAATCCAGAAATTTGACCACATCATTTTGCTTTTTCAGGAAGTCCAGTGCCATAGTTTTTGCTTTCTTGTGATGTTGATGTGTTGTTCTCTTTAACAAAGCTGAGTTTGGGCCACTTTGATGAGTTCTTTTAAAATAGCTTTTGAATTTGGACAACTCTTGCCTTCTCTCTTTTTCTTCCCTCTGTCCCTTCTATGCTTCTTGACAGAGATTGAAGGCATTTTTTCTCTGTCCCTTGTCTACCTTTTCAGCAATATCAATTAGATTTGTAGCACTTTACAGCTGATGGAGAACTCAGAAATCATCTCGTGTGTGCTTCCTCTTTGGGCAGATGAAGATACTGACACCCTGAAATAAATTTTTACAGAAGACACCAGGATCCTCTTTCCCTAGTGTGACTGTGTGAAATTCAATCTAAGAGCTCACTGGGAAACTGGCAATTAGAAAATGACTGAAGATATGGCAATATTTTGGGATACTCTTTGGTAATTTATAACCTGAAATGTATATTTTTTTCTAATTTAGGTCACATTAAGGAAATGGGAGCGATTTGAGACAAACAAAGAGACAGTGGTCAGATACCTTTTTCAAACAGGTTCTAGCCATGAACGCTTCCTGAGTTTTAGCAGCTTGGAAAGTTTGTCTTCAGAACTGGAGCAGACAAAGGTATATTAATATAACCATGTGATTCCTTAGTGCACATCTTTCAGATAAGAAAATACTATTTCTTCTTATATTAATTATCAACTCATTAATAAATCTTTTTATTGATGATGCAATCATTTCAACACTGGGACTCTAAAACATGAGTTGGATTTAAACATAAAAAACTAAGCTAAAGCTTTTCATGCAAACGGGGAATGGCTAGTTCCATAATAAAGACAGATTTTAGAATCTGGAGGCAGTGATATTTGAAACTGAACCTTGAAGGGCAGGCAAACTTTAGAAAAGCAGAGTATGGAAAAGATAACAGACAGACACTCCCAGAAGGGGGAACAGCATGTGGCATAAAAATGCTGGACCTGGAATTCTACGTTGTAAAGTGGAATAAGGGCATGTGAGCTTTAAAGGTAAGTTAGGCAACATCCACAGTGTCTCCAAAAACCTACAATGGTATTTTCCAGGCAACAGAACTGTAGCCATTGAAGATTTTAAAGAAAGACAGTCACACAATTAAAACTGAGCTTTAACGAAGATTAATTTCTTAGTAGGTATAGAAAATTGAAAGAGTAGAAGACCGAGGTCATGGAATTCAATTGAAAATATAATAGTTATTACAGGTATAAATAAGGGAGATGGGGCAGCATTCAGCACATGGGGACAGATACAAAGGGTGATGTGGAGTTCACACCCATGAAGATAGGGCAATGACCGGACAGAGTGAGGAAAAGAGTATGAAACCTACAATTTTGAGCTTTTTGGAGATAATGAGCACCACGGGAAACTTGGAGTTGCTCTCAGTGGAGCCCAAAACCTAGTTTTGGATGTAGGGAGTTTGATGCCCCAGTTGGCCATCAGAAAGACAATGGTTTTTGTTTTTGTTGTTGTTAGTTTTCTTACTGGTACATTTAATGTATACAATATAATGACATTCATTGTTGGAAATTTGTACCTTTACATAATCAATCTTGGTTCTTATTTTTTCCCCATCCCTCTGTCCCCCTTTCACCCCTCCCTCCCTCCCTATCCACAAAGACTTTGTTTCCCTTATTTTTCATTTTATCATATTAACTCCATTCCCTTCTTTCCTTTTCTACCCCTCCCATTTCCCCTTCCCCTTTGTCCTTTTTCTTCCTGTTTCATATTATCTGTTATACCTTTTAGTCCTTATTTACACTTTCAGTTTCTCACACGAGAGAAACTATTTATTGTGTTTGTTTGTTGTTGTTGTTGTTTTGTTTTGTTTGGTACCAGGGATTGAACTCGGGTCCTTGTGCTTGCAAGGCAGGTGCCAGAACCACTGAGCTAAATCCCCGGCCCGAGAAACTATTTGGTATCTATACCTGTGTGTTCTATTTATATCGCTTAAGAGTATGGCCTCAATGTGCATCCAAGTAGCTATACATATCTCTAATTACTCATTTTTATGGCTGAGTAGTATTCCATTTTATTAAAACACACACACACACACACATTTTTTTTTATCCAGTCTCCCATTGATGGGCAATTGGGTTGCTTCCAAATTTTAGCTATTACAAATTGTGCAGCTATGAACATTGGTGCACATATATCACTGTGGTATGCTTCTTTTAATTCTTCTGGGAAGATACCCCGCAGAGGGATAGATGGGTCAAATGGGACTTCTAATCCTAGTTCTTTGAGGTATCTCCATACTAATTTCCACAGTGGTTGCACCAGTCTACACTCCCACCAGCAGTGGAGAAGGGTTCCTCTTTCCCCATAGCCCCATCAACATTTGTTATTGTTTGATTTTATGACAGAGCCATTCTTTCTGGAGTGAGGTGGAATCTCAGCATTGTTTTTATCTGCATCTCTAGAATGACCAGTGGATGTTGAACTTCCATATGTTTATTTGCTGCTTTTACTTTTTTGTCTGAGAAATGTCTGTTCATTTCAGATGCCCATTTTTGAATTCGCTTTAAATTTGGGAGGTCTGATTTTAAAAGTTCTTATATATTCTAGGTAGCAGCCTTTTGTCTTAGGAACAGCTGGTGAAAAATGTGTCTGGAGTGCCCAACACTGTAAGCTCAAACACCTTGGGCACTCCGAGCAGCCAATATATTTGTGCAAAGCATTTAGAGTTGTTCAGTCCTTTGTGGTGTTGTTGTGCCTGACCAAGGGCTATAGAAGAACTGACTAAGCATAGAAATGGACTAGATAATGTGTAAAACAAAGGCTTGTGTACCCTCTTCCCAGCCTTTAGCAAGGAGTCCCCTCTTTTTGTCTTCTAGCAAGCTTCTCTTTCTCTTAAACTTCTCTTTTTTTGTTATTTCTCCTAAAATTAACATATTAAACAGCTTGAAGTTTTAGAAAGAACCAGACTCAGTTCAGTGGAATTCTCATCAGCCATTTAAACAGAGCATTATTTTAATTGTAACTTTTAATTTTAATGACACGTGTTAAGCTATAGAGGTGTCTTTTATAAATAAAAAGATAAGTGTCTTTGGGTTAATTTTCATATATGTTTCCATCCATGTTCCTTTGAAGGTTTCCAACTCCATTTGCAACAGTCCCTTTGGATCAGCTTGACTGTCGATAAAGCAAATGTGATCTTTTTAGTCTTATCATCAAAATTCACCTTAGCTTGGGATCTTCTATATTTTGAGATTGATTTAAGATGAAATAGTATTTATTGACTACAAACTATATGCTGATGTAACATTATGCTGTTAATCATCTTTGTTCGTCTTCAAAGCAATTCTAAGAAATAGAGATCACTGCTCATCCTAAATGACATGTAAGGCACAAATTGTTGTTATGCTTTTCCAAAATCTCTAGATCACTCTGTGGTGAGGCTGAGATCTAGCCCGAAAAGTTGCAGTGCAGAGCTTACACTGTAAACCACTACCTTATATTTTCATTGAGGATTTCAAGTGGAATCACTGCTTGTGTACACTGATACAGAAGCACTAAATAGTTGTTCTCTCTTCTCTGCCCACTTGGCATTGTTATTATCACCTTTATTCCAACTGACAGTCCTTGAGTACCTGTGCTGAGGACCTGGAGTGTCCTCTGTGTGCCATTGTGTGGTAGGGTGTACACAGCAAGATCATGTTTGGTCTTTACAATGAGCCATGGCTTTACTGGTGAGGAAATGAAAACTCAGAGTTACAAGCTTTGAGATCACTCAGCTAGTGAAGGACAGAGCCTGGTTTCTGGTTTCAGCTCTAGATCTAATGGAAGTAAGTTCTTTTCTGGATGCATCCTATGGCCACTTATACATCTTCTTCATAAGACTTAGCGAGAAGGCCTTACAGTTGTATTTTTACTTAATTTAATACTGTTTTTATCAATATCATTCTGGTCTTTGGATTCCTCTGCAATGTGTCTCTCCATAGTTAGCTCACACAAAGCACTCTAAGATTAAAGATATATGTATGCATTTTCCAATATTATTTTCTTTGTGGTTTTCTCCAGGGTTCTGGTAAATACTATTTTACTCTTTGGATTCTAGATAGAGGATTCTGAAGGGCTGTGATTCACGGGCTCACAATCGAATCTACAGCGACTATAAGTTCACAGATATTAATAGTGAGAGCTTTCAAGCACAGAATTTAATGTTATGACATCAGGAGCTATCATATTTTGTGATACTATAAATCTCTATAGGAGGAAGCTTGCAGGCTATTTTTTAAAGTAATATTGCTATTTTTATGAGGCTATTAAGGCTTCAAAGAGGAAGCTCTACTAATTGTCTGTTATTCTATCTTATATGGAATTTATAATAATGTTGGGAGATGCTATGAGTGAAAGCTGATTTTTTTATAAATATTTACATGGGATTTCTACAGTACCTATTTAAGGAGAGGAAAGTTGGTCAACATTTAAATTTCCTGAGGTTTTCTTATTACATGAAAAGAAAGGAGACACCATTTTTTTCATTCAAAATTATTACTGGCTTTACCTTTTCTAATTTCGTATTCAACATTATTTACCAGACGAAACTGGGATAGCATAAAGTTTACCTGTGCCTCCTACATATTAAATTAACTTTTGAATTAAAATAGCTCAGAACTGTTGAAAATAAGTAGATAGAATTAATAAACCATTTTCCTCAATTTTGTATGAAAGATATAAAATGATAATTGGTACCTGCCAGATTATAAGGCACTTAAAAGTAAACTTGCGAATGGAAAGCTAAGAGTACCCTTCAGAGAAAAGCATTATAAGCTACATTTTATAAAAAAAAAGAGCCTGAAAAGTAATTCACAAAAGTGGAACAACTAGTGATTAATAGACCCAGGATTCTTGCCCAACGTTTTTTGGTTCAAAGTTTATCTTCTTTCCATAATGTTGTATATACATGGTAAAAAAATAAGATTGAAGAGCATTAAGATCATTTGTATCCCTTATCAGATAAGTAGCAAACAAAATGTACTTGTATAAGACAGATAATTAATATGCTCTATTTAGATACTCTTTTAAAAAGTATTTCTATTCATTGGCCTATAAATCTTTTATCTGTGTACAGTCAGTCACCACTGAGCATTTTGTGAGCTGGCCAGTAATACATTTACATATTTGTGGCTAAATTAATTATCACAATTTAGCTCAGAATTCAAAATAATGAGCCCAAACCAAAAAACAATGCAGAAACCATTTTTTGTGAGAATTGTTGGTAACAATGAAGGTAGGGAGCTGATTGTGTTTACACAATGAAAAAAATTTAGCAAAATGTCTACATAAAAATGTCATATGAAAATAAGTCAGTTTTACTGTTAAGGACAATATGGATCCATTCATGTGTGAGTCTATCCACGGGTCTATTTAGCGGGGGTGGGGGAGACTGTGCAGTATGTGCAATTTACTTGAAGGCCGAGTTAGAATGTAAAATATAGTTGTGATTTTTTTTTTCTAGGAGTTTTCTAAGCGGACAGAAAGTATTGCAGTCCAGGCTGAAAACCTTGTAAAGGAAGCTTCAGAGATATCACTTGGACCCAAGAATAAACAGCTGCTTAAACAGCAGGCCCAATCAATCAAAGAGCAAGTCAAAAAGTTAGAAGACACGCTTGAAGAAGAGTATGTGCTTCGCAAGTCCTAAGCTTTCTTCTCTGAGATAAAGTTCATTGCATTCTTTCCTGTGTCTTGTATTCAAAACAGTCTTTTAAAATCTCAAAGTGTCTGTGTATTTCAGCATGTCTTGAGGAAGCAATTCACAATTCAAAAGGGAAAAAAAAAGGATCTTCAACACAGGAACCAATGTTTATAGCAGAGAAATAATATATAAGGATGTGGGTTTGCATCTTAAACTGATTATGCTCATAGGAAAGCCATATCTATTCAATTCTGTGGCCTTTGTACACTGTAGAGGGAATCTTAAAAATAACTAATGTTTAAAGTAATTTTAATCATATTGCTCTGCCGTTGCCAGTTAGAGGAAAAGAGAAATATTTTGATAGCATAGATTCTAGGCCTAAACATTCTCATACAACGTAGACCACGTCTCCAACTCAAAGCTCTTGAGCTTGTTTACAGTGCCTCACTATTCAAATTGCCATGGATTGTTTCTCTATTTCCAGAAATTAACTTCAAAAAGTTTACATAATTTTTAAATAGTTAATGTTTATCCATCTAAAAATAACCATCTGACCTACTGATACACTGAAATTTATATAAAAGAAGTTTCAGGAACTAAATGTAACTAGGATATGACCAGTAATTCTTCAAAATAATACAGATAAACATTTCTATTTAGTGACAAATCAATGACACATAGCCTATTAAAGAAACAAGATACTATTTCTAAGATGAATTTTAAAATGTAAAATGTGTTTTTATACTATTAACACCTTGAAATTAGCATTTCAAATTTTTCTAAACTTGAAAATTTGATGAATATTTTATTAAAAACCAATTATGGCTTGAAATTTTGAGTGCTTCATATTAAATACTCTCCAACACCCTATGGAAACAGTAAACTTGGAGTTTATCAGAAAGGAAGGTACTTCTATTACCAATTTCCATTTGAATTTGTATTTTATTTAAACACTTGCAATACAGTATAGCATAGCTCGCTGAGAGCGTTAGGCACACCCAGGGTATAAATTTGCAATACTATTTAATTTGACAATCAGTGATGCCATTATATTTTTCTTCATGTCTTCAAGTGCCTTTTGGTAAACAGGACATTCATTTGCTGTTTTATTTTCAAACCCAGGGACATATCAGTTCAGTGGCATACTGATTATCTGAGTCATTCTCTAAACTGAAAGCCATATTCATGGTTATATGTGCATAGCTAATATAAACTGAGAATCAAGAGTGGAAATTTTGTTCATTAGATTTGTTGTATATAAAGCGTGAGTTGGCCAAAAGCAGTTAGGGTGCTCATGTACAAGAGTTTGTAAGTCTTTTGGAATCGGTATGGAAAGGTGTCTATGAACAGCTGGAGTCATAATAGATTACAGATGAAAGGCTTAGCTGCAATCACGGAAGCAGTGCCCACCTGACAGTGTGGAATTCAGACCACAGGCTCCATCCTAATGCATAAGGATGCATTTTATAAGGATCAGCATAAAGCAGTATGGCAGCATCTCTTCCTTTAACAGCAAGGGGAACATGTCTGTGGAGGAAGTACTATTAAACAACAGGATCCGCTGGAATCTCTTCTGGCACAATTTATCAAAATAAACCATGACAACTACTGGTCACAGGCAGAGTTTAATTAGCTTATACCTGATTCAAACCCCCTTGAGCCCACCAATATTTTGTTCAAAGCTCAATTCCAGCATCAGTGCTGCCTCACTAAATTTTCATTCTCAGAAGGTGGGAAGACTTGAGGCCTGGACTACTCAGATCAAGTATGTGTTGTTTATCTATTCAAACATGCCCAACCTTGAAGTGATCACAGATGTCTTCACAATCTTTGCACCTGATGATTTAGAGGGAAATGTGCTGTTGTTTACTATTAAAATACTGCATTTTATTTAATTTGGTTAATTTTAGTATTAAAACCATGGAAATGGTGAAAAACAAGTGGGATCATTTTGGCAGTAATTTTGAGACCCTGTCCATCTGGATAACTGAGAAAGAAAAAGAACTCAATGCCTTGGAAACTTCGTCATCTCCTTTGGACATGCAAATCAGCCAAATTAAGGTGACCTGCTCACACATTATGTTTATAATCTCTGTCTAGCTTTTAAGAACTCCTTTCTTACATTTATTTCACTGAAGTTATTTGGTCCCAGGACAAATTTTTCATTGCTGTTTGACTCTATTAAAAGTAAATTCACACAAAATACCAAGCTAAGAGGTCTTGATTGATAACAGGGTAACACTTTATAGATGGAACTAATTCTGTATTAATACTGTGTGGCTTATGCATTCCAAATCAATATTGTGTGCAATATCATTAAAATATTTTTATGGTTACATTATTCTTTTCCTTGATTTTAAATTAACCCACATGGAGGTCTCTGTTGACTCATCTGTACAACATGAAATGTACTTATTATCGACAACTGTCCTTTATAAGAACTATCCCGATATAATGTATCTACTGTATCTTTGGGAAGGATACTCAGAAGGGAAATCAATGGGTCATATGAAATTTTTAATTTTAGTTCTTTGAGAAATTTTCACGTTGATTTCCATAATGGTTTTACAGGTTTACCTCGCCTCCGATATATGAAGTTCTTTTTTCACTGCAGCCACGTCAGCACTTGTCTTTCGTTAACTTCTTGATGATTACCATTCTTTCTGGTGTAGGATGGAAACTTGGTTTTGTTTTAATTTGCATTTCTCTGATGGCCAGAGATATTAAACATTTTTATATGTTTTGTGACCATTTGTACTTCTTCTGAGAAGTGTGCATTCATTTTACTTGCCCATTTCTTGATCAAGTCTTTTATTTTAGGCAGTTTAATGTTTTTGCAGTTCTATATACAGTCTAGATATTAGTCCTCTGTCTGAGGAACAGCTGGAAATTTTTTTCCCACTCTGTAGGTTATCTCTTCACACTATTAATTGCTTGCTTTGCTGGGCAAAGGCTTTTTAATTTGGTATAATCCCATTTGGTGATTCTTGCTGTTATTTTCTGTGCAGTTGAGGATTGTTTAGAAAATGATTTCCTACACTTATGACTTCAAGTGTTTTACCTATTTTATCTTCTAGTAGATTCAATGTTTCTGTTTTAATGTTTATATCTTTGATCCACTTTGATTTCACTTTAGTACATGGAGAGAGATATGGGTCCAGCTTCTATCTTCTGCAAGCAGATATTCTTTCCCCAGTGCCATTTCTTGGATAGCTGTGTTTCCTTCAACAAATGCTTTTAGCCTCTGTCAGGTATCAGGCAGCTGAATGTGTCTGGGGATGTTTTCCTACTCTCTACTCTGTTCCATTGATCCACATAATATCTCTCATTTGAGCAAGGCGAAGTACAAAACAAAGAGCATAATAAAGAATGGATAGAAAGAAATTACGGGATGGGTCTTTTGCAAATGGGAAAGGGTCCAGGAGACTGAGGGCAAGAAGAGAGGGCAAAGAGAAGGGAGGACTAAGTAGAATTAAGATATGCCATTTCCAGGAAGCTAATAATCTAATGAACACAAACATTATATGTCATAAAATGAGCTAAGAATGATAATGACAAGAGTGAAAATTGAGAAAAGGGGATTTAGAGGCAGAGGGAGGAAAGATGGTGGAAAGGAGAATGGAAAGGGGATTAAAAAAACAAAAACCAAGCTGTACTATGTACATGTATCTATTCTCCAAGATGAATGCAAACACCATATGCTGCAAATATGTACTAAAACAAAACAAAACTGACCCAAATATCTAGCTCCAGTATCAGTGATGTTTACCCTCACCAACCACAAGGAAGAGCTTGGAAAGTTGCTTTCTGTAGGACAAACCATCAGACCTGGTTGTTCTAATGTTTGCATTTCTGACTTTGAGTCCAGGTGGAGATGCTCTGATAGATTAGCTCTTCAAGCCCCCAAATACGTATATAGATCATTGTTGTACCCTTCACTCAAATGGTTTAAGAGAAATGGACTGAAATAACTGGGTTGGGACTATTCATCTCTTATACAATGGCACACACCACATATTTTTAAAAATGGATCCCTTTTTTTTTCCTATCTGAGCTTATTTTTCTTTTTGGAAGGGGAAATCCTTTGCCATTTCATTTTATTAAATATAGTAAACCAAATGCTAAGAGCGGAGACATTTCACACTGTGACTCAGACGAAGTTATTGCTGTGCACAGAGTGGGAGGGTGCTATGCCGCTCAGCTGCGATCCCACACGGTGCAGCTCATCCTTGCTCTTACACACCTTTGCAGTTAAAGGCACACGGCGTGGGGCGCACACAGCCTGCTATGTCTTCCGTGGTGTTGTGCAAAACACACATACCAGCCCACAGACAGTATTCATAAAATATTTGCAATCTTTAAAAATCACTGAAAAGTCAGCATTCAATCCTTTTCACTACATTCTAAGGAAAAGAGAATAGCATATTTAAGCAGTGTTGCCACAAAAGTTTCTTCTTTGAAAATGTAACATATAGCTTTTACCTTATCCTTTCTACCATTCATTTGCTATTATTTCAGGCTTTATGCTAGAACTTCTGAAACATATCAGTGATCAAATGTCCTCTCACTGCTATTCTTTAAGCAAAGTTACAATCACACATTTTCTTTTTAAATATATACTTTCAATTGTGGTTCTCCTTTACCCTCAGGCTACAAATATCTTTCAGTATGTCTCCAATAACATTTTGAAAATGATCTAAAATACATGAAATGAATATGAATGCTAGGAAAAAGATACTTATTAGACATAAGTAAAGATAGAGTGGAATACGTTATCCTATGGCGTTTAGTTTAAGAGGCTCATGTTACATTCCCAAACAGAGTCTACATTATAGGAAAAAAATCAGTTGTACTAAAACAATGCATTGCTGTAAAGATAAAATCCATATGCCTGTTTCTGTTCATCATTACATGCTATTCCAATAAGTTTCTTATTCTTAATGGATACTGATAAGTGATAAGAATATACACTGTGTCATCAGCCACCTTCTTCTCTTAGAAGGGGTTGTTTGGGGTTTTTTTATTAGTACGTGTTTGCAGTACATAATGACTACCCTCCTCACGGGGAGTCAGTGCGTGAACATAACACATCTTCAGTCTTTCGCATCCCCTTCACCGCTTCCACTCCTCTTCCTCCATCTCTTGATTCTTTTCCCAAGTGAGAAAGATCTCTCTCCCTACTTCCTATTATCTGTCTTTTGTTTTGCTCTTTGTTTATATCTTGGGTTTCGTTGATGAACTTTTCTTAACCACAATCTAAATCCAATGGCATGGGTTATGTTTCTGAATTTACTGATGACAAGTATTAATCTGAGAACTAAGAACTTTGTTCTTAACTAAGATTGTTTCACTAATGTGTTTCAAGCACCTAGTACAAGTATAGTAGAATATATGTATTTGTTAAATTATGAGTAATTTATCTAAAATAATGTAGTCTTTTAGGTAAAATGAAAGGCTGTATTTGGGTTCAAACAACAAATATTTATCAGATATACCACAGTAGCCACACATTTGAAAAAAAAAAAAGTCATGGGGCTGGGGATTTAGTTCAGTGGTTCCACTGTCTGCCTTGCAAGTGCAAGGTCCAGAGTTTGATCCCTGGTACAAAAAAAAGTCATGATTACCCATAAATTATTTCTGATTGCCTCTTAGATAGAAGTCACAAATTTATTTTTCTCCCCGGGTAACAATATTTTCCATGTAAATTTTTGGAAAATGAAACCTGACTTGAATTTTTGGACATTATTTTGATAAAATGATTTGCTTCTTTTCCTCAGAAAAATGATTTTCATTTTCTTATACGTAAATAAGCCCTATCATGGCTGAGGATTTAACTCATTGGCACTGTGCCTGCCTCACCTCACAAGCACAAGGTCCTGAGTTCAATCCCTGGTACCGATACATAACTAAATAAATAAGTAGATAAGCCCTATGTTTTTGAGAGGCACGCCCCTCCCCACACATACACATACGTCCTTAGTAGCTGGTACTTTTAATGATTGGTCTATATTAAAATGTCCTCCTGCCTCAGTAAAGTGATAATGTGTAGGCTTTTTCTGTGGAGTATACGGCTAATGAAGAAAGCACGGAGTCTCAGATCAGGGGCAGCAGCATCCCATGGGAGTTTTTCAGAATTTAAAAGTTTTGTGTTCTACCTTGGACTTAGTATGCTGAGCCTTGAGGCTGGGGACCAGGTGTCCCAATGCATCATCCTATGTTTAGAAACTACTGGCATAAAGAATAGGTGACAGTCTTGAAAAGAGTGCCTTTAGGTAGGAATACACTCAACCTTTCAAATTCAGGGAGATATGAAATACTTAACATTTTAGAAAAGTTAAATGAATGCTAATATTAGTATGCTATGCATTCCTGGGACACTTGGCTTTCCCGGATATGTTGATCAAAATGCTTGATAGCCAACATAAAGAAATAATTCTCTGGGTCTTCAGAGATACCGTACAAGTCACAGGGACATTTCCTTGCTTATTTCATTGCAAACAGAGGTAGCTATTTCTCTTTATTCTCTACCCGACAAGCACCACCGCCAGCACTATGTACATCACAGACACTGCACATCCATCCTCACCAAGTGAGGTCGAGAAACACAGGGTGTTTTCCCATAGCCGTTTTCCAACCCTCCGAGTATGCTCAAATGTCGGCTAAGAAATGTTCCTGGTTTTTTGTTCTCTGTAGATAATCCTATCATTTCCACAAGACAACTTTGCTCTGTCTACATTGTAAATTTTTGTGTTTTAAATATTAGGTCACAATTCAGGAAATAGAAAATAAGATCAGCAGCATCACTGAATTAGAAGAACAAGCTCAGTCTTTTGCTCAATTTGTTACCACTGGAGAATCTGCTCGAATCAAAGCCAAGTTGACACAAATAAGAAGATACTGGGAAGAACTGCGGGAACATGCACAGTGCCTGGAAGAAACAGTTCTTGGGCATTTATCTCAGCAGCAAAAATTTGAAGACAATCTTAGAAAGGTAAGAAGAAAACCATGCATGGGAGAGTTACATACCTCACATGTGTTTATAGTTACATCCAATAAATACTCCACAAATAGCAACACTGTTTGTGGAACTGGAGTATTTATTGAGAACCTGATAGATGAGTAAATTGTATCAAGTTCTCAATGATAACTAAATTCATAATTATTTATATGGCTGTTTGGGGGGGCTATAAGAATTATATATTGTGTTCATCTTAAGGTTTAATTTTCCTTTCAAACAGGACATACTGATTTGAGATTTTTAAAAAATACACTTTATCATCACATTGAAAATTTTCCATTAAAAGTAGGTGTGCTGCTTGTTCAATAACATTTTTTGCCTTTATTCTAATTTCTCCACACACCATTTTTGTATGGCACCAACTTTTTTAGATCCAGCGATCTGTGTCTGAATTTGAAGATAAGCTTGCTGATCCAATCAAAACATGTTCTTCAGCTACAGAAACATACAGAGTTCTCCAAGAGCATATGGTAAGAGCATGCTTTGACATTTCTGCTTATTTGTCCACTCAAAAACTTGATAACTCTTACTTAAAAGGAAAGCAAAGTAGACGTTTCTATGAGAATTATATTGGAAAGATTTTTATTTTGAGGAAGTAAATAGAGAGAGTGAATTCACTTCATATAACCCCCCAAAATGTAAGTACCCAAATAAATTGCATTATTTGGAGAAAATCTCCCCAGTCTCATTTTTCATTTCTACATCCATGAGTAACTTTCTCTTCATTTTCCCTCTACCCTCCCGTCAATCGTAGCAGAGACATTTCTGGTACCATTGATATTTACAGTGACCTTGTGACCGAGGGAAAATTTCTGTGATGCTAGGTCTCAAAGGAAAACACAGGTCTGCATGTTCACTCGTGTGCTTTTGGTGTAGGGTGGTCCCCCTCACCTAGGGGTTGGCTGTCTGCATTCAGTTACTTGTTATCAAGGTCAAACACATTAAGTGGAAAAATGCCAGAAATAAATTATTCATGAGTTTTAAATACCCTTTATTATAGCACATTGTTATAATCATTCAGTTTTATAATTGATCATTGTTCTTTTTTTTTTTCCTCATTGAGTTTATCAGTACAATTTAGGTATACAGTACAGTTACATTTATCATTGGGATCTTGTACCTTTCCATGACAGGTCTTGGTTCTCTTTTTTTCCCCTTATCCCTGCCCACCCTTCACCTTCTCCTCCCTTCCCTATTTATAATAAACAAATACTTTATTTCCATTTTTTCATTTTCTCATTTTTTTTCCCTTTTCCCTTATTACCTTTTCCCACCCTTCCCATTTCCCCTACACCTTTAGCCCCTTTCTTCCTATTTGACATTTTCAATTAGATCATTAGGATCTTATGTACCATTATAGTTTTTCACACCAGAGAAAATATTCGTTATTTATACATGTGTGACATTTATTTCACTTAGGAGTATAACTTCAATATATATCCGTTTTCTTATGAATGACTCTAATTTCTCATCCTTTATGGCTGAGTAGTATTCCATTTTATAGAAAAACCACATCTTCTTTATCCAGTTTCCATCTGATGGTCAAATGGGCTGTTTCCAAGTTTTAGCTATTACAAACTGTGCCGCTATAAACATAGGTGCACATATATCACTGTGATATGGTTCTTTTAATTCTTTCAGAAAGATACCCAGCAGAGGGGTGGCTGGGTCAAATGAAGCCTCTAAACCTAGTTCTTTGAGGTATCTCCATTATTCTTAACTGAACTTTATCCAAGTGTGGACGTATAGGAAGAAACCTACTATTTGTAGGGTCGGGTACTCTCTGTGACATCAGACATCTGCAGATTTCCCTGGAGCACACTCCAGAGAAGGGGCACTGCCCTATTCCCCTTGTCCTCTCCTCAGGATCTCTGCCAGACCCTGGAGTCTCTGGGCAGCACGGTCACCACCTTCTCCGCCAGTGCCCGGAAGGTGGTGAACAGACACTCCTGCATCCAGCAGGCTGAGGCTCTTCAGCAGCAGTACGAGGGCACACTTCAGAGGATGAAAGATAGACAGACTGTGCTGGAAAACCTGCTGGCCCACTGGCAGAGGTGAGCAAGGTGTATTCTGAGTTGCTGTCACAGCGAAACAGGAAATTCTTGGTGAAATACTCGTTAAGCAATTGGAAATGATCATCCCAGATGTAAAATATGTGAACTCCTGTGTCTACACTATGGAGATCTTAAACTTCACTATAAGATGAAGATCCCTGAAAGTGGAAAGGACGTCAATGTGTCTTCACGTGTTACACAGATGTAAGCAAGGACAGGTGCACATGTGAAAAGGAAGGGTTTCTTTTTTGTAACTTTATATCTAGAAATTACTCAACCCGCACTGGATTATTTATAATGGTTCCTGTTGGACCCTCAAACAAGATGAAAGGTTCCATCTTCTAGCATGATGACTTTGAATAAAACTGTTTCCTGTCTCTCTTTCCTTTAGGCTAGAGAAAGAACTGTCATCCTTTTTGACCTGGTTGGAGCGGTGTGAAGCCTTCGCCAGTTCTCCAGAGATGGACAATACCGCAGACAGAGTCAAAGCGGAGGGTGAACTTCAGTTAATACAGGCAAGTTCCAGGAAGTGTGGAAAGGAAAATGAAAGGCTTTTGCTATGGCTGCATTGTCTTTAAAATAAATAAAATAAACCTCATCTCTCTATCCCAAACTCCTGGCTTTTGTTTTATAATCCCTGAATCATCATTTAAGATCCAAGTTTGAGTTCTTGAAAAGAGAGAAATCCTGGTCTGAAAGACAATATAATAATGAGAAATTTCTGATGATTTCATTCCATGGTGTGTTAGAAAATCTTGTAACAATGTCTGGCATTTCAGTGAAAGGGATGGACTTGGTGGGGGAGTCGAGAGAAGGGTGAGCAGAGACATAAAAGAAATGAGGTTGACTGTCAGTTAACCGTTAGGGCTGAAAGTAGGTGTGATCTCTTCACTTTGGTATTCGTGTGAGTTTTGGGTAATAAAGAGGATTGGTTGATAAATTAATTTCAGTGCTAGCTCTCAAACCCAGGGCTTCAAGCGTACTAGACAGGCACTCTACCAATGAGCAATATGTCCAAGCCAATTGAAAAGTATTTTTAACAGGGAGCTGATGGACTGTAGAAAGAAATTTAAAAAATGATCATTTTCAGGCAAGATAGAAATTGAATAAGCACCAACATGAACGAAGGTAGAGAAACCAAGATTACTAGTTTGTTACATCCCTGAAGAAGCAAAATTTTTAAACTCAAAAAAAATTAGATGTTCTTAAAGCTGTAGAGCATGGAAGCTGATATCTGAAAATTAATAACTTGTTCCAAATGATTCTATCTATGTAAGAAAATTGAATAGGCAAAATTACTGCTTAAAAGACATTTATTGTGTTATAGATTTATGCCCTAGCTGTTTTCATCAACTTTTACAATAGGTTTAAGAAGAAACTGCGGTCTTTTTGATTTTATAATTGCTCTTCTTTTTTCCCCAAAGCTATTTTTTATTGCTTATTGGTACACTTTAGGTATACAATAGAGTTACGTTCATCACTGGGATCTTGTACCTTTACATGACAGGTCTTGGTTCTCACTTTTTTTCCCTTATCCCTGCCCTCCCTTCACCCCCTCCACCCTTCCCTATTTACAAAGACTTTGTTTCCATTTTTTCCTTTTCTCCTATTTTTTCTTTTCCCTTCTTTCCTTTCCCCTACCCCTCCCACTTCCCCTACTCCTTTAGACCTTTTCATCCTATTTCACATTATCAAGTGTACATTTTGATCCTTATTTATATTTTTAGTTTTTAACAGCAGAGAAACCAGAGACTGGATAAAGATTTTTTTTATATGTAAAATTGAATACTACTCAGCCACCAAGAGTGAGAAACTAGAGACATTTATAGCTAAATGGATGCACATTGAGGCCATACTCGTAAGTGAAATAAATAGGACACACATGTATAAATACCACATAACTGCTTTTCTTAAAACTCCAGCAGAGGTCTTTGTAGCCCTGTCCTCAGATTTTCTTCCTTTCTGACCCCGAGGGTGCGCTACACCTCTTGTTCTCCTGCTTTTGTAATTTATGAAACATGGATTTTGCATTCATCCCCCAAAAAGTCTCTTCTCTAAAATTTATCGTGAGTGCCTTGAGAATGCACTGAACTACATCTCCAACTCTTTTTATTTTGGGACAAGAGCTTGCTAAGTTGCCCAGGTGGGCCTTAAACTTCTGCCGCTTCTGCCGCTTCTGCCTCAGTCCCCCACCCCAGGAACTGGGATTTCAGGAGCTGGTCTCAGGGCTCCCATTCAGGCTCGTTCTTCCTTAAAACACATATGAAGTGATCCAAGAGGGCAAGCCACAGCTCCTTTCCTTAAAAATGACAAAGTGTAGACACAAAGATATCTGTGCTCTAAAATTTTACTTTCCGTGTCTCTATGGAAACTGCATGGATGTGAGAGGACCCTGAAAGGGACTCTGTCACTCCCCCGTGTCCAGATGAGCACCATCGGTCAAGCCGTATCTGTGCTGAGGGCTGCCCGTGCCATGTACTTTCCCACAATCCTGTGTCACTTTTCTGTCCTACTCAGCATAGGTCCTAATTCTGCTTTGGGATCTCCCTGTCTTTCACAGGCTGGGTACTCCTTCCCCTGATACCTTTAGAGATTGTACTGTGTAGCATATGGCCCTCACTAAAAAGGGAAATAGAGCATTTGGACCAGCATCTACTAACTTCCATGTCACTCCTATCATCTCACTCAACACTGTTTTATGTCCTTACCCGTGTGTTTAAGTCTTTGGATTTTATCTCATATTTGGTAGGAACCATACTTTTTATGACTTCATAGCACCTAAGAGATTCAGTGCCTAACCCAATTGAAAAACTAAATACTTCTGTTACACTTAAGTAAAATCAAGGACTCTTAGGTTCCTCCAGTTTGGCCAGATATAATCTCTACACCAAGAAGATCACTATGTTCCTCATATCTAGAATTCCATCTTGGTTATTTTTAGATATGCATTGATTCTAGGCCAGTTATTTTTCTTCACTTCTCTTCAGCTGTTTACTTTCTTCATCCTGAAAGAAATTCACAACTTCCAAGTTTACCTAACTTACAACTCTAACCACCAAAAGCTCATTTGGGTTTCCACAGCATATAAAAAATTATATTAAAAATGAAGTGAACATAGTCAACAAGCTGCTTATGACTATGAATGGCTTTCTTTGTTCTTTTTTCTTGTGTTTTTGTTTCCTGTAATGTGCATATTAACTTTTTTAAAAATAAAGATTATTTTTAAAGCTCATAGGAAAAAGATGAAGTGGATCTATTTCTAAATTGAGTCATGAAAACTCTCTTTTGGCCAGTGAGTTCCATTTTGCAAGAATGTTCAGCCTTTTGACAACAGCCCCTGCCTCTCCTGGCCTGGCTGTTGAGTCTTGTCTGTGCTCTGTTCTGCATCCCTCAGGCCCTGCAAAATGAAGTTGTTTCCCAGGCCTCCTCCTACAGCAACCTTTTACAGCTGAAGGAATCGCTGTTCTCAGTTGCCACCCAAGACCACGTGAAAATGATGAAACTGCACTTGGAGCAGTTGGATGAGAGATGGAGGGATTTGCCACAGATAATTAGCAAAAGGTTGGTCCTAAAGAACTTCTAATATTGTTCCTGTGCTTTTAAAGGGTGAGTGTACAGATTAAAAAAGAATAGCTTTATTTTTATTTAACTCGGTTTTTGAAAGTGGAACTCTAAGCGGAAGAAACTACTAGGAGTGAAAGCAAACTACTTTATTTGTCATTTTTAAAATCAAGATCTTCAAAAATGAGCATTGCCAATGGTCCTCAATTCAAAATTTTAACTTTACACAAGGGCAAATGATTCAAGCAATTGGAGTTTGGAGTATTTATTCCCTGAGCTGTTTGTGTACAGGAGAACAATGGTAGAGTTTTGCCTCACATGATATTTATCAACCAGAAGCATTTTATAAACATAAGCCACTTCACTTCATTCCAATATAGATATTGGAGAGAGAAAGCAGACTTATCATTATTTAAAATAGAAGACAAAATAGATTTAATCTTAATTAACTAGACAATAAATACTTGGCACTCATAGCTTCCTAATTAAAAACCAAAAAGGTTTCTCTTTAAATTGGTATTGATTACCAATGTGATCTTGGCTGAGCATTTGACCTCCCTGACTGTTTTAAACATTCATTTTGCAAATACTTACTGAGTTTGTGAGATGAATAGAGAACTCTTCTGTGTGTTGTGCATCACTCTGCTTTCATGGAGTTGGCATGTATTCCAGGGTTTATTCATTTACTCCATCAGTCAACAAATGTTTATTAGTACCCGGTGCTGGTACCACATCAGCTAGTGCAGCCATAAAATAAATGTAACTTGACTGTAGGTATTTTACAGATTACTGTGGCGATGAAAAGGAAGCAAATGATGAGAGAGGCAGGCACAGAGAAGTGCAGGACCAAAATAAAGAGGGACATTGGGATTGGTCCAGGAAAGGATTACAGAAGATCTGATGCCAACCCTTAAGTGATGAATAATTTTCTACAAGATAGAAATTTTCTGTCTACCTTTAAGAAGGAAAGTAAAGGACTTTTAAAGAGACACAAATAAGTAAAGACCTTCAAAATATAATATATCCATGAATAGATGATGTGCAGATATAAAGATTAAAACATGGAAGTCAATTTAAAAATTAGAACTCTCTAATATGTACAATTACAATTAAAATGTGTCAATCAAAAGTTAAAAATAAAGAAAATAAAACACAACTACAAAGTTGAATTTTGAATGTAAACCACTGTCATGAATATTAATATTTGGCTAAGGAATTATTTTAATACCAGCTTTCAATTCTGATCTCCAATTACCTATTCTTAATCAAGTAATTTATTTACTTCTCAAGCATGGATGGATCTCCTGATCATAACCTGGAAACCTTTCCAGGTACAGGAGACACAAAGAAAGAAATGGTGGATGGACCGGAAGGGGCTTTGGGGGATCAATGTGTAACTAAACAAATAAGGGAACAAGAGTGCATCGGGTGTTAAGTACTACGAGCACAGGGTGATGTGGCAGGGACAGCACAGCCGTGCAAGACTTCTTCATCCTGAATAGGTGAGCAAGGTCTCTGTGAGCACTGAACAGGGAGCAGATCCAAGCGACTGCAGGAACAGCACACAGGGAGCACAAGGACTGAGGCTCTCGGAATGAGCAGGGATATCAGGCCGCAGAGAAGGAGGGCCAGTGGGAGTGTAGGGCAGAGTGGTAGCAGATGAGGCCAAAGAAGTAGATGATATGGGACCCCTTGGAACCACAGCCAAAACTTGGGGGGTTTGCTTTCCTGAGTGCATCACGGATGCTGCCCCAATGCTGATCAGGGCTCTGATCCCACGACACCGCTTCTGAATGCGCTCTCGGTAGACAGTAAGGAGACAAAGGTGGAGGAAGGAAGTCACTCAGAGGCTGTTGGAAGTCAGACAAGAGACTGTGGAGGTGGTGAGAATGGGCAGAAGAGCACATGTCTCAGTCACTTGCTCATCACTGAGACACAGTGCTTGACACTCACAACATGAGAGGTCTTTAGAGGGTTCCGTCCATAAAGCAGGAAGGGCATGGTGGAAGGGTCTGGGGAAGAAAAGCTGTTCACACTGTGGTGATCAGGAAGCAGAGCGCGAAGGAAGGGGCCAGGAAGGAGACATGCAGTACACCCTTCCCAGTCATGCCCTCCTGACCTGCCCTACAACCCACCCCCAACAGCACGCCCAGCTATGCACTCACAAGTGGATTCATCTCCTGATGGGTGTAACACCTCCAGGACCCAGTCACCCTCCAAGAGCCCCACCTCTGGACATGGGAGACTTGTGGAGGACACTCCAGACCTAGACCATAACAGCACAGAAGCTGTGTACACAATGGTGGACGTGCTGATGGGAGGGACATGCAGAGCTGGGATGTGGGGCTGAAGGAACAGATGGAGAAAAATTGACTCCTTGAGCATCAGGATGTGTGACGGTCATCTCAACGCAGACAAGGGCAATTGAGAAAACCAGGTCTTGAGAAGCAGGGACTATCAAGAGTTCTAGCTTGCTACTGTGCGTTGCTTTTGCCCTGGAATAACTTTGATTCCCAAAATATATCACAAACTCTTTGGGTTCACTAACAGGACATGTTAACGTTAGCCCCTTTCTCCCTGTAGGATTCATTTCCTCCAGTCTGTGGTTGCTGAGCACCAGCAGTTTGACGAGCTGCTGCTCTCCTTCTCTGTATGGATTAAGCAGTTTCTCAGTGAATTACAAACTTCATCTGAGATCAGCATAATGGACCATCAAGTGGCTTTTACTCGGCACAAGGTAAAACACATTCTTGTAAGACTGGAGAGATATTTATTTACAAGAGAGGGCTCCTGAATCACAAAGGGATGCAACATTTTTAAAAACACTTAAAAACAATTGCACTTTTTCTTCATATGAATATATTTTAATAATTGAGCAAATGGGTCCGGACAATGTGTTACAGAGGTAAATTAAGCGGATAAAGCCACTCTGGATAAAATTGATTAACTGCATTCAGAAATTGTTTTTTCATAGTAAAGCAAATGATTTCTAGCATAAAGTGAAAAGAATATCCATTTTTAAACTTTCTAGCTTATTTTGTTCTGATATTGAAAATGAATACATAGTTCCATTGGTTTAATGATATTTTTTCCTAAAGTATTATTCAGCTTAAAAGTGATAAAAAATTTATGACTTATTTCTTGTATTAATAAATTCATTAATTATGCATAATGTACATCTTGACACCAAAAAAAAGGAATTTTAAAAAATCAGATACTGATCAGCAGGCATTGAGAGAATAGTTTATAATAATATTTAATAATGAAATATTTACTATTTATTCAGTGTTGGGTCTATGCAAGGTTTGCTAATTGACTTTGTGAAGCAAAAAACAAACTTTCTTCTATCTTCAGGACAGGAGAAAGTTTCACAGTTTGGAGGAAGGGAACCAACTGCCCAGATTAGCCCCTAACCTCCAAAAAGCCTCTGAGAAAGAGGTATTGCATTCTAAGATAATTACATTTCAAAGGGATGGTGTCCAGGTTCTCGAAAAGGGCAATCCTGGTTGGCAAAATTGGCCAGAAGCTTTAAAAAGACCTACTTCTCAAAAGGGCAAATAATATGTTTGCAATAAGTGTTCCAGAGTAAAAGCTCAAAGCCAGCAGAAGTAGGGGACCTGAAGAAGCTATCTAAAGGTTAGTAGTCAAACTGAGGTCATTTATACAGCTATTGTGGTTAAAATTAAGAGAGGTGATAATGTTTCTTTAATGGGAACTATACTGAGATTGTTAGCAGTTTTCAGCTAGATTTTAAAAGTGATTTATTGTGAGTCACATTTCTTTGTTGTTCTTATTTGTTTCTTTTTATTTTTTGAGCGAAGGTCTAATTATGTAGTCTCTGCCAGCCTAGAACTCATTATGTCGCCCAGTCCAACCTCCTACTTAAGAGCCTCCTGCCTCAGCTTCTGAGTGCTGTGATAACAGTCTGGACCACTGCTTTAGGCGTAGAGGTATTTCTTGTATAGCTGCTTCACGTAAAACACAATCCAGATATGAAACTAACCGATCCAGGATTGTGTTTTACATGAAATATGTAGATGAACAAAATGGGAAATGTTACAGATATTTCTAATAGGTTCACTGTGAATAACTTTTGATACTAGGTGGCCCGTAGCACTCCCAATACATCTTGACATCACACAGCTGACGGCTATCTGTGTCACCAGGGGTAGTGTGCCTGGGAATCAGTGACTCCCTCTTTCCTTCCAGGACCATGCAGCAGAAATAGAGAACAAAAAGAGAGAACTGCAGAGTCTGCAGGCTCACTTAGCGAAGCTGGGGTCTCTGGGTCGAGCGGAAGACCTCCACCTCCTCCAGGGCAAGGCAGAGGATTGCTTCCAGCTCTTCGAGGAGGTCACTCAGGTGGTAGAGAGGCGGTGGCTCGCCCTGTCGCAGCTGGCAGAGTTCTTACAGCGCCGAGCCTGTCTGTCTGAGGTACTGCACCGGCTGAGGCAAACGGTGGAAGCAACTAGCAGCATGAATAAGAAGCAATCGGACTTGCTAGAGAAGGACCTAAACGATGCCATTCAAGATATCAAGACGCTAGAATCTACTGCCATTGGTCTTGATGGCATCCTCACCAAAGCCCAGTACCATCTGAGGAGCGGGCAGGCCGAGCACAGGACCTCCTGCAGAGCGGTGGCCGACCAGCTCTGTGTAGAGCTGGAGAGGATCCAGAACCTCCTGGGAACCAAGCAGAGTGAGGCAGATGCTCTGCGCCTGCTGAAGAAAGCGTTCCAAGACCAGAGAGAGGAGCTGCTGAAGAGCATCGAGGACATCGAAGAAAGGACTGACAGAGAGCGACTGAAAGAGCCCACCCGCCAGGCGCTTCAGCAGAGGTATAGGAGACCACATGAAGCCCATTAGCTTTCCCTTTATTTGTTCTGGAATTAATTTGGGTGCAAAGTTTTGAGTGCCATGTGTGGCAGCTTCTTTTTTTCTCAAGTATTTTGAAGATAAAATTAATGCTTAATTTGACACCCAAGAAGTACTGTGCATTCTATGGCTTCCATGGAGGACTTTCTTATTTTTTTTCATTAAGTTTATTGGTACACTTTAGGTATATAATACAATTACAATTCATCATTGGGATCGTGTACCCTTCCATGATATGTCTTGGTTCTTATTTTCGGCCCCATCCCCTCCCCTCCATTTATCCCCTCTACCCTTCCCTATTTACAAAGATTTTACTTGCATTTTTCCCTTTTCTCATTTTTTCTTTTCCCTTCTTTCTTTTCTTCTACCCTTCCAATTTTCCCTACTCCTTTAGACCTTGTCTTCCTATTTCACATTATCAATTTTACAATTTGAACCTTATTTATACTTTTAATTTTTCACATCAAAGAAATTATTCAGTACTTACACATGTGACCTATTTATTTCACTTGAGTATGACCTCAATACGCATCCATTTAGCTATAAATGTCTAGTTTCTTGTTCTTTATGGATGAGTAGTACTCCATTGTGTGTGTGTATAGACACGCACACATATATGCCCACATCTTTATCCACTCCCCTGTTGATAGGCAACTGGGCTGCTTCCAAGTTTTAGTTATTACAAACTGTGCCGCTATAAACATGGGTGTGCATATGTTTCTGTGGTGTGATTCTTTTAATTCTTTGGGGAAGATACCCAGCAGGTGAATAGCTGAATCAAATGGGACTTTCAGTCCTAGTTCTTTGAGATATCTCCATACTGATTTCCATAGTGGTTGCAACAGTCTACACTCCCACCAGCAGTGTAGAAGGGTTTCTCTTTACCCCCAGTCCTGCCAGCATTTGTTATTGGTTGATTTCATAATAACAGCAGCTATTATTTCTGGGATGAGGTGGAATGTCAGTGTTATTTTCATCTGCATCTCTTGAATGACCAGTGATGTTAAACATTTTTTCTTATGTTTATTGGCTGCTTTTAATTCTTTGTCTGAGAAATATATGTTCATTTCAGATGCCCATTTTTTAATTGGGTCTTTATATTTGGGGAGTCTGACTTTTTAAAGTTCCTTATATATTCTAGAATGTAATCCTTTGAGGAACAGCTGATAAAATTTTTTACTACATCATAGGTTGTCTCTTAGCTCTGTTGGTGGTTTCTCATACAGTGCAAAGGCTTTTTAATAAGATGAGATGCCAGTTGTTGATTCTTTGTGCTAGTTCATGTGCTATTGAGAATTTGTTCATAAAGTCTTTTCCTATGCCAGTGTCTAAAGAGTTCTACCTAACTTATCTTCCAGCAAGTTCAGTGTTTCTGTTTTAATATTTAGATCCTTAACCATTTCAATTTTAGTTTAGTGCATGGCGAAAGATAGGGATCTAGATTTTAATCTTTGGCAGTTTTTCCAGCACCATTTATTAAAGAGGCTATCTTTCATCCACTGAGGATGATTGGCTCCTTTGTCAAAGATGAGGTAGCTGGGTATGTCTGGAGTTGTTTCTCCATCTTCTAATCTATTCCACTGATCCTCAGGTCTGTTTCTTTGTCAGTACCATGTTTTTTTTTATCACAGTGGCTTTGTAGAATAGTTTCAAGTTGGGGGTTGTGATAACCCCTTGGGGGACTTTGTGAGATCTTATTCACAGGAGAGTACACAGTGCACACTATTTGTGAGCAGTTGTTTACTGATAGAGGAATATGCTCGTCTTCTGTAGTAAGAACAAAGGCAGATATCTGTGTAGATGTGTAACTCTAACAGTAAACATATCAAGGAATTTAATCCTGAGAGTGACACTGGGCACCTCAGAAAGCACCTCATCTGGGTAAAGGCTGGAGCATGCTCACTGGTTGAGAGTGGGTGGAGATGTCAGAGGACAGAAAATGGGGTGAAGAGTTCGTTCGGTTCTCTCTCCTAGAGTGTGGAGCCCTGAAAGGTGATGACGAGCTGTCTAGGATCTAGTTTCCTTCATTTAAAGTGAAGCCAGTCATCTTAGGTGTGTGCTTCTCCACAACTCTCCAGTCTACGCAGAGGCATAGAGAAGGCAGGGAAAGTGTATAGGTAGAGTTGGAGTTTTGTCAGCTGGGTTCAATGGCAAAGAAAAAGCGTGGAGGGTTAGCACTGGTGATTGAGTGTGGGGTCTTCTCTCTGAGTTACATCCCCTGCCCTTTTGTATTTTGGTGTTTTGAGACAGGGTCTCACTAAGTAATGAAGTTGCCCAAACTGGGCTTGAATTTGCAACCTTCCTACTTCAGCCCCACTGGATTGTTGAGATACAGTCACAGGTATGCATCACCATGCTTGGCTTCCCTTAGTAAATTTTATCAGTAATTTCCCCCTAATACAATAGCCTTCCTTTCAATCCTCTTTTCTCTGTTAAAAGAACCCTATCCCTTTGTCATGGTGCAGAGATACACTTTAAAGACACTGATACCAATGTGTCTCTACTTGATACAGATGTTCTTGTCCCTACCAAGACCATTGCCACTTGTTCCCTTTTGGCCAGATTCAAACATGAAGCCAAAATATTAGTTAGATGGCAATGGAGTTAATATCTGGCTAGAGACTTAGCTCCTGAGATTATATTTCTGAAGAGTAGCAAGCTTTCTGACCAGTTTATCAATATTTCTGAAATGGAGCAAGCCTCTAGAGTAATAGCAAGGTGCCCAGTGTCACTCTCTCAGAAGTTTGTTGCAACTTTGGTGCTTTGGGTTGGTGAGGCCCTCTCTAACTTGCTCAGGACAAGCAAACAGGATGCCCTAGAACTGCTGGTGAAGAGGCCTAGGCTGGATACACTATGGCCAAGAAAATGTTTTAGTGAATTGATGAGTATAGTAAGTCCCTGCTATCCTAGTTACCTTTTTCTTGTATGGTGCGGATAAGAAAAGCACCTGCCCATAGCTACTTCATTTGGGAATAAACTGGGATAATATACACGTAGTTACTGTTCACTCTACACTACTGCACCAAAACACAAGATGTCAGTGGTTACCTGAAAAAAGAATCACTTTTTGCACATGCGCTAATATCTATATTTTAAGGACAAAAAAGCAAATTTTCTTACGGTAATCTTCTGCAACGTGGATAGTCAACATTCTAAAAATAGATTTTTTTAGAGCTCAGTACAGCTATTTCTATCTTGAAAGAAATAACTATGATCTGTAAGTACGATCATTACATGGGTTGGACCTCACGGCAGAAGTTTTTCGTACAAATGCTCTTTCAATAAGAATTCACCAACTCAGCTATCAAGTTTAGTCTCAGTCTTAAATCTTACACCATCAAAGCAAAGGGAAAGAGAGCAGAAGTGTAGTAGAAGGTTCAGAGCAAATAGTAAGAACGATTGTCAAGGTTTTCTGAGGGATGGCATGAGTCATCCTGAAAAATTAAAGGCATCTTCATTAATGGATGGTCTTTAATTGCTGTGTGTTAAAAGTTTTTCTAGCCTCTTAAATATGTTTCCTACATTTATTGTGTTATGATGGAGAGAGAGAATATTATACTTCACTGTCCTTAGCTAATTAACAGTGAGGTAACATTTTAATTCACAGGCTGAGAGTCTTCAATCAGCTAGAAGATGAATTGAATTCTCATGAGCATGAACTATGCTGGTTGAAAGACAAAGCCAAGCAAATTGCTCAGAAAGATGTGGCTTTGGCCCCTGAAGTTGATGAGGAGATAAACCGCTTGGAAGTAACCTGGAATGACACCAAAAGACTAATTCATGAAAAGTAAGTCAGAAATGTCCCACTTCTGTTTTTAACTCCCTATTGATTTTTGTCACATTGAGCCATTGTCGGTTGATTTTGCACAATATGGTTCAAAGTATGCTTTATGCTATGCACAATGGCTTTTGAAACAAAATCAAGAATCCATTGTATACTGTTGACTACTGATGTAATCAAATTTTATTCCATATAATTATTCTCTTACATTGTAACTTCTTAGAGGTTGCACAGTGTTCAACTACAAAAAAACTGAATTAATTCTATCATTGACTGATTTTTCAATATTTAGGCTATTTCTAAGTTTTCTTTATCCTAAATGATTATGTGTAAATATTGTAATTCTACCTAAACTTAGTGCACACAGATCTGTTTCTAGGAAAAACATCCTTACTTGTAGAACTGCTTGCTCAAATGCACTATATTTCTATAAACAAAAACTATTTATTCCGATAATTCTCAGGAGAATCATGATCATGACAATTTGCTATATTGTGATGAAATAGAAAAAAAACACATTCATATTTTAATTATCAGGCGGTATTTTTTTTTTTTTGCTCTTTCTTTGTTTTGTTCCTGCTATTGTTCCTTGCCCCTAACACAAGCTGGTATGAAATAATTAAAGCAGCATTAAAAAAAACATTTAAAACAACAAACATTTGGGTGACTCATCTGAGTTTGAGTTGCTGAGAACATGTGTTGCTTATTTTTTGCCACTGAGTTTATAGATTTTGTTACAATGCCTGTGTGTGTTCTTTGTTCATAAAGAAAAACACACACACACACACATTTTGGACATTGGTATTAAGTATATTTACTACCAAGATCATTTTGACCTAGATAGGGAAAATATGGTTCCACCATTCAGCTCTGAACACATTCATGTAGTGGTATTCCAAGTCCAGTTATAAGGAATGAAGGCTTTCCCTTCCTGACACATGACACTAAATAATACGTTTTCTCCAGGCGGGGTGGTACATGCCTGGAATCCCAGCACTTGGGAAGCTGAGGCAGGAGGATCGCTCTGAGTTTGAGACCAGCCTGGGCTACAGAGTGAGTTCTAGGTCAGTCTTGACTACATACAGAGACCCTGTCTCAAATAATAATAATAATAATTAATAATAATAATAATAATAATAAGTTTTCTTTTCATCTTTACAGCCAAGGCCAGTGCTGTGGACTTATTGACTTAGTGAGAGAATATCAGAACTTGAAATCGTCTGTTTCTAAAGTCCTAGAAAATGCCAGCAGTGTCACTGTAACCAGAACTACTATAAAAGATCAGGAGGATCTTAAGTGGTCTCTTTCCAAGGTAGAATTCAAAATGCATTTGATTTAATAGACTAGTACGTGTGCTTTCACTTCCTGAGTAATTCTCACACAGATGCTCTTGTCAGTATATTTAGATGTGGGCAATTCCTGCTAATTAATTGCTCAAATTTATTTTCCATGAATTCTGATATCCTAGAATTTTAGTAATTCATGACAAATATATACATGTGTGTGTATATATATATATATACATAAAATTCTATATATATATATGGTTTGCATAGTCATTTAGAATTATACTACAGTTAATATCATTAGTTTCTGCTTAAAGTCAAGTATAAGTACATTTCTTAATGGCGATGGTTTTAAAGTTCTGACTTATCACTGATGGTCTTACTGATTGAGCAAATATTTATATCCACAGCATGAAACTGCCAAGAATGAAATGAACTGTAAGCAGAAAGAGCTGGACAGTTTTACCAGCAAAGGCAAACACTTGTTGTCTGAGCTGAAAAAGATCCACAGTAGCGACTTCACCTTGGTGAAAACAGACATGGAGAGCACGATGGACAAGTGGCTGGATGTAAGAGGGTCCTGGGAGAGCACGCCTGGGAACGATTGGAACAGTGAATTCCTCAGCCAAGCTTTAGGGCAAAGAGTTACTCAGGGGTGTGAATTCCATTCTGAGCATGCCATGTTAACTGCAAAGTGATATTCTGAATAAAATAAGTGTTCCCATAAGTGAGAAATAGAAAAAAAGTACCTGCTTTATTTTATCAGAACCTAGTGGCAGATTTCTGGACTTACATTTTCTGGTTTCAATCCTCACAAGTCACAGCTCAGAATGTTTCTCTTCTCAAGACTCTAAAATCATGGATAAAATAGAGCAATTTACTGATACCCTAAACAATATTAAAATGTAATGTACATCAATTGAAAGTATTAAGACTATAGTTTTATTATAGTTATAGTGTTAAAAAGTTGGATCTGTAGTTTATATTCTTGTGTTTTAATTTTCAGTCCTTTACTCGCTAATGTGGCCATAAAACAAATTATTTGATCTTCCTGGAAATCAACATGTCTATCTATAAATATTTTACTTTACCTTTCAGCTCAAAAGTCCAGTGATTTCATTGACTCTATTCTCAGTGTCTAGATTCAGAATTTTAATATAAGATGGATTTCCTTACTTAGCTTTAGCAAGTTAAATTTACTGTTAGTCTATTTTTATAGTATAATCATATAATTTGGGGACTTCAAAGGCCCTATATGCCTGTTTTAAAGACCATTATTATAGAAAAATGGTAAGCAATAATAATTTAAATAAGTAAAATGTGTTGCTTTCTTATATATTTACTTGTATTATAAGTATTCTCACATCTAATTCATGTTCATTCCTCATCCTCAGCATCACAAATAAAAGTGCTTGTTGAGCTACTTTGAAAAAATAAATACAATACCACCCTAGATGGACCTCAATCTTGTAAAATTCAACCTTATAATGAGTTACATTATTCTGTGCTGTAATAGTCTCTAGAATTCCAACTAACAAATGAAAATCTAGTGTTTGAGAAATTCAAGCCACTACATGTTTGTTAATGTTTACTTGGAATATTAACTCTCAGCAATTTTATAAAACTGTCATTCGAATCTAATTTTCTAATTAAAACAGCATCCGTGAGGGAATGAACACTGTAAGCTGTACACTGTTAATAGCGTGACTTCTATTGCTTATCCCAGGTATTGGAGAAACTGGAAGAAAACATGGAAAAGCTCAGGACAAGCCTGTCCCTGTGGGATGATGTACTTTCAAGTAAAGATGAAATCGATGGATGGTCAAACGGCTTCCTTCTGCAGCTGGCTGAAATCATCAGCAACCTGAACAACAGCCATCAAGCTGAAGAATTCCTTAAAGAATTTGAGGTAAAATGGCTTTGCCTGTGGATGGAGCTGGGGCAAATCACTGTCTAGAATGAGAAAAAGTTGTGGTTTTTCTAAAAGTTCATCCTTCTTTTCAAAGACACGCAGGAGTATTCCAAACTGTAAACCGTCTTCTGCTATTTACTCAGACTTTGTATAGGCTCTGCTTAAGTGGTTTTTTTGGCTTTTTTTTTTGTTAAGTCTCAGTGGAGGCTTTTACTTAAAAATTTAGTAGAAAAGTAAAAGCTCATGAAATGCATACTTTTTCCTGTTCTTATGAGAATGTGGCACTGTCATATTTGAAAACAAATTGGAAGTGCTTTTAATTTAGTAATGTTTAATATTTATTTTTCTCCATTCAAAAACATCTATCAAATGTGTCAAATATGCTATTATTATTTGATGCTGAGTTCTTCCACTTCCTTTCCAAAATGAAAGAAAATGGGAGATTACGCTGTCGCAGGCTTCCAAGGACAGTTTCTGACCTTCTCCAGCTTTAAGTCGCCACAGTTCATTTTAAACTCCTTTTATTCCCACTCGTTGCATTCATTCATTTATTCTGTCATTCACCAAGCTCTTAATGAATTCCTGCAATATTTCAGGATCAGGCACTGTTTTTAGACCCTGAACTTGCAGCAGTAAAACAGACAACCATGCTACCTGCATGGAATTTATACTATTTGCATCACAATGTACGCTATATGAAAAAGGTTGGGTAGTGGTTGGACTCTGACGAATGATTAAACCGGATATGAGGAAGGAGAATGAAGAGAGAGATGTGTTTGACAAAGGGTATGATGGACTGTACTTGTATTGTTGGTGGAGACTATGGCATTGTATCCTCTGCCGCCCAGCGCTGTGCCTGCCCCTTAAAACTTGACTGATAAATGAGTGAGTGACTAGTCTGAAAACAGGCAAATGAATTACATCGCCTAATATCTAATGGTTTTTTGACGCATGTAACATTCAAGAGAGATTTTATAATCAAATTCCAATTTCTCAGAATAACCAGAGCAAAAGAAAATGGTGCAGACCCAGAGTCCAGTCAGGAATACCCCCCACCCCCATTCTCTTTAGTTGTCATCATGGGAACTGTCATGATACTACTATGGCTGGACATCCTAGCTTTTTGTGGCCTGCACTGGATTGCGTTAATCCCAGCTCACAGATTGTTAAAATTTTCAGGTGTTCTATAAGCAAGTATTAGCAATGTCATTATTATAAGTTAAATTAAAAATGAGGTAAATTTTATTAAAAACAAAGGTAGGGGCTGGCAGCATAGCTCAGTGGTTAGAGCACTCCAGGTTCCATTCCCAGCATCAATCAATCAGTTGCTCAATAAAAAAGAAGTAACAAATACTCAAAATTTATCATTCCTATTGTTTACTCTACACATTGCTACCCTGTGGGCATCAGAATTACTGACATCTGTCGTGTCTGTACCTCAGATGATAGGGACTCTCCGCAGTGATGTGCTCCTGGTGTGGCCTCAAGCCCGCATGCAGTGACTCAGTGTCATAGCTGAAAGTGCTGTACATACTCTAGCATTTTTTTAGGGAAGAGATGCAGTTGTCAAACCAGCCTGACTGCTGACCTCAGAAATCCAGGAAGCCAACGCATCTCAGCCCCACTTTCAGGGTGACTAGATTCAGTCCCTCAGAGGTGGGTCTTCTGGTTACTAAGTTCCTAACACACCTGATAAAGTTGGTGCTGGGCAGCGCCCTCCCACAACAGAGTTGCACTTGAGTGTACATCAGAAGGGAGCTTGGCAATGCAGTGTCTTACTGTGGGAAGCAAACTGCTTTCTGAATTAAGGCCTCAGGAACTTTGTTTGTGTCTCCAACACACCAGAATACTATTTTTAAGTTAAGACGGGTGATTTATTTAATGTTTCCTTGGGACCTCAAGTAACTGATTAAGTTTATAAGCACCCACGTTTAATAATGTTTCTTTAATGGGAGTCATCTGATTTTAAATGAAAGGGACCACCACATGAGGACATATTTTTTGGGTTAAAAAAGTAATAAAATACCAGTCATGCTTCAATTTTCCAATTGTTCTGGTTTCTTCTTGGATTGCCTGTAAATTTTTCTTTGAAATGATTTATACGCATTACATGTTGTCTGCAGTTGTTAGGCTCCCGTGACGTGCATGACATGAATGCGGTGCTGCCATGGGGACTGGTCATAGTACTGCTGACCGACAAGTGGTAGGCTGGGGAAATCCCCACCGACCCCAGGCTTTCAGTTGGTGTTTCACTTTTTCCAGGTTCTTTTTTCTAATAAAAGAGGGTGGGGAGGAAGTAAGTGCCACATACTCCCTCACATTTCAAGTCAATGTGAAATGTAACTTTTTCCACATCCGTAAGTAATAACAACCCTTGTAGAATGAAATGGACTCTTATACACTGGCTTCAGCCCTGTACCTTGACAGTTAGCTCTTAAAATTCTGAAATGCCAAATACAGCATGTCAGTGTTTCTGATTAGTGATGCAGTTCTCCCTTTTCTTTTATTCTGCTAGTCCGAAGTTAAAAACAAAGCTTTGAAATTGGAAGGACTTCATTCCAAAATTAACAATCTTAAAGAATTAGCTAAAATTCCAGAAACACCCCCAGACCTTCAGGTAAGAGCTATTTTGTAGTTAATACCATACATTGGGTTCATCCTTATAATTGTATTCTCTCTCTCTTTCTTTCTCTCTCAGCAACAGTGATACTTACTATCCTCATAATCCCAACAAAACACATGGGCTTTTATCATACATGGGAGCCAAGTATAAATATGTATATAATTCCCTATGCCAGTACTAATAACATATTTCCAATTTAAATATTATAATAGGAGTAGTTACTTTTCCCTTACTAAATTTTGGGAGCATTATCAGTTAGCATGTCTGATGGACCATTTTATGTCTAGACAGGAAGAGAAATCGTGTTTCAGTGATATTCTTATTAATATTTTCCTCATTCATGGATTCAGTATGTGGGTTGGGAGTGAACACCACTGAAAATCTCCCTTCATAGCCCTGTAGATGGCACAAACTCCCAGGACCACGGAAGCAGTACACACGGTAGCAGGGTGGCCCTCCCTGAGCCCTCAAAGCACCAGTGCGGTAGGTCTCCTTTGCCTGTCAGCCCGCTGGCTCCTGGCTGAGGGCTCTGATGTATCGTTTAACCCTTATATTTGTTGCTGCTCTTGTGTATTTTCTCCTCATTGTCTCACTATTTCCTCCTAACCAACCAATCCGGCTTGCAACCATGCTCTTACTCTGACCTGAGGCTGTGTACCCATCACTTCATACCACTGGTGGATGACACACATGTAGGCTGATGTTAGCAGTTCTGAAACAGGAAACAGTGTTCCCCAACCTCACACAGATAACACATTAACACAAAGGTAGGAGCAAAAAGTGGCTTTTAATGATGCTGATGGCTCAGTGAGTGACTCCTGTCAGCCTCGAGAGCCCTGAATAGAAGTTTGTGTCCTTATATACCTCTTTTTACATCTACAAAGCTTAATTCTATTGGAGTTTTCCCACGAATAGAGTAAGCAGGATTTACACAAAGCAGAACAGTGGAGAGGGAGAGAGGAAAGAGTTTTGGTGATAATCCCCTTTAGTGAAAGATTGCAGGAGTTGTCAAGGCTGCTCAGATACATTCTACAAAGAGGATAGTTACGTAGTTAACCCATAGTTGACTAATTCAGTGTGGAGGCGTGGTCTCCTCTCTCAGTTCCACCTGAAGCAAAAAAGGGGTGCTGTTCATATATAGAACTAAAAAGGGAGAGTGCTTATGGTTGTCACCTGCTTTGGGGATATCAAGCAAGGGACAGCAGCTGGACTCTTGCAGAGTGAAGATGAAGCTAGGGTGTGAAAAGAAAGCTACTGTTGTGCTCTGGTTTCTCCCCTCCTCTCTCTCTCTCTCTCACTCTCTCTCTCTCTCTCTCTCTCTCTCTCTCTCTCTCTCTCATACGTACCTATACATATCAAGGAAGATATGTGGGTGACATAAAGTACCCTAAGTCTAGGTAAAAGGATTTCAGGATTTCCTTGGAAAAACATAATCTGTGCCCTCTGCAGTTGGCAGGCACCAGAGTCTAGTTTGCAAGCCCTTGCCAGACAGGCTGGCTAACTACTCATGGGTTTGCCAAAGGAGAAGTAATTATTTGGTGTGGCCTGCCTCACAGAGTTAGCTGTGGGGTAAATGCCAGAGCATGGCTGCCAGCCCAGAAGTGAATCACAAGAGGAAATGAAAGGAGGAGACCACCACGGGAGGGAATCTAGACAGCAAAGAAGGACATCTGGGAGAGCAGACCTCAGCAGTGAGAAATGGAAGACAAGTACAGGCTTCGGAAAGAGAGCAGACAGAGGCAGAAGAGAGTGTAGTAGCTCATGTAGTGAAATCAGAAGGAGGTCCTGTACGAGGGGAGTCTCAGAAAAAAACACGGACCTAGGCTCATGAGACACATAGATAGGACACTCAGGTGCCAGCTCATAGCAGTTGGCACACAATTCAGAACTCTTACCCAATTCCTGCCAGTGCAAATCTTCAGGACAAAAAGCTGTACAAAGTGGAGAAACAGAAGTAACGTGAAGAAAGAGAAGAATAAGACCTTAACTGCCTTCTCCACAATGGGCTCCCTGCATGCAGCAGATCTGAGCTGGGACTAAGAAAAAAATCCTTAACTTTTAGTTTAAAACTTTGATTGCTGAATAGACCTGGACCTTTGAATTGTGGAATTAAGAAGTTACCTGTTCTGAAATATATCATCTCAAGAGGAGAAAAACAAATGTTTCCTACAAAAATAAAATTGCTACATCATAAAGGCTCAGTAGTGCGTATCCCAAGAAGAGTATACTTTGGGCAGAGAATGTGTGGGTGTTCCTTAGGAGATTCAAGAATAGAGTTTGGGTCACCTCAGCTCCATGTAGATCTAGCTATGATTTTAGAATGTGATCTCATGTATTCCCTGGAGCCTCAGTCCAAACCACACCTTTAACATCCACTGTTAGCTACAAACCCTGCTCTCCACTTTCCCATCACTTGATATTTTGGCAATTTATGCTCCTGGTTTTCCTTCCTGGAAAACACATGTTAGTATTGGAGCAGCTTCGATGGTGAAGCTTATGCTTTCTCAACAAAGTTGCACATAAACAGAATTCTTACTGAATGAGTGTTCTTTTGGTCTCCACAGACTTTAATAAAAATCTTGCCTTATAATTAGTTTATAGAAGCAGACTTAAGGCAGAAACTAGAGCACGCTAAAGAAGTAACTGAAGAAGCAAAAGGAACCTTGAAGGACTTTACTGCTCAAAGTACAAGCATAGAGAAATTCATCAATGACAGAACAGTGTGGCTGATGAAAGTGGAAGAGTCCCTGAGGAGCTGTGCCCAAGCCAAGACGTGTAAGGGATTGAGAAAAGTAAAGGTAGGTGCTGGACTGTTCGTAAGTGCTTCTTCTTGAATGATGCTAGTAGTTCTCCTGTTGGTAACAGCCATAACGAAGAGCACAGTCTCTGTTTTCAGTTATTCATACTGGCAACCAGACCAACTAATATATGGTACAGGACAAGGCAAAATAAGCAACAAGTGAAGAACTAGACACGGGTGTTGAGAAACAAATGAATAATCTAAAACCAGAAAGCATATATGTTGCAGTGCCTTCTCAGAGACTGTGCTTGTTTATGTATGTGGATGTGTATGCTTAGATACACATATATGTATATATTTATGTGTGTAGTTTGGTAAAAAGGTAAACCTATAGAAAAATTAGTAGACTTTCTGTCGATACTTAAACTTGAATGTCAGATATTTTATTAATTATTTTTATGGTCAATCTGACTGCTATCATCTAGAAAATGTTATAATTTTGGAAGAGTACAGAAAACTTTTTCCATGTCACTTGACCATATTTATTGATGACACTCCTAATTAACTGTATGTAAAAAAGTGTACATCGAGTTAACTTTTGATCATATATATGTAGTCTATTTGTCTTTTAGCATATTTTCTTACTATACTTAAGACTAAGGACATATTTTACAATTAGCTGCTACTGTTGTTGGCATAGCCTGGGACCTTAATCAAAACCCAAACGGCACACTGAAGAATGTGATATTTCTCACAAGGTGACCAGTGTCCAGACCATGGACTTAGGCGGAAGTCCATATGATGAAATCACTCAATCTGCTCGAGAACTAAACCCAAATTCTAGCCACTTTCCATCAGCTACTGTTACTGAGGAGAACTGGGAAGGCTTAGTGAAGAAGCCACACAGGGCTGTCACAAATATGCAGACACTCCCACCCCCCGTGTATAAACTGCTGCGTGAATTTCGCCAGCACCACGTTCAGATGGAAAAGATTATTAGGGTGGAGCCAGTGCCTTGTTTCTTGTGAGTCTCTTTCGAATGAACACCTCTCACGGTATATTTTCACTCTGCAGGATATAGAAAAAGAACTCCAAAGTCAGCAAAGGAACATTGGCTCTACCCAAGAGAATCTCAACGGTTTGTGCCGCAAGTACCACTCGGCAGAGCTGGAGAGCCTCGGCCGGGCAATGACGAGCCTGATAAAGAAGCAGGAAGCTGTGAGCCAGCTGTGCTCTAAAACTCAGGCCAGCCTGCAAGATTCTCTGGAAAAACATTTCAATGGTGAGGGCTGGCGGGTCTGGGCGTGGGTAATTGTTCCTAAGAATGAGTCCAAGCTAAATGCTGCCTAAAAACTGCCAGGAAAAGTTGGAGGAAACTTTCCAAGAGGCTATCATTTGAAAGTCACTTCTGCATTAAGATTGGCGCAGCAGAAATACTGTGCTGGGGGCTTTTACCCTATGCAGAATTCTTCTCCTTTCTCCCCAGGAAAGCAAGTGTCCACCATTCTAACGATTCCAAATTTCATCTGGATTTTCTACACATTTATTTAGGAATGTAGAAAATTACTTCCGCGTTCAAGTGACCCACAGCCACTGATGAAATAATAAGGAAATTTTCAATGCTAGGATGAAGTGCCACAATAAACTGGGAAGTCAGGAGACCCTGAGGGCAGCTGTGAGTGAGGAAACCGCCCATCCGCTGTGCTCCTGCTTCCCCACTGCAGGGCCAGGGGCTGACGTGAATGTACAGCAGCTCTCTCGGGTGACACGGTAGAAAGGGGGAATGGTTCATCTGTGGGCAGTAAGAATGTCTTCAGCCAGGTACTGCGCATCCCTGTAATCCAAGAACTCTGCGAGGCTGAAGGAGGCAGAAAGATGACATGTTCAGTTTCATCTCGGGCAACTTGGTGACTTAGAGGGCCTCATCTCAAAATAAAATATAAAAATGGTCTGGGGCTGTAGCTCAGTGCAAAGGCCCTAGGTTTAATCTCCAGTACGGAAAAAAAGAAAGAAAGAAAAAGAAAAAGCTTCAGTGCTCCAGAGCATTTCTGCCCTTGCATTCTTACATAGTCTTTACCCAAAGAAAGAAGCATGGTGGGCGGTCAGGCTTTCCAGGAACACCAGTTACTTATACTCTACTCTAAGATGAGTTTCCATCTCTGCCATACACAGTAATGGCTGGAGATCATGCTGTATTTTTTTTCCTATCATTTTATTTCTGGAATATTTTGTAAGACAGAATGAGATGGGCTGAAGGTGAGAAGAAATCCATGTGTCAATCCTGGGAACTTGTTCGGCCTTTGGGATTTATTCCTGATTCTCATTACTTTTCAAAAGATTCTATGCAGGAATTCCAAGAATGGTTTTTGGGAGCAAAAGCAGCAGCCAAAGAATCATCTGATCGAACTGGTGACAGTAAAGTTCTGGAGGCGAAGCTCCATGGTCTCCAGGTAGGGAAGCCGGCATCCTTCCTCTCCAGATTGTACTCAGGGGTCTTCGGGTTATCTCATTTCCCAAATTTATTTTCATCCATCTTTTCTTCTTCCCTAACAGAATTGGCCTTACTGAGTCAAATAAACATAGGCAACACAGAAAGTCACTTAGAGAACACCTCAGAGCTAGAGAAGGTCTATGCCTCTTTGTCTCTGTTTTTGCCAGAGAAAGATGTTTTTGGAATTCATTAAAAATTAAATCTAATTTTTTCATTTTTATAGTAGCAGAATTGTGAATAATGTTACCTATTTTATCTCTATTATGGAGATTTTAAAAGGGGCAAAAAGTAATTGTCTAAATTTTGAGGTAAGATATATGCAAATGAAAGTAACGGCTATTACAAGTTATTTGGATTCTATTGACTAAGAAAATTGTTTGAATTCAAGGAGAAAGCTATTGTAAAGCAGAGTTAAGAAATTACTTATAGAACAATAGGTTCAAATTAGGGTTTGGCCAAGTTTTTTTAGTACCTAATTTGAGCAGAGCACTGGAGACTTAATTCAAAGTTAATTATTGGGGAGGGGATTTTTAAAAACTAACAAGAACCCTGTGGACTTTGTGGCCTAATGCATGACAAAAATTATATCAGTAATTCATTGTATTAGAAGTCAGGGAGTGAAGATTGTCATGGTAAAGGAAAGGTTATTTTGCGGGAGACATGATGAATTCAGATATGGAACTGTCCCCTTGAAAGCTTAGGATCCACGAATTCCTCAAAGAACTCCCTAAAGAAATGTCAGAGTGACAATTGGCATGGCACTCAGTGCTCAAGGGAGAGGCTCGGCTATTTTCTTTGGCTCTGTAGGAGCCATTCTATGTACACTTTCAAGGAAGAGGCACATGCAAAAGAGGAAAAAGTTCCTTTCCTTAGGGCCTGACTATGTGTGTTGGATGGATAAGAAGAGGATGAGGAGGAGGAGCAGGAGGAGGAAGAAGAGGAAGAGGAGGAAGGGAGCAGGTGGCCAAACAGTTAGAGGAATGTCACAGTACTTCTGAGACATGGAGACTGGGGAGGAATTGAGAACAAGATGGCAATGTGATCGTCCTCTTTGCTGTATGGACATCAGTTTGTCTTCAGTGGCTCACAGGGCTGCTAGTACCATCCTTAACTAGGAGCCTTGGTTCTACCCATTCAAAGGCATCGTTCTCATCCCAGCCTCATTAGACATTTTCCTCCTGGGCTTTCCTTTTCTTCTCTTTCTCTGCTAGCTCAGCTTAGCATTGTAAGGAAGGAGCCCAGGCACCAGTGTCTCTGAATAATAGCAAATATGTCACATGACCTTTATTTCTCAAAACAGAACATTCTAGACTCAGTCAGTGATGGGCAAAGCAAACTTGATGCGGTCACTCAGGAGGGACAGAGCCTGTATGCACATCTGTCTAAACAAACTGTCAGCAGCATTCAGGAGCAAATTACAAAGGCGAATGAAGAGTTTCAAGCTTTCCTGAAGCAGTGCCTTAAAGATAAGCAGGCTCTCCAAGATTGTGCTTCTGAGCTGGGGAGGTAGGTTGCTCCTATAGATGTAGATATCACTACAAACAGAGTAAAGAGGCTTGTGAACAAACACAAATTTGAAATTCTGAGTTTAAGTTGTAGTGATGTTTGATCTACCTTCAGTGCAGCCTCATTCTAGGACAATAGTTAATTGCTCAGACTCTAAATTAGTTATTATTTTTCTATATATAAAAGTTATTTTCAGTAGTAATTGTAAATGACACAGTTGCAAGCAATTTTCATCTGTTTGGCTAAAAGAAGATATTAGTGCTTTGATACATCCAGTTTTAGGTGATCCAAGATTTTTCCTTGTGTCCACTTCTGCTTGGATAGTATCATGGCAGAAAATGACTGAAGACTTTTATGGATCAAGATTTCAATCAATAATATGTTAATAAGGATGAATATCAAAATACAAGCAAAAAATTCTCATCACTATGAGGAGAAAATATCAAATTGCCTTTCTGGTAGCCAAATAACTTCCCTTACACTTGTCCAGGTTTCTGGGAGAGCTTAAACTGTCATCAAAACTCCGAGCTTTTGCACCAAATTCAAATTCCCTTAAGAAACAAAGACATGAAACCCACTTTCCCTTCTTTCCGTGGAGCTGTACATGCCCCACCTGTCTATCCACTGGCACCAATTCAAGAGTGTTTGTACCCAGACATACAAAGTTAAGTGAATGTTGGCACGGAAATGTAATCATACTGTCCATTTCCAATTATGAAATCAATTTAGTTAGGAACAGTAACTTTTCCCTCCTTGTATCTCAAAACACATTACCGTGACTTGTCACTTTGTTACTGAAACATGTGAAAATTTAAACAGACTTATTATTGATCTTTCTTTATAACTGGAAATTTCATGGGATCTTATTTGCCATAAAAAAAACATAAGGACCTTAGCTTTTAGAACTTACTGTTTTAATGAGCACAGCAGAATTTTTCTAAAATAATTTTCTTTTCTTTAGCTTTGAAGATCAGCACAGAAAACTAAACTTATGGATCCATGAAATGGAAGAAAGGTTAAGTACAGAAAATTTGGGAGAGAGTAAACAGCATCTTGCTGAAAAGAAAAATGAAGTTCATAAAGTTGAAATGTTCCTGGGAGAACTTCTGGCTGCTAGGTATGAAAACAAAAATAGAATGGCTCCTTTACCTGCTATTATATTTCAACTACTTTATGGTCTGTTTTGGTTTGGTTGTTTGTTCATACTTTTTCTGGTCCCTGAATGCCTAGAATACAAGATGTCGCTACTGTATTCTTCACTTGATCTTAGCCAAAAGGCCGAGAAGCGATCGCTACTGTATTCTTTATAGCAGTGTGTGTCATTCTGCAGTCCGCAGGTAGAAATAAAAGCTCATCTGCATATGAGTTCCACCTTTGTGCTGGCCAGGTCTCTCACCTGCTGTAAGTCTTCCTCTTTCCCTTTAAGCACAATGTTGACCATACTGTGCCTTCCTTTCTGGGGTTGTTTTGAGGACTGAGTAATATCATGTGAAGCAGATAGGAAGAAAAGGAGACCTGAAGCTTGCAATAACTATAAAGGTACAAAATTAATGCTGTGGACTTCAACTTCCTCACACATTTCATGCTCTGCTTGCAATTCCTATGCACCCATCCTCGTATTCTTAGTGAAGGAAAGAGGCTTGGTCATTACGTCTGACTCTCCTTTGATTCCTTTCCTCTAAACAGTCTTTTGCTTTTCATTCCCTCCCCAATGAGAGGGGAAGCCATAGTTTCTTTATCATGTAAAGGCTGCTGGTCTGTGCTTCTGCCCTACCACCCATCTTCCGCACCCTGGTTCCTAAATTCACGCTTTACCCCTGGCGTGTCTAGTTGTTTTCTCTTCACCGGAAGACCTAACAATTTCCTCCATAGAAAAACAGCTTCAATAACACCTGAGCTCCTGAAAATCATCCTCTTAAAGAGTAGGAGTCTATGTGAGGAAGAAAAGGATAGTACCCTACTGCTTGCACCGATAAATCAACAATAATTAACTTTGTAAAATGTAACTAATTCAGGTCCTGAGCTTTCCCCATGGCTACCACATCATCTTTATGGTCACCCATTCCTAGTACTCCTTGCTTTGAGAAACAAGCATGTAAACAACTGAATAGCAGAACCTTACTGGTAGCTGCTTATGCGTGTGCAAGTTTGATAACTGTTATAGTTCCCCTGAAACATGTTTGTTCCATCACTGGGAGCCATTACTGATGGCTACATCTGTTTACTCGATCACTACAACATCCAACTAAGTCTTTCAAGATCAGGGACTTCACGTCTTCATCTTCATATTCTCATTGTGTAGGGAGGTGCTAGAAAAATAGAAATGCTCATAGAATTGGCAAAATAATAGCACTATTGTCACACATTTACATTCTTAAAATTATACTATGCTTTATTTCGCTATCCAAACCTCTACTATTGTCTGGATACAATTTAACACAAGCAAACCCACCTCGCTTGGCTTTCTAGACCTGCTAAATGGCTTTATATATTGTCAGCTTCCTTTTCTTCTCCACAGACTTCTCTTTACAGTACTTTCCCTTGTGCCAACTTTTTCTGCCATCATTATACATTGGAGAGAGTGCTCTAAATACCTTTCATCCCAGATCCAAGGTCTTTACTCGTCATTGTTTTTGTAATAATTACATTTTTTTATCTTTATTGACACATCATTTTTCTTAAAGTTTTACTTTCTGGTATTCCAAGTGCCGATGATAGCTGACCTTAGGTGTGCTTGTACTCAGGGTGAATCATGAAATGACAGTTAAATGTCTAAACTCTGAGTTAAGTAGGAAGAAGATAGTTGGTTCTTTTTAGTGTAACAGCAGGATGACTAAAGTATGAAATAGAATACTGTACATCCAAATTGGTAAGGGGATAAGTTTCAAATGTTCTCACCACAAAAAAAATTAAATATTTGAAGTGATTGACATATTAACCTGTTCAATTTAATTACTGCACATCATATTCACGTTATAACATCACTTTATACCATAAATATAGGCAATTATAAATTGTCAGCTTACAATGAAAATAACTACAGTAAATGGCTGTCCAAGTATGCAATGAAGCAACAAACAGAAAACAAAACTCTGAACTCTATTTCAAAAACAAAACTAAGATGCCACAATGTAACTAGGGGATAGAATCTACCATTGTATGTGTGGCCACTTTGCAGGTGACCGTATGTGACACAGGCAAAGTGTATACTTCAGAGTACTTTAGGAACTGAAGAGAGCTTGTCACAGTTAGAACACTCAGTAGGAATGGAGAGATGCCAGGGATGAGGCTGAAGAGGGAGCAGAGACCACTTTCTGAGCTGAATTCTTGGTGAGATGGTCAGCTCCGTCGCTGCTATTTGGACACAGACACAGCGCGGCTTGGATCATTTCCACCAACAGCCGTTAACTCCATTAAGAGAGAGCATAGGAGAACACAAGTATCCAGCCTGGTCCCAGCATCTTACTTTTAAAGGCATGTCAGCTGCGAGCCTGTCTGGCTCCTGCTCCAATATCAACAATCATCTGTCACTCCCCTGTGCTCCGGAATGTCAGAATTAAATTTTTTCCCTGTTTCTTTTTTAGAGAATCTCTCGATAAACTTTCCCAGAGAGGGCAGCTTCTCAGTGAGGAAGGCCACGGTGCAGGGCATGGTGGCCGCCTGGGCTCCCAGCTCCTCACCAGCTACCAGAATCTGCTCAGGATGACCAAGGAGAGGCTGCGGGGCTGCCAGCTTGCCCTCCAGGAGCACGAAGCCCTGGAGGAAACAATGCAGGACATGTGGTCCCGGGTGAGAGACGTCCAAGACAGGCTGGCCTGTGCAGAGAGCACCCTTGGGAGCAAGGAGACCTTGGAGAGGCGGCTGTCACAGATACAGGTAGGGGCAGGCAGCCAGCTGCTCACAGCTGATGGAAAGCAACTGGAGTAGATTCTCAGGGCTTTGAGTTTGTCCTAATCCTTCTGGGAGCCATTAAATAAGGATTGTGTGGACAAAATGGAGCCATCAGGCAAAAAAGATATAGAGGGGACAATTCTCTCTTGGAAAGGAGCAATTTTGCTCAAATACCTTTAAAATTATTTTTAATTTAGTTGAATCAGCAAGCACTGAGTACCTACCCTGCTCTGAGCACCGTGCAAGTAGCTGGGAATGCAAAGGTAAACATTTGTCCTCGTTTTCTAGGAGGTCATGGTCTCACGGGAGAGATTGGTGCATCACACAGCATTTGTACAGGTGTGGGTAGGGGCCATGCTGGAAGTAAACCAGGCTGTGCACACAGCAGATCACCAACCCAGACTGTGGCAATGTGGGTCACTGTCTTGGTTCATTTTCTCATTGTTGAGACAAAATACCCAACACGCACAGTTGGAGGAGGAAAGATTTATGTGGCTTATGGTTCCTAGAGATTTCGGTCCACAGTCGACTGGCTCCAAGGCAGGGTGGCACAGTAGAGGAACATCACAGAGGAGCCGTAGCCCAGGGCAAGCAAGCAAGGGAGAGCACATTAGCCTTCTTTCTGTCCCTTATATTTATGCAAGTTACCCACCCTGGGGCAGGTGTAGCACACACACCCTTAATCCTAGCCAGAACGATGCCAGGCCAATGAGTGGGCTGATTTAGTAATTACACACCCTGGATCCAAGCACCACACACTCTAGGTCCAGCCATCTCTGAAAAGCCTCCCCTCTATGACTACATGAGGCTTCAGGGGGACATCTAGACACCCCAATCATAACAGTCAACTTGAAAAGTAGGAATCAGCCAGGCATTGAATGTATGGGACAGCTAAGGTTATGGCAGTTGTGTTTTCATTTTCAAAACAATTTATTTTCACTCTCTAAAACCAATCAATAAATTTCTCATTTCTAAACTAGGGGCCAATGTTTTCTAAGAATTTAAGTTGGAGTTCATATTTGTCTCCAGGACTCCCTGGTATTTAATGTCGAAGTGAAATGTGATTTTTTTTTTCATTAAATTTATCGGTACATTTTAGGTATACGATACAGTTACATTCATCATTGGGACCTTGTATCTTTACACAGTGTATCTTGGTTCTTACTTTTTCCCTATTCCCCTGTCCTCTCTTCACCCCTTTCACCCTTTCCTACTTAAAATGACTTTGTTTCCATTGTTTTCCTTTTCTCATATTTTTTTTCTTTTTCCTTCTTTCCTTTCCCCTACCCTTGCCACTTTGCCTACTCCTTTAGACCTTTTCTTCCTGTTTCGCATCATCAGTTTTACAATTTGAACCTTATTTACACTTTTAGTTTTTCACACCAGAGAAACTATTTGGTATTTACACATATATGTCCTATTTATTTCACTTAAAAGTATGGCCTCAATATGCATCCAGTTAGTTATAAGTGTCTCTAGTTTCTTGTTCTTTATGACTGAGTAGTACTCCATTTTATAAAAAACAAAATAAAACAAACAAGCGAGCAAAAACATGTCTTCTTTATCCAGTCTCCAGTTGATGGGCAATTGGGCTGTTTCCTAGTTTTAGCTATTACAAACTGTGCGACTATAAACATGGGTGCACATATACCACTGTGGTATGATTCTTTTAATTCTTTTGGAAATACACCTGGCAGAGGGATGGCTGGGTCAAATGGGACTCCCAATCCTTGTTCTTTGAGGTATTTCCATATTGATTTCCACAGTGGTTGCACCAGTCTGCACTCCCACCAGCAATGGAGAAGGGTTCCTTTTTCCCCACAATCCCGCCAGCATTTTTTGTTGGTTGATTTCATGACAGCAGCCATTCTTTCTAGGGTGAGGTGGAATCTCAGTGTTGCTTTCTGCATTTCTCAAATGACCAGTGATGTTGAACATTTTTTCATATGTTTATTTGCTGCTTTTATTTCTTTGAGAAATGTCTGTTCATTTCAGATGCCCATTTTTCAATTGGGTCTTTATATTTGGGGGATCTGATTTTTTAAAGTTCTTTATGTATCCTATATAGCAGTCTTTTGTCTGAGAAACAGCTGATAAAACTTTTTCCCACATTGTAGCTTGTCTCTTAGCTCTGTTGGCAGTTTCTCTTGCAGTGCAGAAGCTTTTTAATAAGATGAGATCGCAGTTGTTGATCCTTTGTGCTAGGTGAAATGATCACATAGTAGGGCCTAGAATTGATTGTTATTTTTTTCTCATTGAGTTTATTGGTACATTTTAGGTATACAGTACAGTTACATTCATCATTGGGATCTTTACATGACGGGCCTCAGTTCTTGTTTTTTTCTCCTTATCCCTGCCCTCCCTTCAATCCCTCCTCCCTTCCCTATTTACAGATACTTTATTTCCATTTTTTCATTTTCTCATGTTTTTTTTCTTTTCCCTTTTTACCTTTCCCCTACCCTTCCCATTTCTCCTACACCTTTGGTTGATTGTTATTTTTAATGGTAAGATGTTCCTTACTTTAATTTTTGTGAGAAACATAACCCTTCTTAAAAAACAGCAGATTTTCATGCTCCTACTGACAAATGTCCTCTCTCCTCTCCCAGGATATTCTCTTGATGAAAGGTGAAGGAGAAGTCAAGTTGAACATGGCCATTGGCAAAGGGGAACAGGCCATGAAAAGCAGTAGTGAAGAAGGTCAGAAGGCGATTCAGGCTCAGCTACAGACCCTTAAGAATGCATGGGCTGACATCATGAGTGCCTCTGTCCATACTCAGAGGTATAGTTTGTTTTAATATGTTTTTGCTCGCATAAAACCCAATGGCTTAGTAACTGAAGGAGCAGGGCTGAGGCACCCTGGGGTAGAGTCACCAAGCATGCTATTTTAGCATGTTGTATGTATGCTTGCCCCTGCCTACTTCGCATTCCCCAAGGGATAAAGACTATGCTTGTTAGCTTGCTTTGTTTCTGTGTTTTTGTTTTAGTTTTTAAATGTTTGCATCTCCCCACTAACATCTCTCAGGGAATCTTGCCCATACCATGTGCTCAAGAAAACACTTCTTGTCAAATTATTAAAGCAAGGATACATGGTTCTTTAATAATATTAAGCTTTGTAAAGGAACATGTGGGAAATACATTGTTGGCAACTATTGAGCTTAAGTACAAATCCGTTATTTAACCAAAGGTGAGATCACCCACATAGGGACTGTAGGAAACAGAGAGGGTGGTTTTCATTGTCACAGTGGTGGGGCCCAGAAAGGCAACAGCCTACAAAGTGAAGAGCAGTCTCATACCACAAAGATACAGCCCATGCACAGCTTTCGTAGTGCCACACAATCTCATTCATGTGTGGACTCTAAATAATTCATCTAAAAGAAATGAAAGTAGAGTGTGGAATGGTAGTTAGAGAAAGCTGGAAAGAGCAGAGCTAAGGAGGGATGGGGAATGGTGGTGAAGTGCGTACTAAGTCGTACTTAGGAGGAAGACATCCTGGGATGCTAAGGCATACAGTGTGCATTTGGAAAGACAGAGAAAAGTATATGAAGAGTTTTCACTGTAAAGAAATGATAAACGAGATAGATAAATTTAACCTGGTTTCAACATTATACCATGTGCATATGGATTGAAATATCACTTTAACCTGAAATCTGTAGAATTTGAATGTTTTATGTAAAATTATATTTTAATTTAAATGATCACAAATCAGATTTATACTGACCCACACCTGGGACCCACACTGAAGGTCACTTACACTACCAGATCATGTACGAAATGAGTGCCCAATGTGATTGTCACAAATAGATGAAGGAAGAAAACAAGTTAATAAGCATGGCCGCCATCCATTGCAGCGTCACCAATAAGCTGTAGTTACACCGAAAAGTTGGAAGTTTTTAGTTTTTTGCTTTTTCCTTTAATACAGAGCACAAGGAATGACTCGCAAAGTAAGCAGGACTTTGTTTCTTAGTAATAACTCCTAGTGGTCTGCAAGAAAAAGGTCAGATTCTGTGATATCTTATTCTAAAGCAGCCTGGTAGAGCACCATCTAAACTACCCAACATTTGGCAGTAAGACAGCATCACAAAATTTCATAGGACTGTAAGCGAATACTTTGTAGATATTAGAACAAAAATGTAAACATAAGAAGCAGATTCAGATCTTTGACTTTCCCATTTTCGTATGCTGTTGGACAGTGAGATATTGAGCAGTAGCAGAATTCAAAATATTGTGTTAAAATAATGAAACAAAGGAAAATTGTTCCCTCTAACTGCTCAGATGCTAGGGTACATAGAAGGGTGTACTCCAGAAAACTCTGACCCAGGTTGTGTAACTCAGAGTTTTCAAAAGACATGCGGTGGGTGTAGAAGGATGCAGGTCTAGGTGTCTTACAAAGAAGTGACATTGACTCTGACCTTTTAGAAAATTATTTTAGGAAAGAATGGGACTATGCAATGTATGTGATGAGGGTCCTATTGATGCCAAAGCAGCAGTTTGAGTGAATATTGGAAGTTTGTTAACCAAATCCTAACTTAACATGTATGTGAGGGAGGCTGGGGCAGTCACTGAAGATGGATTTAGAATAGTTTGTAAAGCTCAATTTTGGGCAACTTTTCTGAATGCCTGAAAGAAAGTCTGAAAGACTTTCTTTTAGTATCTGGAAAGCTAGTTAGTTACTTCACTGTTATGTCTGTGACTGTACATTTTTTACATTACACATACATAGAGACTACATTTGCTCACATATATAATACAAGGCATCGGCTTGTGTGTGTATATGTACGTGGCCTTAAATGAAAAACAATCTACTGATATTATTTATTCGGAGAGAATGCCTTGAATATTGAACTGCAGACAAAATATAATTCCCATATTATTTTTAATAAAATAAGCTAGTCCCAAGAAACTTAATAATTGATGTATACATATACTAACTAAAATTGAACTGATGTTTCCAGTGCTGAGTTTTCACAGCATTGTATGTACATTTGTCTGTCTACTTAAGATGCCTAGCACGTGGAAGGCAGGTCTCCCGATACAAGATTGACCACAGAACCTCATTTCACATTTCAGCATTGATTTATGCTGTGTGAAGGAACTGTGCTCTGGGTGCAGTGGATCAGAGAAGCACATTTTCCCTGTACTCAAAGCAACATTTTCATCCCTTACAGAAGTATTCAGTGAAACCATTTACAAGAATGTAGTGACCTAGTAGCCTTTTGTTTTGATTTGGTTTGGGTTTGGGTAGTGCTGGGGATGGAACCCAAGGCTCTGCGCATGCCGGACAAGCCCTGTACCCCTGAGCCACATCCCCAACCCAAGGATGTAATGACCTTGAGATTGGGCTTTGGTAACAATATCAAAATAAGTCATTTTTTAAATGTGTGGCATTAATTCTAGCACGCTGGAGTCTGTGCTTAGCCAATGGAATGACTACCTAGAGAGGAAAAACCAGCTGGAGCAGTGGATGGAATCAGTGGATGAAAAAATAGAATGTCCTTTACAACTGCAGCCAGGCCTGAAGGAGAAGTTTTCCCTGCTGGACCATTTTCAGTCCATCGTCTCTGAGGCAGAAGATCACACCAGTGCTCTGCACCTTCTGAACGCCAAGTCCAGAGAGCTCTACGAGAGGACTAGTGATGAGTCTTTCAAGGAAGCCACCCAAGAGGACCTGAAGATGCAGTTTTATGATATAACAACTGTGGCCAAGGTTAGTGTTTTACAACTGAGAAAGGCTTCTTCAAGGCTTAGTAAAGAGTAAGATAAAGGTCAAGCCCAGCAGTACACACCTGTGATCCCAGAACATAGGAGGCTGAGGCAGGGGGATAGCAAGTTCAAGGCCAGCCTGGTCTACACAGTGAGAGCTGATTAAATTATTGGAGAACGACCTGCTCTGAAACTGTCTCTTTGTTTTATTTTGTGGCTGACATTAAAGATTATTTCTCATCTACACTTGCAGATGTATTTTTCTCTTTCTGTTTCCTTGGGATTATTCATTATTTTCTGCCCTTTTCTACTTTGTCAGTCAGTTCATCTAACTTCTTTGTAAGATTCTGGACCATCAGTGTTGAAAGTTCCTTTGCTTTTGCTGCACATTTGTTTTATTAAATGCGGCTTATTTGCCCCCTTGATTTCAATCATGTGTTCATTTCCTATTTTAGTACAAACCACCTTTTCCTACCCTCCAGAACATAGTCTATTTCATGTATTCCATTCTCTAAATAAATCTTTATTTGCCTCCATGATTTTTCTTTTGGATAATTGTGACTAGTATAGAAATCAAGGGAGAATTGCGTTAGTTTTTAGCTACTTTGGTTTGCTTTTGGGAACTCTGCCTTATTGATATTACAGTTAGTAACAAACATACTCATCTTCATTTTTTGCTAAGTGTGACTCCTGACCTTGACATTTTTGGATGTGTAACTTTGGGCCTGCTGCTTAACTTCTGTAAACTTGTGTGTCCTTCCCTGTTTAAGGGTGAGAGTGATAGTATCCAAGTCACAGAAGTGGTGTCAGGATTAAATGGCAAATGGGCTTAAAGTGCTCAGCAGAATGATCTACACCAAGCTAAAACAAATAATTGCTTGAATAATAAAAATAATTTCAATAATTGTGATGAAGTGGGTTGTAAAGGATACTAGCCAACTTTCCTAAGTGTACCTTTTTATGCTAACAATAGTAAACTCGCAGGGGAAAAAACGGTTGCTTCTTCAAAGCCATAGTTAAAGATTTATAGTTTCTGTTTTAAGTATTAAACTCAGAGAAAAGTTAAGAATGAACATGAAATCCTCTGAGATACTTTAGCCTCTAAAGTATCTCAGGACTGTCATTTTATCTGATGTCATGTTCTCAGTAGCAACTGTTAAAGCAGCCTTTTCTGTGGTTACTAGGAGAAAATGAGGAAAGTGGAAGAGATTGTGAAAGACCATCTCATGTATTTGGACGCAGTCCAGGAATTCACTGATTGGCTCCATTCAGCGAAGGAAGAACTTCAGCGATGGTCAGACATGTCTGGGGATTCATCAGCCACTCAGAAAAAGTTGTTAAAAATTAAGGTCAGAAAACAGACTCATATGCTGCATTTGTTTCATGGGGTCTTGAGTACAGATAGCACAATTGCCATAAGAATTTGGTGTGTGAGGTTCTGACATTTGAAACATTTCCTTCCTGGTTCAAATTGGTTTATATTCAGTCAATAATCCTAAACATAAACAAGATTATATAAAAGAATTCAGAGGGCTTTGCACTTGTGGGCAAAATGCAGCATTTTCTGTGCGCAAATGTGGTGGTTGCTGTATTGTAACCCTAAGAAATAGATGCCAGAATGTGGGCTGGCAAAACCAACGCAGTGGTAACTCACTGTGCTCTTCTAGATCGCCGGCTCTGGAAACGGAAAAGCCATTCTTCACGCTGCTTCCCCTGGTTTTCTAGCTGTACCTTTGGGAAAGTTACTTTGTGTTTTCAGCCTCCCGTCTTAATTGGAAGCAGAAAATAAGAAGCAAGAAAATTAAAATAAAACCTCGCATGCAGAGTTGTTCTAAGGATAATTAGATCATGCATATACAATTTTTATAACTGAGCCTGCCACAAAGCACACTAAACAAAGAAGCCCAGTGCATTTGGTAAATAGAGATTCATTGGCCACGGAGTGACAAGGTGGGGAAGGGTCGAAGGTGAAGGTCAAGGCTGTAACCTGAGTCAATAGATCCATCACCACCTGAGAAAAATAAATGCACACAGAGGAGCCTGGTTATAGAGGGGCAGGCAGGAGTTCAAGGACGAACAGATGGAACTTGCGCTTAAGAGTGAGGTCTGTGAGATGCAGTTGAATATTCAGGGTATATTTTCAGGTTAGAAAGCTGTATTGGAGATGCAGTATTGGACATTATTCACACACAGTTGTTACTGCACTTCATAATGATGACGCTTTCATTCAAAATAAGGATGAGTAGAACTGCTGATTATAAATAGTCGATCTACTTTCATGCCAAGGAAAACTGGTAAGCATTTTCATAGTAGACACATCTTGAACTCCAAATTCAAAATCAGTCATTAAAGCACAGTTAAGCATGTCATTTTTTAAAAGTTATACTTTTCTTTATCAATTCACTGATTACTATATGTATATGCAATGACAAACAGGGATGGATTTAAGAATCCTGCTGCTAAGAGAGGTTGACTGTGTATATTAACTGCTGTGTATAGGATACATTTACACACGTGCCAAAATAAATTTCTTGTGGCTGAGCTTTGGACTACTCCATAAGTATTTTCAAATGATGGATCCTAAAATTTGGCAGTCTTGCATATAATTATGAGAAGGTATATGTATTTTAATCTAATTAAGTAAAGTCCAAGTTATATTATAAAAACTAGTTAAAGACATCCTTTATGCCTAACATAATTTATGAAATATGCATTATACTTATCCCACATTTTCATTTATTTCTTCTTCAAGTTTTTTTTCTTGATAATTATCCTTTCCTTCTATTTAATCCAGAAGTGATGTCATACTTTTTATTAAATGATAGCAAGACCCTGGCTTTAGCAATAGATATATAAATATATGAATGACAGTTGATTATTTCAGCAAGAAAAATTTCAGTCTAAGAAACCCATTCTCAGAAAGAAGTGCTGCTGTTTACCTACTTACCAATCCGTGTTTTAATTTGATCTTACTGCCTCTTTAGCATGTGTGCCTCTAGACCAAAACAGTATCTAAATTGCTAAATTCCTAGTAGTTTTTTTAAAGGTAAAATTAACAGTCATAGGTGAACCCAGTCTATGGATTACTAAACTCTAATTAAGTCAGTCTGTGAATCAGTCATTTTAGGTGCTATAAAAATGTTTATTTTAGGCACCGGAGTGTTTGGAAATGGGGAGGATTCGTTCTTCTGTTGTGATGGGTAGGCTTGGTACTGGCAGAACAGAAATGTGATCGAAGCCACCATCCTGTGGAAGAAGACAGTGGTGGGTGGAGACCATGAGCAGAACAAAGTTCGGTGGTCCTTGTTCACCAGTCCTTCTGCTTAGGAGGAAATTCAGATTTTTTTATTGACAGGCATGATACACTATGGGAAAACTCTGAAATCACTACCAAAACATTTTGACTTCCAGTGCACCCTTGATAGGAACTCAGTTCATTCTCGAGGCCTGGTTGTAACTCAGGTTGGTCAATTGAAGGCTCAGACTCCTCTACACAGCTTTCAAATTCTCTCTCCTATATGCAGGCAGATCTCAGTGTCCTGAAAGAGGCACTGGCCCGGGATTTCTCGATTAACCCTACACAGGAAGGGATGTTGTCATGTTCCTTCCAGAACTCTTTAAGAGTTAAATCTGTATCTGACACCATCTGGAAGCACAAGTGACCGGCATAGGGGCTGTAACTCAAGACTTTGATCTTAAGTTAAAACTAAAATTCCAATTATAACCCAAGTTGTTCCTACATCAAGCTAGTTGTACTCCAGCAGTGCACAGGTCCAGGGTGTCTGCCTGACCTGTCTCGTGCTGCAGCTTCCTCAGGGACTGTGCTACAGGCCTGGGAGCTCACAGTATTAGTTTGCTGCTCTTCTCACTCTGGAGTGGGTGGCTGTGTGGGCCCTGGTTCCTTGTGCACACTTGCTCCTAGCAGACAGAAAGCCTTCTGCACTCATTTGAAAACTTGCCGCTCTGTGACTCACGGCCTCCTTGGTTTCCATGGCGATATTCCATTACAGGAGCTGATAGATTCCAGAGAGCTGGGAGCGGGCCGCCTGAGCCGAGTGGAGTCGCTGGCCCCCGGGGTGAAGCAGCACACAGCTGCCAGCGGGTGTGAGCGCCTGCACACGGAGATGCAGGCCCTGCGCGCCGACTGGACACAGTGGGAAGACAGCGTGTTCCGCACACACAGCAACCTGGAGGACCTGGTCAGTCAGATGGCGCTTTCGGAGCAGGAGTTCTCAGGCCAGGTGGCCAAGCTCGAGCAGGGCCTGGGACAGTTCGGTGCCCTTCTGAAGACCTGGGCTCAGCAGCTGGCCCTCCTGGAAGGCAAGAACACGGACACTGAAGTAGTGGAATCCTGGCACGCGGGACATGTAAGTTGGCTTCCCCTTTTCTATTGGTGGCTATGCTAGAAAAAAAAAATTGTTTTCCTTTCGTGACGGTTAAAAAAAGTCTTTGCTAACTAAAATCATACAAAATCCAAACCTGGAAGAAGTGTGTATCTGATGAAACTTGCAAATGCTGATCTTTTTCCTTTTCTTATAAATCAAACTTTGGTAGAAGTTAAACTATGGGAGAAAAGGAATATTTATTTCTTGAAGGAAACGTTATTGTTAGAGACATTTTCCTTTCCTCTCTATGGTGCAATAGTTTGTAATACTGTATTGAGCCATTCAGTCTGAAAAACATGGCCCGTGGGCAGAGGAATAAATAGACAGAGAGTCATAGCTGATTTCTTGCCAGTTAACTATTTCAAAGAAATAAAAAATTGGGTTTATAGTTTTGAAACACATTTGGTGACCTCCTAAAGCACAATTAAGAGTTTTCACCCTGATTGGCTGTCCCGTGTGTGCTTTTGACAGATGTACTTGAATTAGCCAGTTAACTCACATTAACACAGTCGCCTCGTCATGCTTGCTGGACACCTTCATGATCCTTTTTTTTTTCTTTTCTCTTTTTTTAACTAATGGCAGTTCTTGCAGATTATGCAAAATGAAAGAAGAAAAGGAATAATGAAGAATGGGAAGAAACTTAAAATCTGTTTCCGTTCTTTCATTGTTCACTAATATCTTTCAAAACCTCTGCAGTGCAGTTTTACTCCGCTCTGAGTCATGGCTGTCCTTATAAAGAAGTTTAGCAAAGTAAACTCTGCTTCTATTTATGTTACAGTCAATTCAAAATAGCTCCAGCCAGTAAGAAAGTTAGGCAGTATTTCTAGCTTTGTTGTGTTCTGAGTGAAATAGTTGAAACAGATACTGCACACAATAAAATAGAACTTCATAATCATCTCTTCAGGTTATTTTCTGTGTAATGTTTCTAGAGTTTTTGTTTGGATGCTTAGCTGATATTTTTGTTTGCTTATTTTTTGATGTACTGACTCTTAGCTTTATGCACCAGAATAAAGCATAGGCAATTAGTTCTATGGAATAGAGACACAGGCATTGGAAATTCTTTCATGTGATCTGATTATGAAATAAAATCAGTTATGCTGGTTTGGTTCTTCTCTGTCTCTCTTTCTTTCCATTCCATTAACAAGAGTGCATTTTTTAAAAAACAAAGATTTGACTACACTTAGATTACACTACTGTTCGTAGCTATTGTTATTGTTTACTTTGGTGCTACTGACAGCATCTAATAGATGAGGGATACAAAAGCACACACCAGTGCCAGCATAAATTCAAGACTTCAGTGGACCTCACAACTCACCAAAGACAGCCCTTGCTTAGGGCCTCACCCACACTCAGCCCTAGGGCAGATGTTTTTGAGAAGAATAAAACATTGCCTCTCAGTATTCATATTTCATTTGTAATAATGGCATTTTATTTATAAAGGAGATAGTAGTTCAAATACAATGAATGTTTAGGGAAATGTTTATAGAGTAGTAGATTTGCTAAGGCTCCTATGGCATCATTTTGCTATTGGGGAGGCCTTGTCATTGAAGATACTGATCTCCAACCTTCATAACTATTTGCCTTAAACAGTGAAATGCTGGTACCCAAGGAATCTTTCAAAACATAAAGACCAGTGATCTAAAAACTAGACAATAGAATAATACAAAACACCTTGTTCAATGCATTTGCAAAACTTATTTATTTTAACATCTATTAAATTACTACTCTTTGAATACAGCAGTTCTCTTTTAGGTATATAAATAAATATGCATTCCAGTACTTAACTGAATCACAAATACATGACTCAGTACAATATTTTATATAATGCAAAGCTCTACTGAGATACTTTCATTTAGGACAAAGTCACAGGCATTTTTAATATAAAGTTTTGGCCCCCAATTTTTTCACTTTTAATGTTACCCAGTTTATAAATGACCAACTTGAATCTTAGTGTTTTTACTCCTTGGTTGGTAATAAGTTTCTTTAATTCTTATAATGTTTACCCTTAAATAATACATTCAATGTGGTAAAACAGTCATTCCTGGTTTAACATTTGGAGCTTCAAGGAGACACAGTCTAGCTACTTTCCATGATTGTAAACAAAAATCTTTCATGCCTTTCGATTCAGAGACTTAGCTACATAAAGAGGACAAAGCAAGACAGCCTGAGCTCTGCTCTCATAATCATGGCTCCAGTGGGAAGACAAATAGGTAGGAAACCAGTGGGCCCCCTGAGGGTAGCAAAGGCCTGCGGCACTGGGTCCTCTGATGAGGAGCTCTGCAGCCAGAAGGAGGGCAGAGGATCCTTCCAGGAACCAGTGATTGAGCTGAATTCTGAGGTATGAGAACTTAGGGGACAGGTGAAGGGGGGTAGGGGCACAAAAGGCCAATTTAAGGGAAAAGAAAAAGAGAAATGTAAGAGAGAAAACTAGAGAACAGGAGTCAAATTAGGAAGATATTGTGCAGCCTTAGAAAGAAAAGATGAAGATGTAAATGGGAGCAGAGGCAAAGAGGAGAGTGGGTCACAGGGCCAAGACATAAACCAGACCAGACCTGGATATCTCCAGCATGGAACCGGAAGGGGAAGCAGGGGCAGAGGCCAGCATGGTGCTTAGTCTGATTGATATCAACAGGAGGACAACAGTGCCACTTACTAGGTGGATGCAGTAGAGACCTGAGTGATTGAGAAGAGATGCAGTTGCTCTATAAGTTTGGGCCATCTCTTGGTAAATACCTCTAAAAGTAGTTTTAGAAATAGCAAGTTATTTGCATAATCATTTAGCTGTTCCTTGTCCTCATTTATTTGCTTGCTCTATTTGCTTATTTATTTTGAGTTAGTGATACCACTGTCCACACAGCCTCAATTATCTGGGGATCATTTTCTGGTTGATTTTATTAATTCATCAGTGGGCCAGAAATGCTGCTGAGTATTTGACATGCATGATCTCATTTGTTCCATGTGACAGCCCTGTAAGGAATGGTATAGCACAGTTGACCGTGGCTTTGATTTTGGAGGTGTCTTTGTCAAGCCTTAAGACTTTATTCTGGATTAAGTGTGTACAATACTGTGATTATTTGTGTGTGTGTGTGTGTGTGTGTGTGTGTGTGTGATTAATCAAACTATAAGCTTGAAAAGAACAAGAATCATACCTTTCTTCACTGGGGGAGGAGGATGTTCCCAAAATCTAGCAAAATGCTTAACACATAACAGACTGGTGTTTGGCAAATATTTGATGACTGTATGAATGAAATTATGAAGTGAATGAACTTCTAGTTAAATCAGATTTGTGGGTTATGAGAAATTCTGTCGAAGATTGCTGTATGCACAGTGCTATATAAAATCAATTGCTACATGTGTTGTTAATCCAATATAAGTGTGACTTTTATGGAGATGATCCTTCTTCACCTTTAAACAATGCATGTATCTCGTCATGGCCCAATCAGACTGCTTTTAAACAACATAGGATATTTTCTCTTCTTTTTGTTATCTCACTTCAATTCATTTGTCCACTAATCACTGGACTACATTTAATATTAGAGTGTCTATTCATGGATAGAAAGGGATATAAATTTACAAAAAACTAATTATGTATCATAGGGAATCCTGAAAATAGACTCCTTTTCTTTACTGTATTAGCTGTGTCAGTTCACCCTTCAGTAATAATTTGTAATATGGTTTATGCCTATATAGTTGGAGAATATTGAAATGCCTAATCCTCTATCGTGTTGTATTAGGAGATCCTGGATGCTCTACAGAAAGCAGAGCCTACAACAGAGGATCTCAAGTCTCAGCTGAATGAACTTTGTCGATTTTCTAAAGACTTGAGCACATATAGTGGAAAGGTTTCTGGCTTGATTAAAGAATACAATTGGTAAGCATAAGCTTTTCTGATGTTACAATTTTTTTTTTTTTTAAGAGACTGGGTCTTGCTGTGTTGTTCAGGCTGCCCTTGAACTTCTGCGCTTGAGCAGTCCCCCAGTCTCAAAAGTAGCTGGAACTTCAGGAACCACTACACCCAGCTTCAGAATATTTTCATATGAAGAGGAAGCTAAACTTGGCCTAGCACAGCTTGCCTGTAGTTCCGCTACTTGGGAAGCTGAGGTAGAGGATGATTGATGGAGATAGTGAGTTTGAGACCAGCCTGGCTATGTACAGAAGACCCGTTTGCAAAGAAAAGGAAGGAAAAGAAAAGCAAGGGAAAGAAAGGAAGAAAAAAAGAAAAGGAAAGAGGGAGGAAGGGTCAAATCAAGTAGAAGCTAGAGGCTTTTTAAAAATTTTTCAGATGTTATTTCAATAATAATATTAATTCATTAAATATTAAATGCATTACTAAATGTGGCAAATGTGATTCTGTCAAATATTATTTTAGTAAAACTGTATCATTTTCTCCTTTCACTGAATGTTCAAATCACTTTTTCAGTCTCTGTTTGCAAGCATCCAAGAGCTGCCAGAATAAAGAACAGATTTTACAACAAAGATTTCGAAAAGCCTTCCGGGATTTTCAGCAGTGGTTGGTGAATGCAAAAATCACTACTGCCAAATGTTTCGATATACCTCAAAATATTAGTGAAGTTTCCACAAGTCTTCAGAAAATACAGGTAAGAGTTTTATCGTAAAAGTGCTAACGTAGGTTAAAAGGTTCCCTTGGATCAGTGGTGGTGAACCTAGGACATGCATGCTATTGTTTTGTCTTTGAAAACAAAAAACGTTAATGTATGAGTTTTTTTTTCTAAAATAAAACTTCGGCATTCAGGTTTAATGACAATGTTGGCACTTTGCAATAAATAAGTGGGTATTGGGTTGCGGTTTAGGCATTCATCTCTAAAAGGTTCTGCAAGACAGCTCTAGATCTTTTTAGAAGTGCGCTACATATGAGTGTTCTAAAATGAAGTTTCAAAGAAATCCCCTGTTGAAACAATTGGAGAGAAACTCATCTATTCATATGTATAAATATGTGCTATTTTAGGTATTAACCGAGGTTTGGGAAATAATGAAAGCTATTCAATGTAATAAGCACTGTGCCTGAGCATTCTAAAGTGGATGCTCTCATTAATTTCCACTTTAACCATATTAAGTATTTGAGATTATTATTCCCAGATATACATAGGTAGAAGAATCATATCGAGTTCACAGCTGACGTGTAAAATAGCTAGAGTTTCAGCCAGATTTTATATTTATGTATTTGTTTTGGTTTCTTTTTTCCTAGTCTTTCCTTCATAAAATACAAGTTTATGGTATTGTTTCACACACCATCTGCAAACCCAACATTTTTAGACCTGGTAGCATTGTCGTTTTCTTATGCATGACTATTATTTCATTTCATAGGCTAGCACTATTGAGTGTGTGCTTACGAAATTTGAATTTTCCTCTAAAAGCATCAGCTTTAAATTATGTAGAAGGGTTGCTGCATGGATCAGCCCCCAAATAGTACTGACTGTATCCATTTCTTTTTTTTTTTTTTAATTCTTGGTTCATAGTGTAATGGAGTAACTTTTGCTTTGAAAAACTTGTTCCACTTAAGATTCTTCTTCCAGTTTTGCTCCAGGCTAAGGAGTAGAACTTCGGAATTTCAATTACCAATCAATTTGTGTTGCAGAAACTCAGTATTGTTTTCAAGGACAGCCATACACAAGACAGTCGTCTATTAAAACATGTCTTGGAGAGGTTCTTTGTTAGAGCATTTTGTTGACTATAACAAAATACTCAACCTAGGCTACTTTATAAAGAAAAGCAGTGCATTTAGCTCAGAAGTTTCAAGAGCATGGCACTGGCCTGAGCTCAGCTATCATAAAGACCTTCTGGTGAATGGCACCACAGCAGCAGGAGCACTTGGGAGAAGAACCAGACACACCATAAGACAGGAAGCCAAACAGGCTAAGTGACCGATTCCTCTAAAAGAATCCTCTTGTGGAAAAAAACAGCTCCTCAAGGTCCAGGCCCCAGTGACTTCGGAATATCCCGTTAATCCCCACCTCTTAACATTGCCAAGCTGAGGACTGAGTTCTAACACATGATTCCTTGAGGGACAAACTCATCAAACCCAAATCAAGTTTCTTTAAGCTAAAGTATCTACATTTCTATTTCTTGCTGAATAAATAACCTTTAGCACCTGGGCTTGGTGACACACAGTCCCAACATTCTGGGAGTCTGAAATAGGAGGTTGAAAGTGCCTAGGCAATTAAAGGGCTCAGCAAGACTTTGTCTCTCAAAAATAAATTTAAAAAAAAAAAAGGCTGGGTTGTATGTCAGCGTGAAAGCCCTAGTTCATAAGATACCCTTTCTGTACTACAAGCCAGAATTTAAATTCTCAAATAAAATACAACTTGAAGATTGAAAGAAAGACCTAGGTCATTTCAAACATGCAATAAAAATAGCTTACTTCTTCTCTTTGATTTCATTGAGAAATACATAGGAAAATCAAAAAATGTTATAGTACAGAGCATTTTATTGTGCTAATATTACATTTTTCTGTGTAGGAGTTTTTGTCAGAAAGTGAAAATGGGCAATTTAAGCTCAACATGATGCTATCGAAAGGAGAACTTCTGACTTCTCTGTTGACCAAAGAGAAAGCAAGAAGTATCCAGGCCAAAGCGGAAGCTGCAAAAGAAGACTGGAAAAACTTTCATTCAAACCTCCACCAGAAGGAATCTGCCCTAGAGGTAAGATGTAGCCATTTGCAGGGACATGTTGTGTGTTCACTGTTGCCCTTAGCTAATCCAGAGTTTCAGGCATTCAAGACCCTGAGGGTGACTTTGGCTGTGGCTCTGTCATCAGACATCTTACTTACAGATAACTGTAACATTCAGGGGAGAGGAAAGAGGGGAGGAGAAGGGCTGGAAAAAGAATTAAGATGTGTTACGTATATGTACCAACTTCCCATGATGAATGTGATCATTATGTACTTCCAATGTATATTAATATAAATTTAGAAATTTTTAAATGCCAGAAGTGTAAGCCGCCCTGAGAAATTGGATCACATCTTGCGTGGCCTGGCTGCGATTGTGGACCTCCCTTCTGCACTCCCCCAGCAGGAACAGGCGGCTTCGTATTCAAACATAGCACTTAATCTTTCGGTTGAAGTGTCCCCAATTTTGGAAATCATTTTAAGGTAGTAAACTAACTTACCTCCAAAAGGCTACACAATGCTACTGATGACAGGATACATTATCACTTATGCAAATATCAGGGAATAGGCTTCTAGGAGTTAAATGCACAGAGAAACAATGGTCATGCAATCTCACTTTCTCCCAAGGTGATTTATTATGGCCATAACATAATTATTGACACAACACAAATTTTTCTTCTAAGACCCTCTATCTTTTTTGTACCAACTCTTTTCCTTTTCAAGCAACACTTCCTAGAAGAATACATCCTTAATTTGATTGTGACTGTAATTAATATAGACTAGAAAAGATAATAATGGAGAACTATTGCTCAAAAAGAGAAAATGTGTATATTTTCTCAATTCTCTCCTAACCCAGGAACTTAGTGGTAATAGCTGGTTTACATGGCAGGTGTCCTCCAGTGGACAGAGTGATAACCATCGTGTAGTGTCTGAGAATTTAGGAATTATTCAGAGCCTGAACTCTGGAGCATTTGCTGCATAGTATATCTGGCACTGATTTCAACATTACCTTGTTCCAGAGATACCCAAGAGTAGGAGAATAGATCAAGAATTGCCTGCTTTCCCAATCTGCATTCTCCTCACAACAGATGCACCTCTTTTATTCAGTCCAGACCTTCTTTCCTCCATCCTCTAGTCCTTGCTATTAGGAACAGATATATCATAATGCGTATAATATACCCCAAACTATGATAGGAATACGAAAGAGCTAGTTTATTGTCTTTCCTCAGGGAGTTCTCTTTCTAGAGGAGAAACAGCCTCTAAAAGTATTTGTAACATAAAATAGAGAGGTTCATAGGCAATAGTTTCTTTTGCCAGGATGCCACTGACTCTATTTGGGGACATCAAGGAAGGTGTACAAAAGGTGACATTTAAACTGAATCTCTAAGGCCACATGTACTCTGAATTTGCCAAGACTGATATGGCCTTCATATCGATGGAACTGAATGCACAGGGCCAAGGAGTCATTAGTGTCACCTGTGAATGGGGGACGGTGAGGTTTTTGATGCTGAAATTTTGCAAGAGTGACAGAGATAAAGCTGGAGATGCAGGTTGGGGTAAGATAGTGAAAAATGTACTAAGAAATGTGATCTCTATTCTTGGTCCTAGTGCCTTGTCTGAACTCCAGACAAACTTATGGAACTTAACATGTGCCACTCTGAGTATGTAAGAGAGACCTTAATTCATTACCTATGTTGGGACACTAGAACTTAATTAGCTTCTGGGCACTAGGACTTAATTCTTTCATCGAACTTGGTTGAGAAAGACTGAGTGAAGAGTCTGTAGGACTTTAAGCTAAATGTGTGAGCTCTCTGACTGAAGTATGATCCAGAATAGGCTGTAGGGAGTAGCTGAAGACCAGAAAAAGCTTTACTCAATGGTCCACATAACAGGGAGGTGAGCTTGAATTAGGGAAGTGATCACAGGATGGAAAACACAACTTTAAGGTAAAACACAACAGGATTTGGTTACTAATTAGAGGGGGAACATGGAGAAACAGCAGAAGTTAAGCTTAGTCCTTAGTTCAAGTTTGGAAGATGACACAAGTGATACCATTAACTGACACACAAGAACAGTAGGAAAAGTGCTTTCAAGGAGGTAATAATCTATTCAACTGAATACATATTAAACTTGGTGTTCCTACAGGACATCCAGTGGCTAATGACCATAAAAGTAGCAGTTAATGGATAAAGAAGATGTGGTGTTTCTATAAAATGGAATATTACTCAGCCATAAAGAGTGAGAAATTAGATTCATTCATAGGAAAATGGACACATATTGAAGATATACTCCTGAGTGAAATAAATAAGTCACATATGTGTAAATACCAAATAGTTTCTCTGGTGTGAATAAACTATAATAGTACATAAGATCCTAATGACATAATGGATAATGTGAAATAGGAAGAAAGGGGCTAAAGGTGTAAGGAAAGTGGGAAGGGTAGGGGAAGGTAATAAGGGAAAAGAAAAAAATATGAGAAAATGAAAAAATTGAAATGAAAAGTTTGTAAAGGGAGAGGGGAGGAGGGATGAAGGGAGGGCAGGGACAAGGGGAAAAAATGAGAACCAAGACCTGTCATGTAAAGGTACAAGATCCCAATGATGAGTGTAATTGTACTGTATACCTAAAATGTACCAATAATCTCAATGAGGCAAAAAATGTAGCAGTTAACATGAATGCACAACTCAAGATAGAGGCTTCAAGTACTTCTCAGTGTTGGGTACAAGTTTTGCCTGCCTCCGATAGAAATGCACAATCCAGCCTTGTCTATGATAAAATGTGCAGCCACAGATATAAATAGCAAAAGCTCAGAAGCAGAAAAGGGTTGCCATCTCTTGATTGGCTGGAGAATGAGGGATAAAATTATATTTTTAAAAGTAAAGCCATAACAAGTTCTTAAAGGATGTTCAAAATTTTTACAAGTGCCTAAGTGAAAGATGTGATCCCCCAGACTTTGGGGACAAGGGAGATATGGTGAGGGAGGCAGACTGAAGTAAGCTCTGAATGCTAAATAAAAGACTTTGGACTTGTGTTTTGTTGTTTTGTCCTTGATGTTATCTAAAATCTCACAGAACCTAAAGATCCAGATGAAAGATTTTGAAGTAAGTGCTGAGCCTGTGGAGAACTGGCTGAGCAAAACTGAGAAGCTGGTCCATGAAAGCAGCAACCGCCTCTATGACCTGCCAGCGAAGAGGAGAGAGCAGCAGAAGCTCCAGGTGACAAAACACAGCCATCTGACCACCATCTTTCCCCTCCGTTGTCCACCTGACCTGCGTTCAGATGCATGCTGGGCACCCTGGAGTCAGATTACACCGCCTTGAGATGGAGTGTTTCCCATTCCTGCTCTGACAGATGTTTTGTTTTCTGACTTCCCTTGAGTGTAGCTTGTTTCCTTACTGTGTGCCACCGTGTGTAGCTTGGAAGTAATGACACCATCACGGGACACGGATTGCTTGCCAGTGTTTATTTCCATGTTCTTTGGGCCAGAGCCCCGTCTGCCGTGTGCTTGCCCCTGTCTCTGAATGGTAACTTGCTTGTGCTTTTCAGTCTGTCCTTGAGGAAATTCACTGCTACGAGCATCAGCTCAACAGGCTGAAAGAGAAAGCTCAGCAGCTGTGGGAAGGACAAGCTGCCAGCAAGAGCTTTATGCACAGAGTGTCCCAGCTGTCTGCTCAGTATCTAGCGCTAAGCAATTTAACCAAGGTAACATGTGGCGTGTGCTGTGTGTGAGTGTGATAACGACGTCACAAACCTGCGGTGGCGGTAGGTTGTACAGAGTATCTGTCCCGACACACCCACAAAGCAATGAAATCCACAAGATCAACTCCCCTGCCTTGAAATTCAAGGGCATCTTTATGTTGTAGCTCATAGTGTGTTTCTCCAGAACCAGCGGGGGAGGTTCCGGAGACTGAAGAAACTTCTGATCTCTACCCTTGCTCCCAATACTCCTTTGAACACTGAAATGATATGCTCCCTGGGCTCTGATGCTGACGACTCAAAGCATAAACACAAGCAAAATTCAGATTTTCTTTTCTAAAAATCTTGGATTAAATGTCAAAGTAGTTTAAATTTTATTGAATGCAATATAAATTTGGAATAATTTTTTAAAACTTCTTCTGTATTTTTATTATATGGTAGTGAGGAAGTAGTGACTGAAATTCTTAGTTCACATTTAGCAGAACTCCAGAATCGGCCAAGATTCATATAGGTGATTAAATCTCTTCAGACATCTTAGAAACAAGTAACGGGACCCATGATGACCTTGTTGAAAGCCCTCAACTGTGTGGTGCAGACCCATTTCAATGTATGGTGCAGGCCTATTTTGAGCTTTTAAGGCTTATAACATTATGTTTTAAAATTTCAGATGTTAGCATGTAGGAAATGTACCATAATTTAATCTTTTCTTTAATTTAGCCTCATGTATTCTCCTGTGAACTTATTTCTTCCCCGCTAATTTGGGTCTTCAATGCAATGTCATGGAGATAGTCGTACTAGTACAGCTCTTTGAGTAATCAGCCCATGTTTGAACCATGCTTATTTGATGAATAAGTTACTTAGCAGATTCTGGCTTTGGCTGGGCATAACAGCACATGCCTATACTCCCAGAACTGGGGAGGCTAAGGCAGAAAGATTAAGTTTGAGGTCATATAGAAGTTGCCCAGATTCTCTCTCAAAAAAATAAAGAAGGAACGAATTAAGAACAATTTTCTGTTCATTTGTTTGTGTATACTTAGATATCAAAAGTTGGGCTGGGATTTAGGTCAGTGATTCTGCTGCCTGCCTTGCAAGTTCAAGGACCCAAGTTTGATCCGATCCCCAGTACCAAAAAAATAAATAAATGAATAAAAAATAACACATATTTGAATGCTTTACAAGCTATGAACTACTCTTATAAAATCTTCGCCATGTTGGATACTAATAATTAATCAGTAAAAAACACATTCCTCGGCTCAACATTTAAAATTTAGACATATTCTTTATACCTTATATACATGTACTGAAATATCATATTTTACATATGTACATATGTACAATTATTATGTCAGTGAAATACATAAATCCATTGTATGTATAATTCAGGAAAAGTATGAATTGTCAGGTTATTATTTTTTTAAGTGATTCTTTGTAGATGAATCCACTTGCATCTTATCTGTGCAGCATATGCAACTATGACTGACTGGCGTAACGTGAAACAAATTGTGAATTTTCCCTCTTGGGCTGCTTGGGGCTGGGGCATCTCTGGAGTGGACAGCTAGAAACCTGTTTCTGTCATTTCCAGGAGAAAGTGTCCAGACTGGATAGAACTGTTGCAGAGCATAATCAGTTCTCCCTCGGGATTAAAGAATTACAAGACTGGATGACAGATGCAGTTCACACATTGGATTCTTACTGCCACCCGACATCTGACAAAAGCGTGCTAGACAGCAGGGTGCTCAAGCTGGAGGTGGGCACTTTCAGAGATCTTTCATTTACAGAATTTGTTTCCCTCAAGTTCTGTCCACCTGGAGTGAATGCATCACACTTTATCTATGAGAAATCTCATGATGTTCTGGGAGTGGGATACTGGTTACAAAGCGTGGGCACACCTGTGCATTCCTGCATTAATTGACCCTGGACATAATCCCCCACAAATGCTCTATAAAAATTAAAGTAAAACCCAGACGTGGTTACTTTCTTACAAGCTGTTTAAGAGATTCGTGTACTCCATTCTTTTCTCACCCTAATGTGTCAGTTCTGTTTTGCATTTGCAATGAGAGTAACTGATCTGCATTCATTTCTTTTCCCTTGTACCCTGGGTACCTTCCAGGAGACTTTCATTTTGTCTCAACACCAAGGAATCAAAGGTAAATAAGAGGTGACATGCTGGGGATTTAGCTCAGTGGTTCCGCTGTCTGCCTTGGAAGCACAGGGACCTGAGTTTGATCCCCAGTACCAAAAAAATAAATAAAATAAAATAAAAAAGAAAATTTCACATTTGGGCTGGGGGTTTAGCTCAGCAGTTCCGTGGCCTGCCCTGCAAGTGCAAGGACCCGAGTTCAATCCCTGGTACAGAAAAAAAGAGGTGACTTTTGTCCTCAAGAATTTCATTTTCAGGAGACAATGGTAACAGATGGGGGCATGCAAACAAGTGGTATAGAAACACACAGGAGGGGACCTGCGAGCATGGATGTGGTTTCTTAAGAAGTCTGACCTCAAAACGATAGCAGGAGCTATTCTGGTGAAGATGACTGGGTGGAGATTTACTACAATGGTACCAGGGAAGGGGAAAGTGTAAGAAAATCTAGAGAAAAGAAATAGCATCGTATGTGAGAAATTTCTCTCTGTTCTTCCTTATAGACGTGAGGATACAAAAGGTGGAACTGAGGTTGGAGACCATGCCAATGTCCAAGATCCAGATTAGGAAGAGAAATAACACTTTATCTTTTAGGGGATACTATTAGTTTATGACTTTGAATTTAAACTTCCTTCTCATGTACAAAGGAATAGTGTTTATGGAGAATTTGAAATATATACTAGATAAGATGTGTTCACAATATACCAAGGTTGTTTCAATTTTTTTATTTATTAGGTAACGATCACTCCCCCCTGACTTTTGACATACTTATCAAATCATTCTTGCCACTTTCTGGAAGTTCTCTTTCCTGCGTGTCTTTATGGACTGGGATAAAAAGCACAGAGAACGCTGCTTCCAAGTGCCATCTAATGGAACTCATAAAAACTTTACAGTGTAGCCTCACTCGCCTTGTTCACCAGATCTAGCACCATGTGACTTCTGGCTCTCCCCCAAAGTTAAAATGACCGTGAAAGGAATTGATTAATTAAAACTGATTTCAGACATCGAGGTACCTGGACAGTGCAACTAAAGACACCCATGAAAGAGTATTTCCAGAACGGCTTCAGAAAGTAGCAAGAATAATGGGACAAGTGTGTTCAAAGCAACAGGGAATATTTAGAGGGTTATTAATGGCAATGTATCCTGTACTGTAATAAATTTTAAAATTTAAACCTTCACTGTATTTTTTATCATACCTCATATAATATATTTCCATAGATTTGTTTTGCTAGATACTTTAACATTTAGAAGCTCTTCATCCTGTGACCTTTGAAAATTAATGAATTCCGTACTATACTTTCTCTTTGTTGAAACCAGTAAAATGAAACAGCAGTGGAAGAAAAGGATTATTCAGAGAAGACTTGAGCTCTGCGATATGAAATCCACACATAGACCAGCAGGTGTCCGATGACTGGTGCACATCAGCAAGACCTCCTGGGAAAGCTCCGTGGCACGGAGGCATATCCTTCTCTAACAAGAGCCTCTACGTTTGTTTTTTCAGGTTTTGTTATCAGTGAAACAGGAAAAAGAGATTCACATGAAAATGATAGCGACCAGGGGGGAGTATGTCCTGCAAAACACCTCCCCAGAAGGCCTTCCTGTCATTCAGCAGCAGCTGCAGGGTGTCAAGGACATGTGGGCTTCCCTCCTGTCTGCAGCAATTCGTTGTAAAAGGCAAGTGAAGCCCCACCCAAGGGCCACCAGGCCATCACTAGATAATTATGATATTTCAGTCACAGACAATTCTTGTCATTATCTGTTATCATTTCCCCCTCTTCTTTCTTTTCTTTTCCTTTCTCTTCTCTCCTCCCTCTTTTTTTTTTTCTTCAAAGAGCAAATGAAACAGGCAGGTATAACCTTGCATCGAGGCTGACCTGCAATACTGTGCCTATGCTTTAATATACCTAGCTAACAATGAACATCTCTGTTATTTCTGTTCACTGCTTAAAAATCAAACGATATATAAATGCTTTATAATATAAAGATATTTTTATTAAAACCAAGTAGTTTATTGGAGAGGTTACCAGGAGATACAAGAGAGACAGAGTAGGACAGAGAGATGAAGAAGCAAGGCAGCCAGAAAGGCTCGCATATCATCAAACAGATCCCCACGGGGCAGCTGGGACTGACCTGGCTGGGGGTGACCCTGGAAGCTGCTGCACACCGTGAGCTTGGGAGCACACTCGGGGTTATCATAAACAAACTCCCAGAAGTCAGGGGGGCAGTTGACACCTTCCCCGAGGAGAGTGACAGTCCCTGGCCCTCCTTGTCAAGCTGAGGTGCCTCCAAGACCAGAGTGTCCTCTGTCTGAGAGACCTAGGGCCCCAGGTGACATTTTACTATGGTACCCTGTGTGAGGGTATGGCACTCACATAGTGTGCTACAGAAGAACCCAGCTCGTGATAGCGAAATCAGAGTCAAATGATGAATGGAATTAAACATATAAGATGGGTGTTGAAACAAGGAAGTGTTTGTCTGTAGGATAGTATTTAGAACAATTTGGGAAATACTACCCTTTTTCCATTGTGATTTTCAGCTTATTAATCTCGTGCAAGATGGTTACTTGTGCTTATTTTTCCTTCTTTCTGTTAGAAACCCTTTCTTTCTCTGTTACTCTGAATATCCTGTTGAACTTGACAAAATATCGATTTACTGTCCAAAGATTTGGCTCTAGAAAAGACCCACTCTCGGTTCACCTTCAGGCCTCTCCCGGCAGCTGGTATCCCCTTGTCACTGCCTCTTGGTTTGTGTTCTGTCCCACCTTTCTGCCTGTCAGCCTGGATTTCACCATCCCTTACTTCCGGAGGCTGTTTTCACCAAAGATCTGGGCTCAGCTTTGATAAGCCCTGGCCTTGTGTCCCTGCCACACCAGCCCCTTTCCTGCAGTCTGGGCCCTCTGCCGGCCAGAGGGGATGGAACAGACACAATGGCAGAAGCCAGGCTTACAAGGATTCTCAGCGGAAATTATTGACCTCTCAAATCCTTTTCAGTCAACTCGAAGGAGCCCTTTCAAAATGGACCAGTTATCAGGATGATGTTCGACAGTTTTCTGGTTGGATGGATAGCATGGAAGCCAACCTAAGTGAATCCGAGAGGAAGTGTGCAGAGCTGCGACAGAAAGTGACGGCTCTCGGGAAAGCCAAGGTTAGAGCTGCTTTCAGACTGGCTTTAATCTCTTAGGGCTTCTTTAGAACCCCACACTCCAATGAAGGTGTACTGATCTATGTGCTCGGGCTGCATGCATAGGTAAATGACCCTCGAGCTTCTGCCTTGTTCTCTAATTTCTAATGGTTCCTTAAACCAGACTTTTGTGGATTTTGTTAGTGAAAATATTCTATACCACGGCAATTGTATACACACATCTTACAATACACACGATTTAAAATTTAGCTATTTGAATATCTTTAATATATTCAGCCTGCTTATTGTGAAGATGTAAAAATGCTTCATTTACAGCACATTCTTCTGAATTAGCACTGTTGCACATGATTATATTTGTGTAGTGATATCAGTCAAGCTTTTTAAAATAAAAGCATTATAAGTATGTTCTTCACATTTTACTGATAATAGTATCAGCAAACTTTTGGAACTTCCATTTTATAGCGTCAGTCTTATTCCATGGTATATCCATCATCAGACTATCATAACGAACACAGAGAAAGTTTTCAAGCCGTGGAATTCTCACTTTGTGTTCATTTGGGTCCTTCCTCCTTGACATAACCACTAATACTTGCTGATCTATTCTCTTCCCTGAATTTGAACAGACTCCTAGTTAATTATGATATTCCCCTACTCAGTTAGTATTTATTGACCAGTTACTATGTGCAGGCGGTATGCTCATTCTAGTAAAGAAAATAGGCAAGAGCTGTATTTCAGTGAGGATACATACACTTGACAATAAGCATGCAAATAAAAAAATTGTGACTAGTAAGTACTATGAAGAAGAAAAGTAGTGCAGTTTGAAAGATTAATTTGGAAAAGCTAATGCTCAATTTTAAGGTAGGGTGAAAGAGCTCTTTGGAACAGGAAACATGTAGACACTCCCTAAAGCAAGTGTGTTCAACCCACGGCCCATGGGCCACATGTGACCCTGGACAGCTGGTAACTCTGTCCCATGGGATTGTAAACTCTTTTTTTTTTTTTTATTGAGTTTATTGGTACATTTAGGGATACAGTACAGTTACATTCATTGTTGGGATCATGTACCTTTACATGGCAAGTCTTGATTCTCATTTTTTCCCCTTACCTCTGCCCTCCCTTCACCCCCTCCTCCCCTCCCCATCTACAAACACTTTATTTTCATCTTTTCATTCTCTCACATTTTTTTCTTTTCCCTTTTTGTTCTTCCCCTACGTATCACACCTTCCCTACACCTTTAGCTCCTTTCCTCCCATTTCTAAATGTCAGTAATCTTATTAGAATCTTATGCATTGTTGCAGAATATTCACACCAGGGAAACTATTTGGTATTTACACATGTGGGACTTATTTATTTCACTTAGGAGTATATCTTCAATATGTATCCATTTTCCTATGAATGAATCTATTCTCTCGCTCTTTATGGCTGAGTAATATTCCATTTTATAGAAAAACCACAACTTCTTTATCCAGTTTCCAACGGATGGGCAAATAGGTTGTTTCCAAGATTTAGCTATTACAAACTGTGCCGCTATAAACATGGGTGCACATACTTCTCTGTGATATGATTCTTTTAGTTCTCTTGGAAAGATACCCAACAGAGGGATGGCTGGGTCAAATGGAACCTCCAGTCCAAGCTCTTTGAGGTATCTCCATATTGATTTCCATAGTGGTTGCACTAGTCTGCACTCCCACCAACAATGGAGGAGGGTTCCTTTCTCCCCACAACCCCGCCAACATTTGTTATTGTGTGATTTCTTGATAGCAGCCATTCTTTGTGGGGTGAGGTGGAATCTCAGTGTTGTTTTCATCTGCATCTCTCGAATGACCAGTGATGTGGAACATTTTTTCATATATTTTCTTGCTGCTTTCACTTCTTTGTATGAGAAATGTCTGTTCATTTCGGATGCCCATTTTTGGATCGGGTCTTTATATTTGGGGGGACTGATTGTTTTGAGTTCTTTATATATCCTTGATAATAGTCCTTTGTCTGAGGTACAGCTGGTAAAAATTTTTTCCCACATTGTAGATTGTCTCTTAGTTCTGCTAATGGTTTCTTTTGAAGTACAGAAGCTTTTTAGTAAGATGAGATCCCAGTTGTTGATTCTTTCTGCTAGTTCCCGTGCTACTGAGGATTTGTTCATAAAGTCTTTTCCTATACCAATGTCTTCCAGAGTTCTGCCTAACTTACTTTCCAGCAAGTTTAATGTTTCTGTTTTAATATTTAGATCTTTAATCCATTTGGATTTTAATTTAGTGCATGGCGAAAGATAAGGGTCTAATTTTAATCTGTGACAGGTTGATATCCAGTTTTTCCAACACCATTTATTAAAGAGGCTATCTTTCCTCCACTGAGGATGGTGAGCTCCTTTGTCGAAGATGAGGTAGCTGAGTACATCTGCATTTGTTTTTGTGTCTTCCAGTCTGTTCCATTGATCCTCAGGCCTATTTCTTTGCCAGTACCATGCTGATTTTATCACAGTGGCTTTGTAGTATAGTTTCAAATTGGGAATTGTTACACCTGGTGCCATGTGACTGTTGCCTATAATGGCTTTTGCTATTCTAGGTCTCTTGTGGTTCCAAATGAATTTTTGGATTCTTTTTTCTAGTTCTGTGAAATATAGTGTTGGAATTTCAATTGGCATTGCATTGAATGTATATAGCAGTTTCGGTAGTATGGCCATTTTCACTATGTTGATTCTTCCTACCCAGGAGCAGGGGATATCTTTCCATTTTTTTATATCCTCTTCGATTTCTTTTTTCAGAGTGCTGTAGTTTTCAGTGTAGAGATCTTTTGTTTCTTTTGTTAGATTGATTCCTAGATACTTCATTTTTTTGGATGCTATTGTAAAAGGAATTTTTTCCCTTATTTCTCTTTCTGTCTGTCTGTTATTTGTGTATAGAAAGGCTATTGATTTTTGGGTATTCACCTTGTATCCAGATACTTTACTGAATCTGTCAATTAAGTCTAGAAGTTTTTTGGTGGAGTTTTTTGGATCTTCAATGTAGAGTATCATATCATCAGCAAATAATGATAGTTTAACTTCTTCCTTTCCTATCTTTATTGCTTTAATTTCTTTCTCTTGTCTAATTGCTGTGGCTAATGTTTCCAGAACTATATTGAAGAGAAGTGGCGATAGTGGGCATCCTTGTCTTGTTCCTGATTTTAACATGAAGGTTTTCAGTTTTTGGCCATTCAATATGATGTTGGCTGATGGTTTTTCATAAATAGCCTTTATTAAATTGAGGTATAGACCATCTATTCCAATTTTTTGCAGGGTTTTTATCATGAATGGGTGTTGAATTTTATCAAATGCTTTTTCTGCATCTATTGAGAGGATCATATGGTTTTTGTCCTTGACTTTGTTAATATAATGTATTACATTCACTGACTTTCGTATGTTGAACCACCCTTGCATCTCTGGAATAAATCCGACTTGGTCATGATGGATGATCTTCTTAATAATCCTCTGTATTCTGTTTGCTAGTATCTTATTAAGGATTTTTGCATCTATATTCATTAAGGAGATTGGTCTGTAGTTCTCCTTTTTGGTTGTATCTTTCTCTGGTTTGGGAATCAGAGTGATACTTGCTTCCAGGAATGAATTTGGAAGTATAGCTTCTCTTTCAATTTCATTGAAAAGTTTGAAGAGTAATGGTAGTAGTTCTTCTCTAAATGTCTTGTAAAATTCAGCAGTGAATCCATCAGGGCCTGGGCTTTTCTTTGTTGGTAAGTTTTTAATTACATTTTCAATTTCACTGATTGTGATTGGGGTGTTTAAAATGTTTTTATCTTCTTCGTTCAACTTTGGTAATTCATAAGTATCTAGAAATCTGTCCATTTCTTCTGTGTTTTCCATTTTATTAGAGTACAGGTTCTCAAAGTAGGTGTTCATGATCCTCTGGATTTCTTTCGGATCTGTTGTGACTTCGCCTTTTTCATTCCTAATTGCATGGATCTGAGCCTTTTCTTTCCTTTTTTTGATAAGATTAGCTAAGGGTTTGTCAATTTTATTTATTCTTTCAAAAAACCAGCTCTTTGTTTCATTTATTTTTTGTATCGTTTTCTTAATTTCAATTGCATTGATTTCTGCTCGGATCTTTATAATTTCCTCTCTTGTTCGAGCTTTGGGTTTTTCTTGCTCTTGTTTTTCTAGGAGTCTAAGTTTCATCGTTAAGTTGTTTATTTGAGCCCGCTCTGTTTTCCTAGTGTGGGCATTCAATGTTATGAATTTTCCACGTAGAACTGCTTTCATTGTGTCCCAAAGATTCCTGTATGTTGTATTGGCATTCTCATTTATTTGTAAAAACTGTCTAATTTCTTCTTTAATTTCCTCTGTAATCCATTGATTGTTTAGGAGAGTGTTGTTCAGTTTCCATGTGCTTGTGAAGTTTCTATAGTTTCTTGTGCTATTGATGTCTAGTTTGATTGCACTATGATCTGATAATAAACAGGGGATGACTTCAATTTTTTTGCATTTATTTAGACCTGTTTTGTGAGCCAGTATGTGGTCTATTTTGGAGAATGATCCATGTGCAGCCGAAAAGAATGTATATTCTGGTTTTTGGGGGTGGAATACTCTATAAACATCTATTAAGTCCATGTGTTCCAAAGCTTGGTTCAGTTCTATTATTTCATTGTTGATTTTCTGCCTAGTAGATCTGTCAATTTGTGATAGTGGGGTATTTAAATCCCCCACTACAATTGTATTAGTGCTTATTTGGTTTTTCATGTTACTTAATATTTGTTTTATATAGTTGGGGGCATTTATATTTGGTGCATATATGTTTATGATTGTCAGCTCTTCCTCTTGAATTGTTCCCTTTACAAGGATGTAGTGTCCTTCTTTGTCTCTCTTAATGAGTTTTGGTTTGAAATTTACTTTATCTGAGAATAAGATTGCTACCCCTGCTTTTTTCTGGACTCCTGACGCATGGAGAATTGTTTTCCATCCTTTCACTTTCAGTCTATGGACTTCCTTTTGCACTAGGTGTGTTTCTTGTATACAACATATTGTTGGATTTTGCTTCTTAATCCATTCTGCCAATCTGTTTCTCTTGATTGGTGAATTGAGGCCATTAACATTGATGGTTACAACTGATATATTTTGACTTATTCTTGTCATGTTTTTGTCCATTTGTTGACTCTTTTTACTTTTTCTCCCATCTCCTTTTAGTTTCTTGCCTTGCCTATTTGATTTGGTCTGTTGGGCCTCATGTTATTGTGAATTTCGTTGTCCTTTTCTAGGATATTGTTTAGAATTCCTTGCAGTGCTGGTTTGGTGTTCATGAAATTTCTCAGGTGCTCTTTGTCGTGGAAGTATTTTATTTCCCCATCTATTTTGAAAGAGAGTTTTGCAGGATACAAAAGTCTAGGTTGGAGATTCTTTTCTTTTAGGACTTGGAATACCTCACTCCAGGCTCTCCTTGACCTAAGGGTTTGTGTTGAAAAGTCTGCTGTGATTCTAATGGGCTTCCCTTTGCATGTGATTTGTTTCTTTTCTCTTACTGCTTGTAGTATTTTGTTTTTCTGTTGGATTTCTGGAATCTTGATTATTATATGTCTAGGTGTAGATTTTTTTTGATCGTGGCTAGTTGGGGTTCTATATGCCTCACTTATCTGTATGTCTAATTCTTCCCTTCTGTTTGGGAAGTTTTCTGTCATTAATTCTGTGAAGAGCTTTTTTATATCATTTGTGTTTTCTCCTGTTTTTTCATGAATTCCTATCAGTCTTATGTTATTTTTCTTTGTATCGTCTAGGAGTTGTTGGATTGATTTCTCATGATCCCTTACTGTTTTTAATAGACCTCTTTTTTCACGGTCACTGACTGCTATCCTATCTTCTATATCTGAAATTCTATCTTCGCAATCTTTTATTCTGTTTCGTACACTTTCAATAGAGTTTTTAATCTCCTGGATATCTGTTTGAATCTGTTTTATGGATTCCATTTCTTTCCTCTGTTGGGCATTCATTGTTTCCATGTCTTTCTTATGCTGAGTCTTCATGGCTTCTATCACAGTCTTGAGCTCATCTATTTTTTTCTCAGTTTCTGCTCTAGAGTCTCGAATCATGACTTCTATTTTGCTCATCATCTCTCTGGCTAGCTGGGAAATTATTTCTGATTTGAATTTTTCTAGAGCCTGATTGATCAATTTTGTTACCTCCTGTGCTATGGGTCCAGGGAGTCCTGTTGGTTCACTATCAGACTTTTCATCCTCATTTGTCCTACTATTTGCTATTGGTGAACTGGATATTTGTTTTTGTGTCTTGCTTAAGTGTTTTCTCATTTTTATTTTTATTGTTGGGTTGTCCTTCTTTAATTTCTGGGTATTACTTAAATCTTCCTAATATAGTTGCGTTTTAGCTTTTGAGTTTCTAATGACTCATAGACATTCTCGTTTTCATAATATCAGAGAAAACAACTCTTTAAATCAATCACCACTCTTTGTCCCAATTGATACATTCAGCAGCCCAATAGGATCAGGCACAGCTTGCCAACTGACCACTTATGGTAGTCATTAATGTATCACCTTTAACTCATGTGAATTAGATTAATTTCAAGAAGCAGCTCATAGTATGTTTGCAGTGAATATTCTTTTCAATATGGCATCTTTACCATTTAGGATGGGGGGTTCGACTTAGAACAAGAGGATTAGATAAGTGAAAGAATTAGAGCAGGTTTGAAGTGAATCCAGAGGTTGTAGAATTACCTTACTATCTTTACAAAGCTATTAAGTTCAGGGGGGATAGAGAGAGTGCAGGAATAAGGACAGGAATATATCCCCTTAACAGTAACAGGCGCTTGCCTTCCCTTGAAGGTACAGAGCCATGAGTGAGGTAAAATGACTGGAGAAAAGAACATAAAGAGAAACCCGTCCTAAAAACAAAAAATAAAAAAAGAAGTCTGAGTTCTTCAGGAACTGGAATAAAAAGGGAGATGAGGGACACTATGGTGGAGCAAGAGACTGAGTTGGAGAGACAGGACAGAAAAAAGAAAGAAATTTTAGGGTGGAAAGAGGAAAAAAGAGACAAGAGAGAGGGAAAGAAAAAGAATTTGAAGGTCCTCTTTCAGGCTATCTCTGATCTCATATTATACCACATGCACAGTCATATGCGGAACCCCATCCCCTGGTCTTAGCTAGCCAATGGCTGTTCCTCCCGACTGAGACTGAACACAATCTATAAGGCCTAACTTTAGTTTCCTTACCCTCAAGGTTGAACTCCACTCCGTTCTATTACAGGTTTCCCCTGCCCTTTCTTTAAAGATGTTCAAAGTTCGGAGCTCAGAAAACTACCCTTCATGGGAACCTATGCCTCTGCAGAGTTGGTCTAAGGACTGGCCCGATCAGGAGTTTTGAGAACGGGGGGGGGGCGTCGTGTGGGTGTTTCAAGGGCGCCTGCGCGGCTACCTTCCTTCCTGGGTCTGTTGTCGCGTAGGCCGGGAGCTCGCGCGCATGCCACCGGGTGATCGCAGGCAGGCAGGCAGGCAGGCAGCTGAAAAAAAACCCCCCTCTTGGATTGTAAACTCTTGACAGTGTTACATGCTTTTCTGTGGTATTTTTCATGACTTGCTTTTCGGGTGCTTGTGTGAGGCGTGTGTGGGGGACAGTGCAGCACTGTATAGGGACGTGCAGGGCAGTACCAACTTCACCTCCTGAGCCCACCACACATGACCAGTCCCGTCACCATCTGCACTGATCAGACATTACATGCACTTCCATGAGTTTGCCGAGCAGAATGCAATCACCACCTGTAATACCACCCTCCTTACACTGTGAAGCCGGATATTTGTTGTTATCAACTAAACATGTAAGTTTTCTTATTTAATTAATAAACTTGAGCTTCTGTTACTTTGTAAAATAATTTAATAAGTCAAACAAAAACCAAGTCAAATATCCCACTAATTTTGTATTTATGTTGATGTATTTTGATGTTATAATAAAAATATAAAAAAGAAAGGAAAGTTTGTTCTTTGTATACATTAACTGTATAATATACTACATGGCCCAAGGCAATTTCTCTTCACTTAATGTGGCACAGGTGAGCCAAAGGGTTGGACAGTTGTACCCTCTAGGGTTTGCTGCCCTGAAATCAGCTTGGGAAGAGCTAGGGAAAGACAGCTCTAGACAGAATAAGCAGCATGCCTGCAGGTCTTGAGAAGTGAAAGGACCCAGTGCAGGAGGGAGGGGGGAGAAAGGCAGCGTGTTACTGGAGCAGAGAATAAGCAGGGGAGGGGGTACCTGGAGGTGCGCATGGAAAGGGGCTGGGATCTGATCACTTATCACCACGTTGGCGTTCCCAAAGATGTTCTGCTTGATCCTGCCACAGCTGAGAAGATAAGTGATGTCTCCAGCTGGGGAGTGACATGATTGCATTTTCAGTCCTAATTCATTTAGGCTGCCATGTGAAGAAAAGAGTAAGGGATAGAGCGACAATGGGCAAAATGGACATGGCGTGGGAATCAGAGTCCCACTTCTGGCTATAAGAAGTTTGATATTCAAGTAGAACTATAAAGTAGCTAATTAGGAGTTAGTACCGTAGAGAAAATTCTGGACCAGAAATTATAAAATCATGTAGACAGGCACACAAAAATACATTTTTGTACACACATCTATATCAGATAGATATGTAAATGTGTATATGGATGGATGGATGGATGGGTAGATGACCTGAGGTCACTTGCCAACTGTACAATTAAAATATTTTAATTTTAGCAGTATCATTGGTAGGATGGTACATGAGTAACTGTTTATTTTTTTAAAAATGTACTCTAGCTATTAAATGAAGAAGTGCTGAGTCACAGTAGCCTGCTGGAGACCATTGAAGTCAAAAGAGCAAGCATGACAGAGCACTATGTCACCCAGTTAGAGCTCCAGGATCTGCAGGAGCGATACCTAGCCATCAAAGAGAGGGCCAAGGTAGGGCTCACGTGCGAGGGTGTGGGGCTGGGCTCATCTGAGACTCACTGATTTCTTTTAAATGTCAGCCTTGCAAAAACAGAACAAATTGAGCTCAATGAACTTTAATGATATAAAGGCATACGTGGCAGAACTCAACAAACTCTTTCAATTATTGCTAGTATATAAAAATTAGTAAATTAAAATAATTTTCAACTAAAAGTTTCTAGAAATGGACCTATATCAGGAAATTTTTGTACAACTTCATCGTGAAAACTAAGTGCTATTATGTCCGATGATAAGAGTTTGCAAAGCAGGACATAGTCACAATAATATTTATCATTCTTCAACTAAGGCTCATAAAGAAAATAAAAATGCTTTTTAAGAGGCCATCCAGGTTAGAAAGTTTAGACAAAGTTCAGAAAACTGTACAGTGAGTCTAATTTCTAATTGGCAAAATTATTATTATGAAAATAGAGCTAATTTGTTTTTAGTGTGTCTATGCTACATTTTATAAATCCAGAGATTGGTAAATTAATTCAACAACAACATGATCTTTAGGAGCCTTTTAATCTTGAAATATCATATTTTATACATAAATCTCAAAGGTTCATTCTTCTAGGAAGTTCTTGATATCCAATTATTTAGTAATTGTGCTTTTCTAAAATTCTAAGAGTAGATTATTAAAGCGCATTGATCCTGCACATAGTAATGTGTTTGTATCACACTCACTTTAAATGTTAATTATAGGAAGCAGTAACCAAGTCTGAAAAACTTGTTCGCCTGCACCAAGAGTACCAGAGAGACCTAAAAGCCTTTGAAGCTTGGCTGGAACAAGAACAAGAAAATCTTGCCCGATATTCAGTTCTTGAAGGAGATGCCCACACTCATGAGACAACATTGCGGGACCTTCAGGTAAAGTCTACTTAACCCCAAAACAAAAGATTCTTCCTTCTGAATATGGATTTATTATTTTAAGCAATGAGAAACTAATATGACCTTGAATGCTACAGAAAGCTCATACTTTTTTTTTTTTGTACTGTGGATTGAGCCCAGGGCCTATGTACCAAGCTACATCCTCAGCCCTGTGTTTACTTTGCAATATCGTCTGGCGAGGTTATTACATTAACCATCTGGGCTTGGATTGCAGTCTTCCTGCCTCATTGCCCCCACCCCCAGTACTGGCATTAGAGGCCAACACCACCACACCCAGCTGGAAAGCTAATGCATATGAAGTGTGACTCCAGTAAGGCTTGATCTGGAACATTCTGAGACCTCAGTAATATGTGCATATTAATATTGTTTATGAGGCAGTTTAGAACACAGGACTGGCTACTGGGGAACTCAGTACTTGGGGAGGCCTTGACAGGATGTTTAATTTATGTATCCACGGATGCTCCTGCCTATCGCCCCCTAAAGGATAGACTTGGAGATGTGTCAAAGCAGAAGTCAATGGAAGGAGACATCACTTTAAGTCAGACTAATGCAAATACTATTGGCCACCACCTGGTGTCAGAAACTCCCACACCACTGAGGGCCCAGCTCCAGGGTCAGAGTGCTAGAAAGAGGCATTAGAGGAGCTAGAGGAAGTGTTGGCACTCAGGCTAGGAGGGTGCAGTTAAGGGTGAACTGCCAGACACGGGAGTACAATCATGACCTGTTTGCTTATTCACTCATTCAGCATTAACTGAATACCGATACAATGCAGTACTTGGTGGTTTCTTCATGTAAAGGTGATTAAGTTACCACTTCTATCTTTGAGGAATTTGCAATCTGATGAGGGACACAAACCCATAGGTGGATCATTATAAGCAATGCAACTGGACCACTAATAGACTAATGTGATGGATCCTATGGTAGCCTCAAAGCAATGGCCTTAATATTGCCTTGACAGGCAGGTAGAGGGCAGTGAAGTTCCCAAAGAAAGATCTGAGATAGATAGATAGATAGACAGACAGACAGATAGTGAAGAATTGGAGAAAGGCCAGGTAAGGCAGTCCATGTCCCACCAGTAGTGTGTAGGAACTTCATTAGGTGCTCCTTACCCTGATCAGAACTGGGATAACAGTGGCATGACATTCCTACAGCTTGGACAAGGTGGAAAAAGCAAAGACTAGCACTAGCATATGTCATTCCTGGCTATTTCTGCTAGGTCTCATAGAGTGTGGTCTAATGGCAAGAGAACAAGTCTAGGTGAGGAAGTTCAGACTCTAATCCTCGTGGGACCTGTCCCTAGAAGGGTGACTTCAGGCAAGAGAGAACTTCTCTGATTCAGCTTCTTCTGAAGAGTTGTTATAAGAATTAAAAGAGGATGGAGAAAATCTTCTCTAAATAAATATCTGGCCTACTCACAAGGAAAATAAATAGTACAAGTTAGAAGCATCACAGTTTCATTAGCTTACTTAAGGATCTCATTCATCCCACCTGCAAAGAATACGATGTCCTCATCTGCCAGGGACATAGCCCATAGGTGATATTGTTAGAAATTGTAATTTAAATACAGTTGTTTTTTTTTCTCTCCAAATAGCACTTCTCAGTACATCATCCAGACAGTCTGGCAGGCCCCTGCAGAGCACTCTGAACTTCTGTGTAGGAACTCAGCCAATAGGTTACTCACCAGATGTTTCTCTTGCTTCTGGTCAGAAGAAAATATTTCCCTTAAGTCAGGTTAATGTGGACCAAACCTAACTCTAATCCCTGGTAGCCCCAGGAATTAGTTCTTAAATTAAATTGTCTGCTTAAAGTTGCCACTTGTTAATACAACAGGAAGACGCCGGTGGCAGGAGCAGCAGTGCAGCTCTGTGATTCCCCAAGTACACCACAGAGGCCCTTCAGCATCCTGATGTCCTCCTTCCCGTTCCCACTGGTGTGGGGACTGGTGTGGTCACCAGCTCCGGGGACCACAGTCACAGATGATTTTTTTATAAACCGATGACCTAATTTGCCTTGCAGAATGTATATCTACATTTAAATATTAAAGCACGTTTTTCCCTTTAGCATAAAGACTTGAAATATGAGGTATATGATAAGTTAGTTAATAAAATGGTGGTATGTGGATATGTATACCAGGTAAAACTGTTTTGTAGAAAAATATGACAAAGGTGATAATTTGGGAAGATTAATAAATTCAGGTAGGGGTCAGTCCATGGCCACAATGTCTGCATTCTAAATAAAGTTTTACTGGCATGTGGCCACCTGCTACTCACTGCTCACTGATGTCCTGTGTGGCTGTGTCAGAGCCGCGCTGACAGAACTAAGCAGTTGTAACAAGACCAAAAGGTCCACCAAATCTAAAATAGTCGCTATCAAGCCCTTCACAAGGAAAAAAAAAAAAAAGAAAAAGCTTGTTGACCTTGAATTAGAGGGAAAGATGCACAAAATTACTCTGGGAAAGAAATCTTAAGAATACTAGAAAAAAGTTTCATGTTTATGGCCATTTTGATGACCACTTTACCACATGTATGGCTCTTCTGTTTCCCTATTCATACCCATGTCATTTCATGGCTATGGAAGTAACATTATACTTGAGGGAAAATGTGCTAACAGTTTGGACAATAAGAGATTTCTATGTTGTTTTTGTTGTTGTTGTTGTTAAAACAATGATAGCTGTCAGCAATGTCAAAAGGTTCTATGTGATAGTAATAACATTTTCCTAATGCTATATTTTAATTGAGCATGTTGGTACCTTTTTAACATTCTTGGTGAGATTTGACTGGGTTCCTTTTATTTAGATGATGGTATCAAGTCAATATGAATTGACTTTTAATGATTAGAAATAACAGTTTTGCCAACATCCTAACGAATATACGTTTTATATTTTCTTTTAAGCTTATGCTACATAAGACTTGGTTCATAACAAATTTTGTAGGGTAAATCTTTGTGGCTCAAGCCTTGGTAGAGGAGATGTGTTTGTGCCTGGAAGCACCTGGTAGGTGGGTGTGATGATCCGTCCTTGCAGGTTTGTGTGTCTTGTGCCAGGGCCAGCTTTCTTGTGGTCACAACATTCCCTAGAGTACAGTCCTGGGAAAGGCTCCCTTCTTAACACAAAGAAGATCTGTCTTTGTGTTCTCAGCCCCAAGTGTAACATTGAGCTATTCAATGTCAAAGCAAGATGCCTTAGCTGCTTCAAGCAGATTACCAGCCATAATACACCTAGACTATTCTTTTAAACAATAGCCCTTTAATCATGAGTAGTTTTGCTTCTTGGCTGAGAATCAAGTTTCAGATGTTGACAAAAATTTGATGGGGCAAGGTGAGCTATGTGTTGATTATGTTAATTGGAATTTTTTCAGAATTCTTTCTCTAAATTTAGGAAATGAAATTCAATGCTAGGTGCCAATTTTTTTTTTCTGGTATTGGACAGGATAAAATCAGTTTTTCCTAATGGCTTACCCCATGGGTTTGTGAGACGCACTGGCCTGGGCCAGTGTGAAATCTGAGGGAAGCATGACAGCCTTACCTTTGTCCCTGCAGGAGCTGCAAGTGCACTGTGCAGAGGGACAGGCACTGCTGAATTCGGTGCTGCACACCAGAGAGGACGTGATCATATCAGGCATCCCCCAGGCAGAGGACCGCGCATTGGAGTCACTGCGGCAGGACTGGCAGGCTTACCAGCACAGACTGTCTGAGACTCGGACACAGTTCAACAGCGTAGTGAGCAAGCTGCGGTTGATGGAGCAGAAGTTCCACAAAGTAGATGGATGGCTTAAAAAGATGGAGGAGAAAGTTAGTCTCAGGTTGGGACGCCAGTCTAACCGGGCAACCAAGGAGATACAGCTACATCAGATGAAGGTACTGCAAACACCTAGAAAAGCCTGATATTTGTCAAAGCAGCAGTTACCTTACATCATTTTTTTAAATTAGTATTTAGTAATTGTTTGTCCAAGACTTGGATTTTGCAAAGTCTCTTTCTACTCATCTAAAAATTTAGGTTAATTAAATGGAGCATTTTTCTTACATTTATTTTGTAGTTCAGTCTTTCACAGAATGTATTTTAATGAAAACATCTTATGTTTTCCTCCCATATTACATCATTGCCTTGTTTTGTAAAGATACATAAATAGTACCATTATACTAATTTAATTTTGTGCTTCTAACATGAAATTGCTGTAATATGCTACATTAAAATCATATTTGATAATTACTTTTAGTCTATTATGTAATTTCCATGTGTATAACCAAACTCATGCATATGCCTTGGGAGATTTTTCATTATCCACCTGTTTTAAAGTCAATCTAAGTGTAAAACAAGATGTAAAATGTGTGCCACATTGCTTCGTAAAACACTTTTGAGGCAAACTGTAATATATATTTAGAAGTATCCAAACTCATAAGCATACAATTTTTATCATGTTGTTGTAAGACCTTTGCTTTGACATATTTTAGAAATCATATCTCAGAATAAATGTATTCGAGCACGTGCTGAGCTACTATTCCACTAAGAAGGAAGTGTAGAGTCTCTGTCTCAGTTAGCAGTGGCTAGGATTGAGTCTCCACATCTGGTTCTTACATTATTTCAGAAGTGGCACGAAGAAGTGACTGCGCATAAAGATGAAGTTGAGGAAGTGGGAGCCAAAGCGCAGGAGATACTGGACGAGAGCCACATAAACAGCAGGATGGGCTGCCAGGCCACCCAGCTGACCTCCAGATACCAGGCCCTGCTCCTCCATGTGCTGGTGAGCGCCCCCTGCCTGTCGAGAGCGGGCCAGCCGATGTTATACGCCCAAACGGTCTTCTTTCCATTAGCCTCCAGTGGAGAAGCACAGCAATCCGCAAAGACCAGGGCCCTGCGCTGTCACTCAGGGGTCCATGTTCTCTTTTCTTTCATAGGAACAAATAAAATTCCTGGAAGAAGAGATCCAGAGTTTGGAGGAATCTGAATTATCCCTCAGTTCCTATTCTGATTGGTATAACTCTACTCATAAAAAATTCAAGAATGTGGCTGTCAAAATTGATAAAATAGATAAAGCAATGATGGGGAAAAAGTTGAAGACCCTGGAGGTAAGCATGCATTCTTCAGGCTTGTCTTGGGCCTTTCTCTTTCATTAGCAGCCTCTTTGGAATCATGTGCATTCATCCTGACCCTGTATAATTAGTGATACTTGCCTCACTGTTTCACCCCAAACACTAGTGGACAAGCTCTTTTAAGGTCAAAACCTGGCTTTCAACTTTTTGCAATAGCATCATCTGAAGGTCCATGAAGTGTTAACAAAATTCTAGTTTGACACAGAGAGAGAAAGAGAGAGGGAGAGGAAGAGGGAGCACTCAGATAATGAACCAATGCCTTTTTTAAGTTTTTGATTTGGAAATGATATACTGATCAAAACTTTCAAAACAGCTATTAAAATGAAAGAGAGAGAGTTAGTTCCCGATTCTTGGAAGTTCAGACCTAGAAGTAAATTTCAGAATTGTATGTTAAAGGAATATAGGTGTACCTAAAAAGTCTTTTCTTTAAGAAACAAATAAGACTAACTTCTATTTGCTTCCTCTTCACTGTCTTTGTCAGGTTTTGTTAAAAGACATGGAGAAAGGCCACAGTTTGTTGAAGTCAGCCCGGGAAAAAGGAGAGAGGGCTGCTAAATATTTGGAGGAAGGTGAGGCAGAGATGCTAAGAAAAGATATCCACGATCGAGTGGAACAGCTGGAGGAACTGACTGGCACCATGCGAAAAGAGCACATGACCTTGGAGAAAGGTCTTCATTTAGCAAAGGAATTCTCTGATAAATGTAAAGCACTGACTCGTTGGATAGCAGAATACCAGGAAATCCTACACATTCCTGAGGAACCCAAAATGGAATTATATGAGAAAAAAGCTCAGCTATCTAAGTACAAGGTAATGCCTGTAAGCCATTAATAGATACATGTGAAGGGCAGGGATGACACAGGAGGAAAACATTCCTGACGTGTGCCACCCATCCGGATGGTGGAAAACAGCTCTGATAAATCTGTTCTGCTGATGGCGAGTGACACTGTCTATGTAGACAACTCCTTGGAGTTATTTGTCCATTCAAAGATTTGATATCCAAAAGTTGTATCAATAAATTCATTGAATGTAGCAATCAATAAGTGAAGACCTTTTCCATCTGCAATCCAGGTATATAAATCCTCCAGGTAAATCTCCCTGGTATCTGGATCCTATAACTATAGATTTTTTTATCTGAGCTGATCTGTGGTAAATTGAAAATGAGATACTATATTTGACAGAAAGTTCTAACCATCGCTAAACAATTTAGAAATTAATTTTTGAAAGAATAAAAGCACTGAAAACATAACTAATCATGATATAGACTCAGTTCACCCACTTATAATTTGGAATCAGTTATCCAAGCTTATATGGAGATAAGTTGTGTTTTAAAAAGGACTAGAATGGGTCAGGGTTATAGCTCAGAGGTACATTGCCTGCCTGGCAAGCATGAGGCCCTGAGTTCAATGCCTGGTACCAAAAAGAGAAAAGAAAAAAGAAAAGGATAAGAACGATGTAGTGAGTTTTTAGGAAGTACAGAGTGCTGGCTTGTCCCAAAGCATTTCCCTTCAGAAGCATTTTGTAATAAATGTTTATTTCTGCACTCAGCCTCTGTACCAAGCCAGGCAGCTTGTCTTTGAAGGTGTCACATAAGAATGACAACCCATTCTCCTGTCCCTGCACCAGGGTCTTGATGTATTTAAATGGTGCTTTTAGCTTATCTCAGCAAGGTTGCAGCTGGACTTTGCCTCCCTCACATCACATCTAATTCAAGCTGGAGCTAATTCAAGCTGGAACAAACTTCATGAACTTAGAATCAAAGGACGGTGGCCTTCCTCTGTTTTATATTGAGATTCCTATTTCCTTTGTTGAAAGGAATGAAATATAAGACAGAAATAGAACTGTGTTAAATTTAGTCAAATGTAATTCTTTCCTCTGCTTTCATCTCTTCATATGAAATGCTGTTCGATGAACTGCTCTCCTGTCCCACGTTTAAAACTGTATTAGCAACAATGAATCATCTCTCTTTAATGTTTCACACTTGTTGATTCATAAACAATGTGCCAGAGCTTTCTCTGATGCAGGTTATGTCTTGCATGACATTGACATATGTGCATATTCATTTAATTCACATGAATAAGCTGGCTTTGATTTTTTTTCCCTTGTAATTCAAGTCATTGCAACAAACTGTGCTGTCCCATGAGCCATCAGTCAACTCAGTGAGAGAGAAAGGGGAAGCTCTTCTGGATCTGGTCCAAGATGTTACTTTAAAGGACAAAGTAGACAAACTTCAGAGGGATTACCGGGACCTCTGCAGTATGGGAAAGGTAAAGAGAGATCAGAGATCCAAACCAATTGTTTGGCCAAAAATGTGCACCCTGACTCTTTTGTCTCTCTCAGGCAGTTTTATGATTTGCTACTGGTCAGTGTTTTTCCTTTCAACGGATGGATGCATAAACGGCCTACAGATGGATTTTTCCCCATTCCTAATAATTTTCCTTTTATTGATTCATTGATCACTGAAAATTGAACCTAGGACCTTGTGTATACTGAGCATATACTCTGCACCCCCCATCCCATTCCTAATACTTTCCTACTCTATGAGTTACCCTGAGTTTTGAAACTACAAAATCATTTTTGAGTAGGCTTTGGTGCTTGTAATTTACCTCTAACAGACACCTTGTTTTCCAGGAACATGTCCTCTGCCTGGAGGCGAAAGTCAAAGACCATGAAGACTATAACAGTGAGCTCCAAGAGGTGGAAAAGTGGTTGTTGCAGATGTCTGGCAGGCTGGTGGCACCTGACCTTCTGGAGACCAGCAGCCTAGAGACAATTACCCAGCAGCTGGCCCACCACAAGGTACACGTGGTCTCTACAGAGCTGAGCTCAGGATGGCTCTGATTGTCCTGCTTCTGTGTGTGTGTGTGCATGTGTGTGTGTGTGTGTGTGTGCACATGTGAGTACAGCTCTGGATTATAATGACTACACCTAAGAAGTCAGGTCTGAGCCTCAAGCACAATGACAGTGGAGCACAGTTGAACTTGATACTCAAGTAAATCAAGAATAGTTGAATCCTGGCATTCAACTTCTGAACATGGCTGCTTTGTACTTTTCTTAACTAGTAGGTTTTATCTCAGTATTTAGTCTTCATGGAGTCATTTGTCAAAGAGATGCCATTTATTTTAGAAAAATGCAGGCAGACACAGAATGGAAGACTGGCAGTCTGACTAGCTGAGGACACTTAGCCACTCCCAGGCTCCTTGTTCACCTTTGTAAAGGCAGAAACAATACCAGCCCGTGTCATAACTGCTGTCATAATCCCATCATGCATGAAAGCATTCTGTAAACTATAAAATTCAACACTGATCTGAGGTCTCTTATCTTTACTAATGTGTATTTTTAGTAGAGACATGTACCAAAAGACAGATGGTCACAGTTTTATGGAACCATTCATTGGTGATCTTAAAGGGAAATACAGATTTTAGTCAAGATGTAGCTGCTATCTACAATATGCCTTAGGAAAGCCTCTCTGCATTCCCATCAGAGGAAAAAATTTTATTTTAACAAATGTGGATAGAAACGCATCCACTGTACTTTCCACTAAACACTGAAGAGATGCCAACCCAGAAGGCAGTCTGTCCCCTCAGTCGCCTAAGGGTATGGTGATTCTCTTACACCTTGAAGATGAAATGGCTCTTTTCAATTGAGGGTGTATAGTATCCTCCGACCTAGCACCACTGACGATAAACATGAGTCAGAACTGCTGAGACAGCACCCACATTTTCCTTGGACATATCCATGTGTCAACCCAGGCGATCCCGGGCCCAAATGTGTCACTTATCATGAGCGTCAGTAAGTTCATTAAAACCTGAAATTTAAAAAGTTCGTTCTTCCTCTCTGAGTAATCTATGTGAATGTTCACTAGAGAATGCACATCTGGGACTTGGCTTCAGCTGGAACCCACAGAGCTATGTCCAAAGCGGGGGCAGAGGGCTCTGTCATTTACTACTGTGTTACTGCCAGCATGATTTGTGACCTCTCTGAGCTTGAGTACTCTCATCTGTGTGACAATGACAATGCATATTTGAAAGGGCTTATATAAAACTCTTGGGCCATACCAGGTGCTAAATAAATGATAAATGTGAATGTTATTTTCATTAATACAAATATTAGTACAGGTAAATTGTATATTATGTAAATCAATAATTAGATATTAAGTTATTTCAGAAATTTGATATTGATCATTAAATAAGTTACGTGGTGGTATAATTAGATTAAGTCATAATTAAATTGTTTTAGATAAAATTATACCAGAATTATATTTTATAGCTCTGATAAATATATAGATGCCCTTTTGTTTGGTAACAATATCATGCACAGATATGTCTCTGAAATACCTTATCTGAAAGTTACTTAATCGTTCTCTATGTACATAATCCCTTAAACTCCTAAATGCTACCTAGCAGACTATCCTTCAAAACATACATATGCTTTTTAAAAATTTGCTAATCAATCAAGGAGATAAAGTTGCAAAATCCTTTCATAAACTGTATTAAACAATGAAATTATTGACCTTATATTTTCTACTTATGAATAATTTGTTGCCAGTGAAAAGGAGATTTACGAAAGCTCTATTATTTGATGCATTTCTGCAGGCCATGATGGAAGAAATAGCTGGCTTTGAAGACCGTTTGAACAACCTGAAAGTCAAGGGCGATACTTTGATCGGCCAGTGTGCTGATCACCTGCAAGAGAAGCTGAAACAGAATGTGCAAGCCCATCTGCAGGGTACAAGGGACAGTTACTCAGCAATCTGCAGCACAGCCCAGCGCGTGAGTACCTGGAACACTCAGTGACAGCGATGAATTACGCCAAAAGGCTGGGCAGTCTAGCAGCTTTACACATGGGACTGGTGCCTGTCTCTAGGACATTTTGGTGTGTTGACAGACAGGAAATAAGTGGATAGATTTCCAATCTGTATGTGAACACAGAGATAATACATCACATATTTGATTGATGTCATTAAGCAATGACTTTCAGGTATTCTCTTTTCTCTAAACTTTTATCTCAAGAATTAATTCTATAAATATGTAAAAAAGTTTTTTGGTTCATTTTAATTTGTACATAAAAACTTATCTCTAATTTGCCATTTATTCTATCATACTATAATAAATGTTCTTATAACAATTTTTTGATCATTCTTTTAAAATTCTATGTAGCCTAGGTTCTATTTTAATTCAATATTTTATGCATTCACATAGAAATCACAAAATGGAATAAGTACCAGTTATGAGTTACACTTTTTTCCTTCCATCACTTTTTATTAGTACATGCTTTGTTAGATAATACTTATATTCCTTATGGGGAGTTGGTACATGAGCATAATACATCTTAATTTCTTTTATTCATCTCCTTCCTCTCCCCTCCCTCCATCTCTTGATCCCCTTTCTGCTGGAGAAAGATCTATCTCCCTACTTCCTATTATGTATCATTTATTTTGCTCTTTATTTATATTTTGGCTTTCTCACCTAAGAGAAACCATGTTATATTTAAACTTCCGTGTTTGACTTATTCCACTTAATATCATGGTCTCAAGTTGTATTTTAATGGGTGTACATCCACTAAAACAAAATCCTTACTCTTACAGAAATAAGTCCAGGTTGGGTAAGTTTCTCTTTTTATAAAAACTTAGTATAATAACTGAGTTGCTTTCTATTGCAATTCTTAAATGGTTGCTACAAAAGGTTCTTATAAAAAGCCACTGGTGATGAACCTATGGCATGCGTGGTACTGCGAGCCAAGTCACCCCACATCACCCCAGCAGCCACACATGAGATATTCAGGTTTAACTGCAGTGTTGGCTCTTTGCCACAATAAGTCAGTGTGGCGTTGCAGTTTGGGCACTTGTTCTCTAAAAGGTTCACCATCCCTGTTACATCCTGGAGATCCCTGCAGTTGGGTTCCAGTATCCTCTGCCCAGCATACGATGCAGGCCTGAGAATTAAAACTAAAAGAACTAGGAGAGAAAGTAGGCTGCCAGGATGACCAGTGCTGGTTCCACTGACAAAGGCCTTGCCCAGTCCCAGACACTGACTTTTATTGGCAATCAGTTGGGATAAAAGGGGGCCACGTGCTAGGGCAGGGCTACACATGATTTCTATGGAAATTAATATAAACAAGGCTTGTAAAGGACAAGACAGAGCATTCTCAAATTAGGAACAGAGCAGACAAAATATATTGTTGTATGAGAACGTTGTCCTTCTACTCAGAAGGTTTTAATTTCGGGAACGGAATTTAGGTGTGAGTTACTCTGACCTTGGCACATAGATTTTGACCTGACTCACTTCTCAAAAGAAGCCAGTTGTGGGATAATTCTTTACAGCCTGCTTTGGGCATCATCAATATTACTGTCCTCTGTAGTTATTGGCTTTGAAAGGTCTTCCATGTAGTTTTGTTCCTGGGTTGGCTGGTAAGAACTGGTAAGACACAGCGACCTGAGGAGAGTAATCTGTGAAAATTTACCTTCAAAAATATATAAAAAAGGAAGGATAGTTGCAAGTGAGAATAAGAGGCGGAAAAAAGGAGAGAGAAGAGAAAAATTAGCTTGGCTTGGATGTGGAGGTTTCTGGTGAGCTCTTCAATTCACTCATTCCAAAGAGATTTACTTGGTCACTGACTTCTTTATAGCAGGAATTGTCTCTATGTTAGAGCTCCAACTTAAATTTTCTTAAAAAGCGTTGGTGAATGTTGGAAAAGCCAAGAAAAGTTTAAAAAAATTAAAAAGTCAAGGAAAATCTAAGAACACAGATTTAATTCATAATTAAAGTTGCAGCAATGACACAGAACAAAGTATCATTTTTATTTCTGCTTAGAATATGAATAAACAGGAATAGATTCACTGTCAGATAAAAATGATGAATTTAACAGATGCCAAAGAAAATCAGCATGCAGTTATAACATCTATTGTGTCAATAATGAAAGCAAATGGACTAAACCCATTTCCTTTTTCTTCTTTAATGAAATGGTTTTCTCAGAAGGTGTCATAAGTGTATTTTATCTTGAATTCTAGGAGACAGATAATTGCTTCCCAGTATATCTTTATGAATAAAGTAGAAAAGTTTGGATGATTGAGGGTTAATTACTGAGTAAACATATCAGAAAATGTATGAACCATTCTAGATTACTGCAGTCAGGAAATTCTAAGAGGAAATGAGGGCTCCAACCCCCCACTCTATGTTATAATTTATTTCGAGTTTGACCCTACCTTACAGCAGAAGCAGCACAGTTAGAGAAATATTGGTTATCTTTTCTCAAAATGCTTTTCTAGCTTAATGTTTAGTTCCTACCTTAAAAAAATGGAAAGAAGAGGGAGAGAAGGGAAAAGGAATTTTAAAAAGCGAATTAAGATATATTGTGCATATGTATTATTTCTCTATGAGGAGCATAAACTACAAACATATGCTAATACAAAAATGAAAATATATATATATATATATATCATTGGGAGAAAAGCTACAGAAATTTTTGATTTTGTGTGTCTATGGCCATTTGCTTTGATGATTTCATGCATTCTAATACATTTTGACACATATGAGTTTTGCTTGTTTTCTTTTCCCTAGTTAATATATTACATTGTGATGTATGAGTTGAGAAATTAGAAATAGAGTAGTGGCCGTTGTATTTTACAATATTTTTTAACTGAACATATACAACCACCTTAGAAATATATGTGGTATTGGAGAATACTAGGAGTATATCCATTGAAATGGATTGGTCAGTGTACTTTATTTAGTCCCTATGATGTTTACAGAGATAAAAGGCAGCTCTCACAACCTCATTATGACTGTTCTGTGACCTCAGGTGTACCAGAGTTTGGAACATGAACTTCAGAAGCATGTCAGCCGGCAAGATACCCTGCAGCAATGCCAAGCCTGGCTTTCTGCAGTGCAGCCAGACTTAAAGCCAAGTCCACAGCCACCTCTTAGCCGGACAGAAGCTGTTAAGCAGGTAGTAGACTCCTGAAAGTTTGCTATTCTTATGAGTCATTCATTCAGTCAAAACATGTTAAGTACCTCTGATGTACCAAACTGAGCTGACTCCTGGGAATATAAAGGTATAAATAAGGTCAAAGCTTTGGCTCTAGTCGTGTTCATGTTCCAGCCAAGATGATGTGTTGCCCTGGTAGAATAGAAAGAACATGAGCTCTAACCAGAGATGGATTCTAAAAGCTAAATCAGTTGATTTTTCTGAGCCTGTTTCCTACTATATAAAAAAATACAAACTGATGATGATAAGGATTGTAGTTCCTCCGTATCTCTAGGAGGCTGCTTCCAGAATCCTTGTGCATACCAAAATCTATAGATGCTCAAGTCCCTTGTATAAAAAGTAGGCTCTTTATTGTCTAGATCACTTACAATACTTAGTGCAATGTAAGGAGCTGCTATATGCTTGTTTAGGGAATTATGAGAAAAAGTCTGTACACTTTCAGTACAGACAAGATTTTGTTTCATCCTGATAATGTCAATTTGCAATTGGTTGAATCTGTTGATGTAAAACCCAGATACAAAGGTGCAACTGTGTACATACTTCTGAAAGTTATGATGAAGTTCAAATGTCATAACACAAATCAACATGATATATAACAGAAAAAGCAGGGCCAGGGATTTAGCTCAGTGGTTCTGCTGCCTGCCTCACAAGCGCAAAGACCCGAGTTCGATCCCTGGTACAAAAACAAAAACAGAAAAACAAACCAACAGAAAAAGCAATACCATCTTCTCCTACACATTTTTTTTTTTTTTTTGCACAACGAGGTACTTAATAGATGATTACTGGATGAATGACGGATGGAATGTTAATTGTTTGAATGAAAAGGGAATTATTTACATATTAACATGATAGCCACAAGCTTTATATTTTGCTGCTGAGACTTCATGAAAATATAGGAAAATGTTTTCCTAAATTTTGGACTAAGCAGCATTTGCATGCAGTATTAACTTTGTGGAAAAATACTTTAGAATTTAGTTGCAAAAGTTATTGCTGCCAGATATGAATAAATGGTATTAAATAAACAACTCCATTTTATTGCCAGGAACTAAGATTGATGTAGTGTTCTTGTTCATTTCATCCCCATACACAATGTGTCTTCTTAATTCATTCCCAAAATATACTTTCTAACTTAAATGATTTATATTATTTACATAATGAATAGTTCTTGTAAGTATCTATATTATATTGTATAAAGGAGAGCATTCTGACAAGTGAAATGTGGCTCTGTTTGGGTGAATAAAAAGAAATTAAAGACTGTTTATATTCTGCTTTTTCATTAGACTGAGCTTTCTTTAGTCGCTGTTTTTCTTGTGACTCTGTTACCAATTTATTTTATTCAGGACAATTGAGAATAAAGCTTCATTTTTCTTCTTTGTTACTAAGAAAAGAAAGAAAAGAAGGAGATCAAAGTATTAATCCCAGTGACCTTTTGATAGAGCAAGACAAGATTTACTATACTCTCCAGAATAAGTTGTATCCAGAGGGTAGGGATCACTGCAAAGAAACACATTCCTATGTTTCTGTGAAGGCAGAAGAGCTTCACCCACACAAGCCTTTCCGGGAGCTTCTAGAAAGGAAGAGCAGGCAGTGAACTTCTGGCAGAGAAAATAAGCCCAGCCATCTGTTTTGGGCTTACTCCAGTGAACCTCCAAACTCACTCTAACCATGGCCTTGTCTGCAAAATATGCAAAAGCATGTTAGGAAATGGACCACAGTAGGCATGGGTTTTTGCTCTGAAATGAAAAATAAGTGAGAATGTGGCAGAGAATCTGTGAAGAAGGGAGAAATGTCCTGGGTTTTTCTCTTTCCCAAACCATGCAGACACCCTTACTTAAAATGAAAAGCAAATGACAGACAAAATAGCCCCTGTCAGTGTGCTTTGAATTCTCTCCTATAAGTCACTAACATAGGTCAAAGAAATAGTGAAAACAATGATCAGAGCGATTATTTTTGTTTTTTTGTTTTGGGTTTTGGTTTTGATTCGGCACAGGACCTTGCGCTTGCCAGGCAGGCCCTACGCTGATGAGCTACATCGCTGGGCCAAAGAGAGATTATTTTTAAAATGTCAACAAAATCCTACAAATGGCACAAATATTTGCGACCTAAATAATGTACACATCTATCTCACTCTGCCAATTGCCTTTTTCCCCAGGTCAAACACTTCAGAGCTTTGCAGGAGCAGGCAAGGACTTACTTAGATCTCCTTTGTTCCCTGTGTGACTTGTCAAACTCTTCAGTAAAAACCACAGCAAAAGACATTCAACAAACAGAGCAAATGGTAAAAATATTTAAAAAGTACATTGAACTGTCTATTTTGTCATGTTCTCTTGCTAGAATAAGTGATGTTTAAAGAAAATGCCTCTTGGGTAATGATTGTCATAATACTTGTATGGCCATTGCAATAAGTCATTATTTGAATTTCAAGCAAGTCAAAAATATGTGAGCACGCTGATACTAATGACTGATCGGCAGCTGGATCATACAGTCCCATCCATTTGCTACTTATTAGCGCTTTCTTCCTCTTTGCCTCTTGATTACCATTGTCTCTTTGTCTTTTCTTATTTTTCCACACTTTTTTGTTCTTTTCTCCTCTTCTACCTTTGTCTTGTCATAATACTTGCATGAAGGACCTCTTGACTCCTTTTTAAATCAAGAATGCTAGTACCACTCTGTTTGATGTGACCCTTCTAATTTATTGGTGATGACTATCAACTGTGGTACTGAGAAGAGCTCTGAAACTGTATCTGGCCTCCGTGAGAAGAATTAGGATGAGTAAAGGGGACCTGACCAAATGGGATGGGGGCATTCCTGGCACCCTGTGCTTACCCCATGGCTGCTGTAGCCCTCGATATTTTCATGCAACACATTCAGGTTTAAAAGAAAATAAGCCTAGGTTATTGTATTTAACTTATTAAATATTTATAAAATAGTGAAGTGATCCAAAAGCAGAGTCTTACTATAATAAGGTTTTCCTCTTTCATATTATTAACATGGCTTTTATTCCTTATGGAAGATTATATAATCCACTGCTTCTATGGAAATGATTCTTTGAAACCAAGTATACAGTTTCAAAGACGACACAGCAGATCTATATATCTGAAATATTAATAACTCAGAGTTTCAAAAGATGGGAAAACAAATGTGCAAAAGATAAGAATACAGGTCTTTTCTGGTTACCCCAGAACCAAATTCACGAGTCAAACAGATTTCTCTATGTGTCTGTGAAAAAACACAATGGACAAAACTGTGAGGATGGCTTCTAACCTAAGAAACTGTTAGAATTGCTTCGGTCTTCACAACACTGATTAGAATCATATGGAGTAACTCTTGCACATTTAAGTGTTTTAGAAATTCTAAATCCTAAAGAAAATCTACTTTTCTTGAAACAATATGCTTTTCCGATTCATCTGTGTGTGTGCACACACATGCGTACTTATATGTGTGGCTGTATGAGTGTGGAGCAGCTCAGGAGCTGAATCTCTGATTCACTGAACATAGATGCTTCTATCCAGGCTGCTAACTTTTACTATTGTGTTTTCTCAAGATTGAACAAAGGCTTGCCCAGGCACAGAATTTAACTCAGGGCTGGGAGGAGATCAAGCACCTAAAGGCTGAGCTGTGGATTTATCTTCAGGACACAGATCAGCAGCTACAGAATATGAAGAGGAGACATTCTGAACTGGAGCTCAATATTGCCCAGAACATGGTTGCCCAAGTAAAGGTAGGGATTCGTTAATGAAATGATCAGTGACTGGATCTGTGCCTTCAGTTAGACCACCTATGTTCACAAAGGGAGGAGGACCCTGAGAGAACAAGAGATTATCATGACTGTATGAATGTCATGACACATTCTCTGAAAATTTCTCAATAGAATGGGACAAGTTGGCCAAGGCAGTAAGGTTGACGTGTATTCAGAATATTCACTTCATTACACCTGGGTGTGTGTCAGTCTTTAGACTCAGTGTAGCTACTCAAGGATTAAGTGATTCTGAACAGCCTTCTTTGGTGTCAGGGAAAGGTAGAGCACACCAAAAACATATATAAGTCATATGCAGTGGTGTGCACCTGTGGTCCCAGCTACTTGGGAGGCTGAGAGAGATGAACACTGAGACCACCAGTTCCAGGCCAGCCTGGGCAGCCTGGAGAGACTGTGTAACAAAAGATGAGAGAGAGAGAGAGACAAGAGAAGAGAAGAGAAGAGAAGAGAAGAGAAGAGAAGAGAAGAGAAGAGAAGAGAAGAGAAGAGAAGAGAAAAGAGAAGAGGAGGAGGAGGAGGAGAGGAGGGAGGGAGGGAGGAAAACTTTCACATATACTCCTTGTATTCCAAATGTCCATTTTTGTCACAGAACACTCACACTATACTTTATTCTTGAGTGAAGAAGCTGTCATTTAGCTTACAGAGCCAAAAGGCTGCTAATGAGCACCCACTAAATATTAGTTTTCATTGCCATGTTCCTAAAACTATAGAATTATAACCTAGTGATTAATTATATATTTAGTGCATATATAATTTAAGTATAATAGAAATATCATTCATATTTAAATATTAAAAATAATTTTAAGTATATTAATTTGATTGGTTGTAGGATCAGATTTTCAACAAACCTTAAGATTTTTTTAATGGGTTATATATGTTTTTTACTAGAATATTTCAGAACCGCAAACAAATAGAAAATAACATAAATAATTTCCTTTTTCCCCAAAACATGACATCTTTAAAACTTCTTAGAAAATGGTCTTTCTTCAATATGTAAGGTATTTTTAAATTATGATAATGTTGTTTCACATTTATCAGTTTTTCTTGACACTTCTAAAAGTAACCGATTGAAAGAAAATACCACAGGTGCTCTGATTGTTACACCATTGAGAATTTAGGTTTATAAAGCAGTGTGGTGAATTTTAGATGTGCTTCTCCTTTTTTCTTAAAATTCTCTGAGAGATTATGTCTGTTTCAGTTTGTTGGCGAGGGTTCATTTTGCATTACTTATCTTTTGTGGTTATTCCTCAGGAGTTTGCTAAACAACTGCAATGCAAGCAAGCATCCATGAGCACCATCTTAGAAAAGGTGAATAAATTAACAAAGAAGCAGGAGTCTCCTGAGCACAAGGAAATAAGTCACCTAAATGACCAGTGGCTGGATCTGTGCCTTCAGTCGGACAAGCTGTGTTCACAAAGGGAGCACGACCTTCAGAGAACAAGAGATTACCATGACCATATGAATGTCGTTGAAGCATTCTTGGAAAAATTCACTACAGAATGGGATAACTTGGCCAGGTAATAAAAGTTCTCTACTGAGTCACCATAATGCTAAGCCAGAAATGTCTAAATTTCTTTAAAAATTTAAAATTTCTTATCTGTATTGTTACTGTCGTTACCTACCAGTATCAATATTGGTAAAACATTAAGAAACTAATATTATCAAGGGCATACAGACTCATGAGCTTAACATTAATTACCAGTGAGAAAAAAAGAAATGTTTAAAAACAGCACTCTTTAGTCAGGCATGGTGGTATACACCTATAATCCCAGTACTGAGGTAGGCTGAGGCAGGAGGATCACCCTCATACTGCTTTAGACAACTTAGTGATTTAGTGAGATCCTGTCTCAAAATAAAGTAAAAAAAACAGGATGATTATGTATCTCAGTGGGAAGGCCCTAGGCTCAGCCTCTAGTACTGCACCAAAAAGAAAACATTTTTTTCTCTGGGGTCTCAAAAATATTCCAAAGACTATTACCCCATGAGCTTAAGAAGCATCCTAAGAATATTTCCAATTTTGCTTAATTACCAGTTGTGGGGCGACCATCTATGAATTCATGATGTGAATCCTTCCTGAACAGATAGGCTCCAGGGGTTTCTATTGAGTCATAAAGTAGCACATTCTATGTAATTCAGCCAAGCTTAGTCATATTCCAGAAATAGTAAATAATCCAAATTCAATTAATTTATTTCCTTTGAGATTTGATAGTATTGAACTTCTCTTAAATTTTTCTTTGAAAAGTAAGGTTCTCCTCCCTCATATAGGGATGGGATCATCCTATGAAAGCCTTTTCACACTTTTGATCATTGTAATTGTTAAAATCTGTACTTCTGGTAAGATTTGTGTTTGCTTCAATAAAAAACACCCAGTATTATTCTAGATATTGTTAAATCACGGTGAGATGTGTGTGTGTGTGTGTGTGTGTGTGTGTGTGTGTGTGTGTGTGTGTAATGACTTCCAGTTTAATATTTGATTGGTTGTAGGATCAGATTTTCAACAAACCTTAAGATTTTTTTAATGGGTTATATATGTTTTTTACTAGAATATTTCAGAACCGCAAACAAATAGAAAATAACATAAATAATTTCCTTTTTCCCAAACATGACATTATCATTCATATTTAAATATTAAAAATAATTTTAAGTATATTAATTTGATTGGTTGTAGGATCAGATTTTCAACAAACCTTAAGATTTTTTTAATGGGTTATATATGTTTTTTACTAGAATATTTCAGAACCGCAAACAAATAGAAAATAACATAAATAATTTCCTTTTTCCCCAAAACATGACATCTTTAAAACTTCTTAGAAAATGGTCTTTCTTCAATATGTAAGGTATTTTTAAATTATGATAATGTTGTTTCACATTTATCAGTTTTTCTTGACACTTCTAAAAGTAACCGATTGAAAGAAAATACCACAGGTGCTCTGATTGTTACACCATTGAGAATTTAGGTTTATAAAGCAGTGTGGTGAATTTTAGATGTGCTTCTCCTTTTTTCTTAAAATTCTCTGAGAGATTATGTCTGTTTCAGTTTGTTGGCGAGGGTTCATTTTGCATTACTTATCTTTTGTGGTTATTCCTCAGGAGTTTGCTAAACAACTGCAATGCAAGCAAGCATCCATGAGCACCATCTTAGAAAAGGTGAATAAATTAACAAAGAAGCAGGAGTCTCCTGAGCACAAGGAAATAAGTCACCTAAATGACCAGTGGCTGGATCTGTGCCTTCAGTCGGACAAGCTGTGTTCACAAAGGGAGCACGACCTTCAGAGAACAAGAGATTACCATGACCATATGAATGTCGTTGAAGCATTCTTGGAAAAATTCACTACAGAATGGGATAACTTGGCCAGGTAATAAAAGTTCTCTACTGAGTCACCATAATGCTAAGCCAGAAATGTCTAAATTTCTTTAAAAATTTAAAATTTCTTATCTGTATTGTTACTGTCGTTACCTACCAGTATCAATATTGGTAAAACATTAAGAAACTAATATTATCAAGGGCATACAGACTCATGAGCTTAACATTAATTACCAGTGAGAAAAAAAGAAATGTTTAAAAACAGCACTCTTTAGTCAGGCATGGTGGTATACACCTATAATCCCAGTACTGAGGTAGGCTGAGGCAGGAGGATCACCCTCATACTGCTTTAGACAACTTAGTGATTTAGTGAGATCCTGTCTCAAAATAAAGTAAAAAAAACAGGATGATTATGTATCTCAGTGGGAAGGCCCTAGGCTCAGCCTCTAGTACTGCACCAAAAAGAAAACATTTTTTTCTCTGGGGTCTCAAAAATATTCCAAAGACTATTACCCCATGAGCTTAAGAAGCATCCTAAGAATATTTCCAATTTTGCTTAATTACCAGTTGTGGGGCGACCATCTATGAATTCATGATGTGAATCCTTCCTGAACAGATAGGCTCCAGGGGTTTCTATTGAGTCATAAAGTAGCACATTCTATGTAATTCAGCCAAGCTTAGTCATATTCCAGAAATAGTAAATAATCCAAATTCAATTAATTTATTTCCTTTGAGATTTGATAGTATTGAACTTCTCTTAAATTTTTCTTTGAAAAGTAAGGTTCTCCTCCCTCATATAGGGATGGGATCATCCTATGAAAGCCTTTTCACACTTTTGATCATTGTAATTGTTAAAATCTGTACTTCTGGTAAGATTTGTGTTTGCTTCAATAAAAAACACCCAGTATTATTCTAGATATTGTTAAATCACGGTGAGATGTGTGTGTGTGTGTGTGTGTGTGTGTGTGTGTGTGTGTGTTTGTATAATGACTTCCAGTATGTTTCCCTTTTTTGATGCTCAACCCATTACTGGTCTTTGGGATGAATCCAGTTTATCTCAGCATAAAGCCCCATATTTGTGGCTTATAATAGGCCTACAGATGCCTCAGATCTAGTGAGTCAAGCACAGAATTCATCACACTCCCCCAGCCCTGCTTTTCATACTTCAGAACTGATCATTTCATAGATGTAAGAGACTAAAAGATGCCATTTCTTAAGTGTGTTCTGAAATCTAAAGGATGAGAAGTCGTCTCATCTCACACTTGTTTTTAAGGATTTCAATGGGGAACCTGAAGGAAGTATTCCAGGCCACCCACACTACGCTGCAGGGAAATATTTCATATAGTAAAATACCTGAGTCCCCTCAGTCAGATCTAATTACCCTTTTATAAAGTTCTAGAAATGTGTCAACAATTGCTATCTGTGCCGTATTTATACTTTCACGTAATATTTGTGAAAACACATCTTCTTTATCCAGTCTCCAACTGATGGGAAAATGGGTTGTTTCCAAGGTTTAGCTATTACAAACTGTGCTGCTATAAACATAGGTGCATGGTTTTTCTATAAGATGGAATACTACTCAGCCATAAAGAGTGAGAAATTGGATTCATTCCTAGGAAAATGGATACATATTGAGGATATCCTCCTAAGTGAAATAAATAAGTCACATATATGTAAATACGGAATAGTTTCTCTGGTGTGAAAAACTATAATAGTACCTAAGATCCTAATGATGTAACTGACAATGTGAAATAGGAAGAAAGGGGCTAAAGGTGTAGGGAAAGTGGGAAGGGTAGGGGAAAGGTAGTAAGGGAAAAATATATGAGAAAATGGAAATAAAGTGTTTGTGAATGGGGAGGGCAGGAAGGGGTGAAGGGAGGGCAGGGACAAGGGGAAAAATGAGAACCAAGACCTGCCATGTAGAGGTACAAGATCCCAATGATGAATGTAACTGTACTGTATACATAAAATGTACCAATAAACTCAATGAGAAAAAAAATATTTGTGAAAAAAAATCTGAGTACATAACTGTACAAAAATATCGACGCACAGCTGAATAACTCCTAAAGCCATTAGTCATACTTACAACCATCTAGCATTCTGTTGTTGTCTTTGGATCTTGTACTTGTATGAAAGTACATAAATCATGAATCTCTTATTAACTTTTTAAATGTCATTTTCAAGAAAGCAGAGGATTAGTGATTCTCAGTGTTTAATAATACACAGATCATCAAGGATCTTGTTAGTATGCAGGTTCTGCATAGTTCATGAGAGCCACAGTAGGCGAAAAGTATCTTCGGTCTGATTGAAGGGCAGCATTAATTGGCAAAATGAGGGTAGAGACATACCTAGGCAACTTGATTTGATTCACCCCCTGATGTGGAAAAATATCAACTAGACTTATTCCATAATAATTACAATACTTCTGTCAATAAACTATGAATTGAACCAGTCACAGTGATCCTGAGTTAAGAACACCCACTTAAATGATGAAATGTAAGTTAACAAGATATGAACTAATTTTCTCTTGTGTCTTTCAATATACTTACAGATCCGATGCAGAGAGCACAGCTATCCACTTGGAAGCTTTGAAAAAGTTAGCCTTGGCCTTGCAGGAGAGAAAGTATGCCATAGAAGATCTGAAAGATCAAAAGCAGAAGATGATAGAGCATCTGAATCTAGATGACAAAGAATTAGTCAGAGAACAGACAAATCACTATGAACAGCGCTGGTTTCAGCTTGAGGACCTTGTTAACAGGAAAATCCAAGTGTCAGTCACTAACTTGGAGGAGCTCGATGTGGTACAGTCCAGATTTCAGGAGCTAATGGAGTGGGCAGAGGAGCAACAACCCAACATTGCTGAGGCTCTGAAGCAGAGCCCCCCACCTGATATGGTGCAGAACCTCCTCATGGATCACCTGGCCATCTGCAGTGAGCTGGAAGCCAAACAGCTCCTTCTGAAGTCGCTCACAAAGGATGCCGACAGGGTGATGGCCGATCTCGGCCTCGATGAGCGGAAAGTGATCCAGAAGGTGCTCTCAGATGCACAGAAGCACGTGAACTGTCTCAGTGACTTAGTGGGCCAGAGAAGAAAGTACTTAAACAAAGCCTTGTCTGAGAAAACCCAGTTTCTCATGGCAGTATTCCAGGCAACCAGCCAAATTCAGCAACATGAGCGGAAGATCATGTTCCGTGAACACATCTGCCTATTACCAGATGATGTGAGCAAGCAAGTCAAAACATGTAAAAGTGCACAGGCCAGCCTCAAGACTTACCAAAATGAAGTCACTGGACTTTGGGCCCAGGGTCGCGAGTTAATGAAAGGGGTCACAGAGCAGGAAAAGGGTGAGGTGCTGGGTAAGCTTCAGGAGTTGCAAAGTGTTTATGACAGTGTTTTACAAAAGTGTAGCCATCGGTTACAAGAACTAGAGAAGAGTCTAGTTTCTCGAAAGCATTTTAAGGAAGATTTTGATAAAGCTTGTCACTGGCTCAAACAAGCAGATATTGTTACATTTCCTGAAATCAACCTCATGAATGAGAGTACTGAGCTTCATATGCAACTGGAAAAATACCAACACATTCTTGAACAATCTCCGGAGTATGAAAATCTGCTACTTACACTCCAGAGAACCGGTCAGGCCATGTTACCATCCCTGAATGAAGTCGATCATTCCTACCTCAGTGAAAAGCTAAATGCTCTACCACAACAACTTAATGTCATTGTTGCCTTGGCTAAAGACAAGTTCTACAAAGTCCAAGAAACAATACTTGCTCAGAAAGAGTATGCTTCCCTGATTGAGTTGACAACCCATGCGCTGAGTGAACTGGAAGATCAGTTCTTGAAGATGAGGAAAATCCCCACTGACCTGATCATTGAAGAGGCTCTGTCTCTCCAGGACGGCTGCAGGGCCCTTCTGGGTGAGGTGGTGGCCCTTTGGGAAGCAGTAGATGAGCTGAATCAGAAGAAAGAAAGTTTTCGCAGCACGGGTCAACCTTGGCAGCCAGACAAGATGCTGCACCTCGTCACTTTATACCACAGACTGAAGCGACAAGCAGAACAAAGGGTAGGCTTACTGGAAGATACCACGGGTGCTTATAAGGAGCACATAAAGTTGTGCCAACAGCTAGAGAGACAACTAGAGGCTGTGAAAACAGAGCAGTCCAAAGTGAATGAGGAAACGCTGCCTGCAGAGGAGAAGCTCAAAATGTATCACTCCCTGGCTGGGAGCCTGCAGGACTCAGGAATTCTCCTGAAGCGAGTGGCCCTGCATGTGGAGGACCTTGCTCCGCTCCTGGACCCTTTGGCTCAAGAGAAAGCCAGGCATCAGGTCCACGCTTGGCAAGAGGAGCTGACACTGTTGACATCCAGCATTGGTGAGACCGTGACAGAATGTGAGGCCCGGATGGTACAGAGCAGGGACTTCCAGACGGAGATGAGCCGCTCCCTCGACTGGCTACGGAGGGTGAAGGCAGAGCTCAGTAGGGCCATATGCCTGGACCTCAGCCTCCAGGATATCCAGGAGGAAATCCGCAAGATTCAGATTCATCAGGAGGAGGTCCAGTCCAGCTTGAGGATCATGAGTGCCCTGAGTAACAAGGAGAAGGAGAAGTTCACGAAAGCCAAGGAGCTGATCTCTGCTGACTTAAAGCACACCCTCGCTGAGCTCGCCGAGCTGGATGGAGAGGTTCAGGAAGCTTTGCATGCCCGGCAGGTCAGTCAAAAACATTTGGTCTGGCTTTTTCACTTTGCTTGTTTCTAAACAAGGTCTGAGAAAGGCAATTTTTCTTTTTGTTTTATTTTCTTTTTCTTTCTTTCTTTTTTTTTTTTGGTTGCTTGTTTAGAATTGCTTCCTTAGATATTTCTTTTATGATAGTATATAGAACCATCTTCAGTGGTGATGTAAAAGGATGTTTTTATTGTGTATGCACATGATGTTCATTCCATGGAGTGTCCATGCTACTTCACTTTTCTTGTATTAGTGTAATATTTTAATTCTCTTTCATTGTGGGTCATTTTAATAATATAATTCCTAGCAGAGTCAACTACCTTTGGATTGAAAATAGTTTTTTAATTCTGGGCATACACAGAGTTATTTTCTTTGCCATTTTTTCCGAAACAAAATAGTCTGCCATCTATTCACACAGCATTTCCATGGTACTAGGGATCTAGAAATGATTTCTTTAAAGTAAAGAGGAGGATGTGCATAAATTGTGCAACTCCCGTGCCATGCTATGTAAGGGACTTGGATTTTGGTATCTGTGGGGTTCATGGAATTCATCTCCCTTAGAGACCTGGGAATGACTATAGTAGAGTATTAAGAAATTTGGTTAACAATGAAAACCCTTTTTAAATAATGTTATCCTAGAATCTAGGATAACACTGGATGGAGGCATCTCCCGAGGGAGAGAGGCAAGGGGGTGATACAGCCAAAACTCTGGAAGAACCTAAGGCTTCTTTCTCTGTGGGGTGACCTGTTAGCTGCTCCATCTCTTTGCTGCTTCCTCAGGGAAGGAGCCTCCCTCATCTCACTTCCTTCTGCTGCAACACAGAAGAGAATTCAGGGACCAGAAAGAATTCAGAGAGCCTTTGTAGAACTTCCTACATTGGCGTCCAGGTGTGACTTCTCTGTACCTCCAGTAGCCTGTGCATTTGAAAATAAGAAGAAATAATGGCACTCAGAGGATTCTCCTGTAAGCCTTTGTGCTCCCCACCCCTGCCTTTTCCTTTGTCTTCAGACACTGATTCTAAGAGATTTCAATCAGCTGCTTAGGTAGCAGGCTTTCTTTAAGATAATGCAGCAGATAAAGCCTTGGAGGAAGCCAGCCTGAGCTAATTGACTCTGGGTTAATTACTTGCACCCTTTACTTCTCAGTTTTCTCTCGGTGGCAGAGGACTAATAAATAATACCTCCCTCATTAGGTTCTTCTTAGCATAGGGCCTGATGTGAGGTAGCCCCCGGTTGAATCTTAGCTATCATTTTCCTTCATTTTCCACATAGATTAAGGTTAACACTCTAAACAGTAAGTCTTTTATTTTAATGGTTGAGTGAAATATTAATTTCATGTAGAATTCTGACATCTTAAACTTGTGTTTTTGGCGTACTTTTACCTTATCATGTTAGCTAAAAAGCATTGTTAAAAATGTTTAAATTATTTCCCTGCAGCTATAGATGTAAACAGAGATAGACTTAGAGTGAGTGGTAACAAATGAAGTTTTCATTCTTGACACACATCTGTCACATAGCCTTGCTTCTTTTGAGTGGATTGTTTTTTTCCAGTACTGGGAATCAAACTCAGGTCTTTGCACTTGCCAGGCAAGCAGGGTGCCACTGAGCTAAATCCTCTCCTTGAATGGATTTTTTTTAAACCTAAATCATAAATCTAGTGAGAGACTTCTGTTTCTGCCATCTTGTTTTATTGATTGTCTTGACTCAAATAACTGACGATCAAGTTACTGGGAACATTTGCCATCTCAATTCTTTCCTTATTCAGAGCTGACCTTTCTTGAGCATTCTCACCGCTTCTATCTTCTTTGATGCACAGTATGGCTTATCTTAGCCATTCAGTGATGGCTGGATTGCAGTGCGTCCTTTCCTCCTGGATTTGAAAGGGCCAGACTTCCAAATTTACACTTTCCTATTTTAGTCTCTCTTCAAGACTCAGAGTATACTGTTTTATGCTAGAAATCACTGTGTGGTTGGGTGAGTACTAGTTTAGATGTCTGGTGTTATACTTTTAACCGACAGGGGTACAATTGCACTCTGCTAAACCTTCAACTTGCCACACATCACTCAGCATTATATTTTTTTTTCTGTAGAGAGAGGAAAGTTTCAGAACTACTCGGGATACCAACATAAATTTTTATTCCATCTCTGCTCTTTATTTATTTTAACTACAATGATGAAGTTATAGCAAAAATAATGGAAAAAAATAAAAGATGGTGATGAGTGGCATCACACACACACACACACACACAAACACACACACACACACACACACACACACACACACAAAATTCTACCAGGTTTTCAAGTCACTGATGCATGTACATTCATAGGACTGAGGACTAGAGAAGCAGTAGAAAAAGTGAAACCATGTCCTGCAAATATATTGAAATCGGAGGTTGATTATAGTTGCAATTACTGTTTTTCAGGTTACCTTGACTGGGATATATAGTCAGTGTCAAAGGTATTATCAAGTCTTTCAAGCAGCTAATGATTGGCTTGAGGATGCCCAAGAAATGTTACAGCTGGCAGGCAATGGCCTGGATGTGGAGAGTGCAGAGGAAAATCTCAAGAGCCACATGGAGTTTTTCAGTACAGAGGATCAATTCCACAGTAATCTGGAGGAGCTCCAAGGCCTGGTGGCCAAGTTGGACCCACTCATCAAGCCAACTGGTAAAGAAGATCTTGCGCAGAAAATGACTTCCTTGGAAGAGAGGAGCCAGAGGGTCACCCAGGACTCCCATGCCCAGTTAGGCCTCTTGCAGAGGTACTTAGAGTGGTTTAATGCTTCATATTTCAGCAAAGTGAATCTTCACACAAAAATAGAAATACACTAATGATGTATTCTAGTGTGTGAATTCATTCTCTAAGAATCTTTAGATATACTGACACTAAAGTTTTGTGTAGAGACAGGTGATTTCATGTTGCTCATTGATTTCTGTTGGAATTTTTCAAGATGCACAGTTCACTGGCAAGATTATCAGAAAGCAAGGGAAGAGGTTATTGAATTGATGAACGATGCAGAAAAGAAATTATCTGTGTTTTCTTTGTTGAAAACTTCTTCCAGTCATGAAGCAGAAGAAAAATTGTCACAACATAAGGTCAGTATTTTTTGTAATATTTATAGAAAATCTTTATTATTAGTAAGCTGTACATTATGTTTACATTTGGCTTAGGAGGTGGGTACATGTGTTAACATATCTTAATCTTTCTATTTCTTTTCTTTTCCTCTCCCTTATTTCTCCCTCTGTCTTTTGGTCCCCCTACCACTGCAGAAGATCTATCTCCATATTTCCCATTCTCTCTCTTTTATTTTTAAGTTATCTGTACTTAGGGCTTCTCTTAGAAGAGAAGCTATGTAATATTTAAACTAGTGTACCTAATTTATTGCACTTAGTACTATGGCCTCAAGGTGCTTCTATTTTCTGAAAGTGACTTAAATGTATCCTTCTTTCTGGAAGAGTAGTACTCCCTAGTGTATAAATACCCCATTTCTCTATCCATTCATCTGCTGATGAACATATAGGCTCCTTCCAAGATTTAGCTATTATGAACTGTGCTGCTATAAACATGGGTATGCACACATCATTGTATTCTTAAAGTATATCTTAATTATAATTTTAGTGGTTCTTTACAACATGATGGTTGTAAAAACACATCATTAAATCTCCACTGCTATTTTGGTTCTTTAAATATGATAGTTGATTAGTCACATTTCATAGGAGTTTCCATATAATTGAATGCTGTCACTTTTTTTGTATTCTCATTGGAAATGCACAGCCAAGACTCAAAAGAGACTGACAGAAGTTTGCTTCCAGTAAAATGTGGCTTTCAATAATGTCAGTAATAGTTTCTGTAGATAATTCAAATCAAATTTAAAAAGTAGTGACTGAGTCTTCCTCATTTATGAAAGCATTTTAAGGAAGGCTAACATATTAAAATGCCAAAATCCATTTGCTTGTAGTTTTGCTGTTTTTTAAAAATGGGAAAAATGACATCTTGGGTAGCAAATAAGTTTTTGTTTTTAATAAATAAATATTAACCCTACATTAAAAAAATTCAAGCCTAACTCAGTTTTGAAGGCAAATGAAAAGTAAGTTACAAGAAGAAAACTAATTTGTACAGAAATGTTTCCTTTGGCAGGTAATTCTGGGCTTCATCCAAATCCATAGAGTTTTTTTCAAAAATCAATTTCTCATCCACCATTTCTCTCTTTTCCTCACCCCCATCATAGGTGTTAGTGTCAAAGGTTGACGCTTTTCATGAGAAAATTGTAGCCCTAGAGGAAAAAACTTCACAACTGGAGAAATTCAGCAACGATGCTAGCAAAGCCGCCCTAAGTAGGTCGACAACCACCGTGTGGCAGCGCTGGACACGTCTCCGTGCCGTGGCCCAGGACCAAGAGAAAATACTGGAAGATGCGGTGGAGGAGTGGAGGGGTCTGAACAGCAAGGTAATTTCCGTTACTGATGGTCTCTAGTTTTTTTTTTTTATTGATATTTGCAATATATCTTAAAAAAGAGAATTTTTGGCCCTTTTTGAAATTGCTCTTATAAAACTAAATAGCCTCTTTTTCAATGACATCAAAACTAAACTATGAAACAAAATGCAATGTACGATGTTCACCAAAGTTCCAAGTCAGAGTCAGATGATGTCAATTAGAAAACCAAGCAATTATGTTTTGCAAGGAAGTCAAGCTGATTTGAACCCCATTTGCTGTTTTACCTCATTTTGAAAAAGTACAAAGTACATATTCTTTGCTATGAAATCAGCAAGAATTTGACTCATTTTTCAAATCCTCTATTTAATTTCTTCCATTATTTAACTAGCATTCAATATTTTAAGCTACATTTTCATGGCTCAAAGGCACACATTTGTGTTAACTTAAATATTTGAAGCAGATTTTTTGTTTGTTTAGTTTGTAAATTTTTCTATACAAGTCTCTGATTGCCCTGATATGATTTGGAGACAAAAGTTTTAAATCCAGAGTTAAAGTGGTGATCTTTCCTTTCATGTTAAGGAAATTGTTCCTATTTTAGTTTCCTGAAATTCAGAGTTTAAACCTTTATCTTGAATGTGCTTTGATGCACTATGTCGAAAATGGCACTTACTGGTACCAGAATTGCCCTATTTTTGCAGTTGATTTTTGGGCTTCACCATATGTACATTTCCACTAGGTTAAAAAAGCCACTGAAATTATTGATCAGCTGCAAGATAAGTTACCTGGAAGTTCAGCAGAGAAAGCTTGCAAAGCAGAACTCTTGGCCTTCCTTGAATACCATGACGCATGTGTACAGGAGCTGGACCAGCAACAGCTGGCCTTGGGGATGCTGCAGCAACGAGCACTGAGCATGCTCCAGGATGGAGCCCTCCCCCCTGGAGAAGAGCCACCCATCCTGCAGGAAATCACTGCCATTCAAGATCGGTGCCTCAAGTAATTATACACCCATGCTTATGCATTAACATTGCTATACTTGGGTCAACCCTAGGGGACAATGATGGTACTTCGGTGCAGGGTGCTTCATCGTGGCACTTTCAAAATGTAGGGATATATCTTCATCATCTCTGTTTCTCAGTTGGCTAAACTCTTCCATCTTTTATCTAACAGTGCAAAAGATAGACCTGATAGTACTTAAATATATAATGGTGTTCCAAACTTACCCAAGTCTACCTTCATACAGTTTATGGTCAAGCAACAGAGATAGATAACTGAAGAACTGTTTCAGTAGAGTGTGCAAAGGATCTAAGGGAATGGAAAGCAAAGGCAATTCATGTAGGATTGGAAGAGAAGACGGCATTTCTTTAGAAGCTGAAGCCCAAGAGGACTTCAGCTAGGTATTGAGGTGGGAATGACATGTGTGAGAGCTTAGAAGGACACAAGGATCTCCTTGGGTGGTGAAGGGAGAGGATAGAATGATTCAAGAGAAATGAAGATTGAAAGGTAAACAATTGAGAGAGTTTAAAAATTCACTTTGCTGAAGCATGATACTTATTGGAAAATAGGAGCAAGAATGATACCAGAGTCCAGGTAACTAATAGTTGTTTACTGTTAATGCATGTAGGAAAGACGATCTCAATTTTATAACCAGCCTGATGAATTTCTTGTGCCAAAGAAATTGATAATTTAAAAAATTTAATTCCTAAAGTAATTAATGTTGCCTTATACACACACTGCACTCACCTCTTACATTATTGATGCCAGGCTAATCTGACAACACATATTGAAAACTTTTAATCAGATTCACATTCATTCAAATAAAGAATTGAAATTTGTACATTGATAATTGAAGTTTGGACATTATTAAAAATTGTAAAATATCCAGATGATTCTCCATGTAAAAGTTACTTTCCAAGAGCTACAAATATTTCAATTAGACATTACTTCTAAATGCTGATGGTAGCATTTGAGCATTTTGAGCAGATTTCCAAAGAGGAGCTAAATAATACAACAATCTGCAAGAGTTTTAGGTTGGAAAATTAACTGCAACATAGAGGTACAGAAGAAATTTACTCTCAATTTTCCAGGGATTAATTAATCAATTTACATAGCATATTTTTTTTTGTTAGACCTGAACTTGCTACTGAACATTATCTGACAGTTTGGGGACAGTTTCTTTACTTGCAAGAGAGATACTAGGTTTTACTTTTTTGTATGTTTTTGACAAAACAACATTGTGTTTAAGAGGCTCTTTTCATTTCAAATATATTTCTGCCTTCTCCTGCTAATCTTTTTTGAAGTATGCAAGACAAAGTGAAGAGTAATGGAAAGTTGGTAAAGGAAGAGCTGCAGGAGCGAGAAGTGGTGGAGACTCAAATTAATTCTGTAAAATCTTGGGTTCAAGAGACAAAGGAATACTTAGGGAATCCAACAATCGAAATAGATGCTCAACTTGAAGAATTACAGGTACAAAAATTCCCCATTTTTTTTAACCTATCGTTTAAGGAACAGTTGCCTTTATTTTAATTAGCCTTATTTATATTTAATGAAATAGTGAATTCAAAATTTCAAGCTTGGACTATATAAAAAGGCATTTAAGCTGATGTGGTAGCCCAAAAGGATCACTTGAGTCCAAGAGTTCAAGGCCAGCCTAGTCAACACAATGAAATCCTGTCTTTAAAAAAAAAGCATTTAGAATTAATTCCCAGAATTTTTTTCTTTTGTTTTGTGAAGGAGGATATGTACCATACTCAGATTAAGGAAAAGTTTAGTTTCTTTGATGATGGTTCTGTAATCAAATAGTGAGGCTCTTAGTCAAATATGGATGAATGATAGATAGCCTTATCTCTATTTCTTATCAGATTCCCAGAAAGTTATTATTATGACCATTTTTTTCAGATCCTCCTGACAGAAGCCACAAATCACAGACAGAACATTGAGAGGTTGGCTGAAGAACAGAAGAATAAGTACTTGGGTCTTTATACTATATTGCCTTCTGAGATCTCCCTCCAGTTAGCAGAAGTGGCATTGGATCTGAAGATCTATGATCAGGTAAATCTGGTTTCAACCTAAAGTGGCTTTCTATCCTTTTATAATGTCCATCTTTTTTGTATGAGAGTTCTAAATTTTCATATCACATCTTCTTGAGAGCAAAGTTAAATTACAGATCACCATAAAACAATCTTAAATTAGAAGCTTTATTCATAGGTAAGAAACATCAGATAATCATAGATGTGAATAGTAACTTCATATAATTAAAGATAATTTATCTGGTTCACTTTATGTTTAAATTAATGGCTTAAACAAAGATAAGATTTAGTTCATGTATTCAACACTGGGTACTCTGCTAGTTCAGCCAGATTCAAGATGAATAGTTGATACCATCTGAGGAAAAGAATGATGTAAGAGAAAAGGTAAAACCAGGGAAGAAGTCATTACCAAAATACATGCTTCCTGTTGTTAGTAAAAGGGCTTAAATTTGACACCAGCTTCCAAACAACTAAGGAAGGGAGTACAGAAAACATAAACCATGTCTGCAAATTTAAAGCAGTTTTTAATAAGAAACACATTTCTGGTGTTGAGACCAGAGGGAGATTTCTATCATCTTTAGTCTCATAAAGAAGATATACTTTTCATATCATAAAAATAATCTCATGTAGCAATAGTGAATTTTTAGGACTGTCTGGGTGGCTAAATTCCAAAGCCATTAAAATTTATTTAAAACTATTCTATCTGGGAAAAAGAGATATTACAGACTAATTTGAAACCTGGGCCAGAAATGGAAAATACACATTATAAAATTCATACACATAATGCTGTACTCTTTAGACTCTTCAAAGGAAGACAAAAGTGTTTTTAAAAAAATCTCATCAAAATATGACTGTACTGTACCATGATTTTGATTTAGAATAATATATACTATATTGTACTTTAATTATTATATATACCATTTTTAGTCTTAGATATTGGAAGGTCCATCAAGAAGTTAAATCTTTTTTTAAAATATTCAAATTTAGATTATCTTTGTCTCTGGCTATGATTTCCTATAATGCAGTTATTCATATGCATTTCAGTTACTTTGGCTTTCAATTCAAGGTGCTATAAGCCAACAAAGTACTGTTTTAATAGTGTGTGTCCTCCCTACAAAAGAATTTTTTAACAGCCTTTCACGTAGATAAAGAAAGAAAATCTTTCTCCTCTTTATCATCTTGTTTTCAGTTTATTTTAAACAAATATATGAAAGTTTGCTATCAAATCAGACCTAGCACATTAGAAATCTGGTAGATGTCAATTCATCCTTTTCACTTTCCTTCCCCTTGGATGCACCTCATATTTGTTAGCTCTCCTTTTGTGATGTAATCGGAAAGTTAAGGAAAGAGTTAGCAAATCATTAACAGACAATTACAAAAAGCTGCTTGGAAACAAATGCCTGTGCCTCCAACTCTCTGGTGGGAGGTTTTCTCTTCTATTCGGGCAAAGCAAAACCTAAAAAGGAATTTGTACACTCAAGGTGACAAAGTAAGTAGAGAAGGTGGGATTCAGCTGTCTGTGTAGGCTTCCATATACTAAAATATTTTGTAAATATTTGATAAATGAATCATGGTACATATGCCGGTTGTTTTCTGGATGGGCCAACAGCAGAAGGAAGTGTGTAGGGACAGTGGTAAGTAAGGCTGCCTCAGCAGCCAGGGAGCTTACAGCTGCTTTGACTCATCAGTGTCAAAACAGCGCTGTCCACTAAAATGCCTTTAGTCAACATCATTTGAGATTTTAGTGCCTGTTATCCAGTGTTAACGATTGTTGGTTTTGATGTTGTCACTGATTATTTAGATCCAAGAAAAAGTAAAGGAAATTGAGCAGAGCAAGGCCACGAGCCAGGAATTCAGCCGGCAAATTCAGAAAGTGGCCAAAGATCTCACTACAATTTTAACGAAGCTGAAAGCAAAAACTGATAATTTAGTTCAAGCTAAAACTGCTCAAAAGGTAAGGAGGAAGGAGTCAGTTTTATTTGGGGATAGAGAAAAAAAAACTTTCTTTGCAAACTTCACTAAGACCCAGCAGTAAAAGCAGTAAGGACATTCATAAATGTGCTGGTGATAGCATGAGCCCTATTTACATAATTACATTAATCATGAAATGTATTCATAAATGCTAATGTAAATGTCAATGACAGTGTATGAAAAGATTAAATGGTGACAAGCTCATAAACATAAGTTTCTACATTCCAAAGTGAGTCATGGTTTTGGTAATGAATCTGTGTTAACCCCACTGATGAGTTAAGTGAGTAGTCTATTTAGGTAGGGAAGAAGGAAAACGTGAGCCCTCTCACTCAGGAAATAAACACCAGGACTGCAACGTACCCCGCTTTGCCTCTCCAATCCAAAACACACAAAAATACATCAAAAGAAAATTGTGTTTTGTAATATTTGGCTTTTATAAAATATATGTAAAATATAACCCTCCTGATCATAGAAAATGTAGAGAAACTTATTTTCTACAGTCTAATGTTCTTTTGTTGGATGACCATCTAGGTCCTGGGAGAGGAATTAGATGGCTGTAATTCAAAGTTAATGGAGTTGGATGCAGCAGTACAAAAATTCTCAGAACAGCATGGCCACCTGGGCAAGCCCTTGGCCAAGAAGATAGGAAAACTCACTGAGCTTCAGCAGCAGACTACTCGTCAGGCTGAGAATCGGCTCTCCAAGCTCAATCAGGTCTGTTTTCCAGGCTAGCTAGTGGTCAAAATGTTTGAAGGCAGAAATTTTAAGCGTCTGCCTTTCTCCTGAAAATAAATAAAAGGATGATATTGGCAATGATGGTTTATTTCATACCATGCTTGTGCTCCTAAGATTTATAGGTAAACCTGTATTTATTTCATAGCTAATAACATTATAAATTCACTGACAAAGATTGTTATACAAGTGGACCTAGGGGGAAATAGTTCATAAACTGGAGTATTTTGTAAAATGAATACTCATCCATTAATAAGTTTTATGAAATCGGTGTGAGACAAATTTGGACACCTTCAAGTAAGGTGTGCGTGCGTGTGTGTTTGCTTAGTGGACCACTAGAATATTAGTGTGTTAGCTACTTCCTGTCCTTTCCTGCCCCTGGCATGAAATACCCAACACCCAGATCTTCAGAGAGGAGAGATTTATTTTAGTTTGTAGTTTGCAGAGTAGTCAGTCCATGCTTGGTTGGTTCCAGAGAAGAAACAACGTAGCAAAAGGGAATGGGGAGGAAAAGCTGTGGAGGAAAAGCTGTTTAATCCACGACAGCCAAGAAGCAAGAGAAAGAGAATGAAGGAGCTGGGGACAAGAATGCACCCTGCCAGGTCCGCCTCTTCCGACCAGGCCCTACCACCTAATAGCACAGTCAGCCATGAACTCATCCACGGATTCATCCATGGATGACAACACTCCCACAGCTCCTCACCTTCTAAAACCTCCGCTTCTGAACTCATGAGACTTTCGAGGGTCCTTTCAGACCTAAACCATAATATGATTGTAGATCTGAATTTACAAATTGATTCAGTATTATTTGTATACTCAGAGTCACATTAAAATCAGGAATTGGTAACCAATATATATTGAAACCTGGCATGCTATGATCCCCACCTGTCACCTCCTTATCCAGTGGATTGTGGCAAAGGACTAGAAAGGAGCTAGATAGATAAATCAAATAAGAGTGGAGAATAAGTAAAGAGAAATTATTCAAGCATATTAAGAGCTTAGATTTTTCTCTTAAAGTCACTGGGAAACCTTTGATGGCCCTTCAACAGGGAAATGAGTTTTCATGATCCCTTTCAATATCACAGGTCAACCCCTGGGATTGTTGTATCCAGAGAGATCAAAGACTGATTTCTAGCTCAGGAGACAGAGTTTACATTCATGAATGTTAATGATTTTTCAGGCAGCATCACATTTAAAAGAATACAACGAAATGCTTGAGTTGGTTTTGAAATGGATTGAGAAAGCTAAAGTCTTGGTACGTGGAAATATTTCATGGAATTCTGCAAGCCAACTTCGGGAACAGTACATTTTGCATCAGGTAACTTTAGGAAGAACAGTTTGCAAAGAGTAATAAAAAACAATATGGCTGACACAAAATTTAGAAGGTCGTGATGTGAAATTTTTGTTGGTACCAGTTCAAAAGATTCCTGAGTGTTCTGGCTTGACAGAAAGTAGCTACCCATAATGTTTTATGAGATTGTGTATAAACTACTATAATACTTTCCATTTTCCCTAGACCTCCTTTTCCTTAAGACCAAAAACAATCATCCCTACATGACTATTTTTTTCAAGTTCTGTGAAACAATTATATGCAGGAAGTTCTCTAAAGTGATTCATGAAAGATTATAGGCTCCACATCACTCAACCCGAGAGATGTGTGATTTGGAGCAAAGTATTTTGCCTCTTTTTATTCTGCCTTCTCATTTCTAAGGTAAGGGAGTGAACAGTAGTCCCACGTCAGACTCAGGAGGATCAAATGGCTTCATGTATTTCCAAACATCTGGCAGAAGCAGGTGCTCCCAAGGAGTTCCGTGTCTCCTTCCCCTCAGCCTTGTGCCAGGGCTCAGTGAGCCGTCCACAGGAAGTCAGCGTCAGCTGGAACAAACAACGGGTCCACATCACATGGTGGCCGTGTTACTTCATTTCCTCTGAAGTTATGTGACAAAAATACTCCTTCTACTTTGCTTGTACTACCCAGGAAATTATTTCATGCTTTCATAATTGAGATTTGAATTAGATACAGACATCGAATAGGCTAGTTATCTGGCAGCAAAATATAGAGTGACTTTTCTTTAGATTACACAGATATCCTCAAGTATTTTGGATTTTCTCTCTTGTATGACTTCTGTGTACCTTTTAAATTAATCCTTTTATATTCCACTTGACGGAGTCCTAGACCAAATCTGTACTGTGCTCTTTCTGGAAAGCTTGGACAGTGCCTAACATTTCCCATGCATTCACAATCTTCTTTTTCTAATCATTCTTTGGCCCCACTCCTAAGATACCTTTCTTAAACAACTTCAATTGTTTGGTGCAACATATGCTTAGACAGTGACAGACTGACTTACCTTCCAATTGACTTGTAAACAGTGAAAATGCGTCCAACCTCAGTAAAAAATAAAAAATAAACACTTCAGGAAAAAGGAAAGTTGTAACTGTTGAGTTAATACTGTTTTTTAGACGCTTATACTTATGTGAGAAAATAATTAGTAAACTATATGATGATTGTCAAAAATGTTACTACACTGACTTGATCATACTTTCTGAACTCATTGCTAATGCTGTAATCTAAAATGTAAAAAGAAAAATTTATCTAGTATTAAAACTGTAGTGAGGGCCAGCGATTTAGCTCAGTAGTTCTGAGTTTGATACCCAGTACCAAATTAATTAATTAATTAATTAAAAATAAAACTGTAGTGAAATTTTAAAGACAGTTTAAATGTCAAATAACATTTCTCAGTAAATACTTGGTTTTTTCTCAGTAAATATTTGTGTATAATACAGTCCGTTTTTATTTTGTTTTTTGCTTTGTCTTTGCCATGCTCAGAATTAAACCCAGGGCCTTTATTCTTAGCACATTACCAATGCAGTATGAGCAGTGCAGAGAGAGAGAGAGGGCAGAGGAAGTATTCAACCCAGATGTCCTGTATTAGTAAATAGGCAAGGCTACTTAGGGAAAGGTGACCCAGGGCTGAGTCCTGAAAAGCACTGCAGCCCACTTGTGGAATTTGCTTTAGACAAAAGCACATTATCTTGGTAAAATCTTAGCAGTAAGAGTGCAGGTACTCTGATGTCCTAGAAAGCTGGAAAGAGGGATCGGTGATAAGAACAGAGAGATTAGGAAGACAGAAACAATGAAAGCCTGTTCCAAATGTGGACATTATCCTAAAGTCACTGAAACCTGCAAGTTAGAAGTTCAGGCTGGTAGTGTAAGAAAAGGAGCCCCACAGCCAGTAGAAAGCAGATTACTGACGGTAAGACCATAGCAGAAGGGTTTCCATACTCAAGACTGCTCTCCGTAGAAAACGCAAGTCCTCTCTTTGGAGAAAGAAAAGACAAAGTCACGGCCTATGAGGGAGCTAGAACTCTTGATTGGGAGGTGGTTGGATGAGAGTGAACGAGAGAATGGCATTCAGGACAATTCCCAGGTTTTTGTGACTTGGAAGCTGGGAGATTGAGCACGCTGTGGAGCACAGGGGCACGTGGCTTCAGTAAACTGTTAAAGTGTCCTGAATTTTTGTTTATTTTTCTGTGAAATGGGAAAACAGTGGGTAACTACCAGGTGGAAGCGGGTGCAGGGGTGTGGATGCAGGGAGCGTGAATTGTAGCTTAGTCCTCTCTACCCCTCCCAAGATGGGTGCTCTTTACACCATACCCTGTTGGTGGCTTACACCCCACGCCCATACACCTAACAATGTCACGACAATTCACTTCAGACCCTGCTAGAAGAATCTGAAGAAATTTACAGTGATCTGGAAGCAATGTCTGAGAAGTTACAGCATCTTAGGAGTGTGTACTATACAGAGAAGATGTCTCAGCAAGTGGCAGAACTGGGACGAGAGACTGAGGAGCTGCGGCAGGTGATCAGAATCCATATGCAGAGCCTCCAAGATGCAGCCAAGGTAAAAAAAAAAAAAAAAAAAAAAAA